AATGAATCGCTCTTCCTTGCAAGGCAAGACTTGCATGTCGACTTGGTGTCCATTGCTTGTACGTGCCCCACTTACAACCGCTCGGCTGGCCTGACAGAATCTGGTGACAATTTCCTTTGCGTTGGATCTCGTCATCCTCAGGCCCGTGCGACCCTCTCCCTCCTGCCCTTGTCCACAGGTTCTCTCCATCCAGCGCATGGCCCCAAGTTCTCCTCCTCGTGAGCTTGCCCTGTATGTCCTTTCCCCCCTTACCCTCTCCCCCCTGCCCCCGCCCACAGGTTCTCTCCCTCCTGCCCTTACCGTGAGATATCTCCCTCATGGGAATGCCATGTATGCTCTTGGCCACCGACCCTCTCCCCCCTGCTGTTGCCCACAGGTTCTCTGTCTCACCCCCATTCTGCCCACAGGTTCTCCCCCTGATGTCGATGCCCTCATTGCCTTTGCCTGCCTACCCTGTCCATCCTGCCCTTGCCCACAGATCACTCACATGCCATTGGCCGGTGGTTGTCCACCTCATGACCTTGCCCTGTGTGCCCTTGCCCGCCCACCCTCTCCTTCCTGCCCTTACAGACAGGTTCTCTCCCTCTTGCCCTTCTCCACATGTTCTCTCCCTCCTGCCCTCTGTCCGCAGGTTTGCTCGCTCATGTCGTTACCCTGGATGCCCCTGCCAGCCTACCCTGTTCCTCGTGCCCCTATCCACACGTTCTCTCCATCCTTTCATTGACCTCGAGATCTCTCCCTCATGTCGCTGCCCTTGCCCGCCTACTCTCTCCCTCCTGCCCCTTCCCACAGGTTCTCTGCCTCTGGCAACAAGGAGTACTTCTCCCTCCATCCTTTGCATGTTTGTTCCCCTCCCTCCCACCCATACCCATAGCTTCTCTCATTCCTGGTGTGGCACACAAGTTCTCTCCACATCTCACCTGCTTTTTGGCATCTGCTTTGCTGCCATTTCCCCTCCGTCTCCCCATGCCTCTGGTTGTCTGTCCCCGCCCTCTCTCCCCCCCCATTCCCCCCCCCCCCCCCGACGCCCATCCGTCCACAGATCCATTACGAAACCTCGCGCGACCGGATGTGCATCGATGCGCCTGATGCGGGCATTGACTTCTACACGACCTTCTACCTCCGCATGGTGGACCTTCACACGGTTTTGGTGATGGAGGGCTACGACGTGTCTTTCGTGGCTGTTCAGGAGGCAATGACCGACAACAACTACAACGATAAGTTCAAGCGTGTATGGACGCAGTGGAAGAACGAGCGGGGGTTCCTGATCAAGAGGCGGGTGTTGACGGAGCTAGGGGTGAAGGTCAAGTGGGCGAGGGGCTCCAAGATCCATGTGGACCTTGATGACAAGATGGCCCTCTGGCATGACTTCAAGCCTCGTAAGTACTCATGTAGCTGCGCGGTCACAGTTGTTTAGTAGGGCGCATGTCATTGAAGTTAATACCTCGTGTTCACTCCCCATATCCTCACACCATTTGAGCATCATGCACCTCCATCTGTGCTGCCGTTACCCCCAACAGGAAGGAGGTTTGGGCAGTTGGTGAGCACCTGGGGCTCGGCGAAGCCACCCCCAGGGGTGCACTCCGGGCAGCCTTTTGCCAACAAGATCTTCTTTCAGGCGGCGTTCGATGCGTTTCAGCAGTGGGCTGTGGCGGGGAAGCTCTGTCTGAAGGCGTATCACATTGCCTGGATTATCATGGTGGTAAGTGGCGGGGAGCGCGCCTTAAAGGACGCCGTGGCTTGGGCTCTAGTATCCTCCCGATTGTGCTCGGCTCATGCAACCCCATTCCCGTCCCCCACCTCCCTGACCCTTTTACAAACCCCCTCGGCCACCCTCTTCCCCAGGTCGACTATGGGCTGACCCGCCGCAGGCACACCACGATGGGCCTCTCTAACTCACACCCCAAGAACAAGGCCTGGATAACGGACCTTCACAAGAGGGTGCGACAGGTGGTCATTGACCACTTCAGCAACTACCCCAAGGAGTACAGCAAGGACATGCGGGGGTGGAAATGGGGAGAGTATGGACTTTACGTCCATGAGAGTGGCTTCAAGGACGAGTGGCAGGAACCAGGGAGGGAGGGCAAGGGGAAGGCGCCCAAAGGTGGAGAGGGAGAGGCTAAGGATTAAGGGTCCTTTTGCAGGGGTGAGGCAGGTATGTGCAGGGGTGGCATCACCACACCGTTCAGGGCAGGGGACGGATACAACTGGGACGGAAGTGGAGCCAAGTATTGGCGTGGGCTCTGGAGGGAAGGGTCTGTCAGCATCATTCTGAAGGGGCAGCCATCCCACAATGGGAGGGGCTTATTGCAAGCGCCAGTACTGGCGTGTGCTGGGTTCATAACCATGGGGTGTTTGCAGATGCATGATGTGGCAGCGTCGTTTGAGGGGTGGGGTGCTGGCAGCGAAATGATGTGAAACAGGTGGGCTGGGCGGGTGGTGTGCGGGGCTTTCAGGACCAGCAGGTTGGGGTGGGGGCGCTCGAGGGCGGGTTCCTTTTGAGGGATGTGAGTGGCCTTGACATTTGGGTATCACACTATAGTGGGTATTGATAAAGCCGCTCACAGCAGCGGCAAGAACTGGAAGTTGTGGTTGGGAGCATTTGTGATATGAGGCACCGGCAGCAGCGCATGAGTGGGTTCGGCATCAGGCTGTGGTGGGGGGGGGGAGTTAAAGGGTTGAGGCAACAGCGGGCGCGAGGAATGGATATGAGCATCAGCTTGGGGAGGGGGGGGATAGGGGACTGGGGGATGAGGCACAGGTGGCAGCAGCAAGGGAGGGGTCTCAGCAGCAGCCTGTGGTGGGGGGAGAGGGGATTCGGGGAATGAGGCACAGGTGGCAGCAGCAAGGCAGGGGTCTCAGCCGCAGCCTAGGGTGGGGGGAGGGATTCGGGGAATGAGGCACAGGTGGCAGCAGCAAGCGAGGGGTCTCAGCAGCAGCTTCGGGTGGGGGGAGAGGGGATTTGGGGAATGAGGCACAGGTGGCAGCAGCAAGGCAGGGGTCTCAGCAGCAGCCTTGGGGGGGAGGGGGGAGAGGGGATATGGAGAATGAGGCACAGGTGGCAGCAGCGAGGGAGGGGTCTCAGCAGCAGCCTGTGGTGTGGGGGGGGGGGGGGGGGAGGGGGGGTTGTGGGATGAACGAACCACAAGCAGCAGCAGGGCCAGACTCATACCTTGGTGGTTAGCTAGGTTTATCATAGCTGCAGCGGCAGCGGTGGGAGTAGGTGGGGGCTTGCAGCAGCAGTATGTGCTCTCTCAACGAGGAAGGAGGGGGTTGATGCCATCGTACGGGTCGTTTCCGATTTACTTCCAGGGTAGTGGTCCTTTTGTCCGGATGCGGTTGGTAGGGCGATCACAGCTTGGATGCGGGTAGAGGTCTAAACCCTGAGATTTTGTGTCACTGATGTGTTTTCTTGTGACACTGATGTGTTTCTTCTACTGGCCATCTATACCAATTAATGAGCCTAATATCTGTGGCAATGGAGTACTAGCGAATGTGGCAGTAACGGATATAGAATGTACCAAAAAAAGGACAACAACACGCCTCAAACACAATGAATAGATGTAAGCGTGACGCGAACAAACTTGTAATGGTCTTCGTGCACAGTACAAAAGTTCTCTTCCAGCATGACCGCATGGTGACGTGGAGGTGTTATCGCGTACGACCAAATAACATCAGCGCGGTGTCGGCAAACCATCTGCGTGGCGTTTGACAAACCATTTGAGTGGTGTTTGACAAACCATCTGCGAGGTCTTTCCAACTTACACCGCGAAGTGTTTGGACCCACCAATTTGGAAACCACCTGAAAGGTGTTCGCAACAACACTGCGCAAATGCTTTTCGGACACTGAATTTTTGCGATGCGTGATTACGAGCTACACTTCCTGGACTTCTCCACAGCGTTCGTTCAGGGCAGCTTGCACGGGCTGGTCTACCTGCGCCGTCTTTAAGGCTTCACTGGTACCTTCCCTCCTAGGACCCAGTGGCTCCTTCGGCGCCCAGTCTACGGCCTGCAACAGGCCCCTCGTGAATGGCACGATACGCTGCGTGCTACACTAGCTGGCCTGCAGTTCTTCCCGTCGTCTGCAGACCCTTCGCTCTTCGTTCGTGCTGGCCAGACCCCGTTCTACATCCTTGTCTACGTAGACGATATGGTCTTTGCTATTGCAAACAGAGACACACTAGCCTCCATGAAGGCTGTGCTGCTGAGGAGACACCCCTACACTGACCTAGGAGAGCTGCAGCGCTACCTTGGCCTACAGATCTCCAGGGACAGACCAGCGCGCACCATCACTCTCACACACTCACACTTGGTGCACCATCACTCATCACGTAGTACACTTGCGCTTGGCACACTCACCATCACTCTCACACACTCTCCCTTGTTTCTTTCATTTTGCTACTCTGAGAAAATATTCCCTACACTTTTTGAGAAAGGGTCACAAATATTTTACCCTTACAAAATCAAGGTGTTCCTGAATAAACGTCCATTGGCAAGGGTAAACAGGATGAAATACCCTTGAATAACGGGCCCTGCCAGTGACGCACTAGGTGCGGTTACCACAACCAATGTGCACGTGCTCCCTCACCACACTTAATTTACACTGTTACATTCTGCTATTCCTGCTGCTGCTCACCTACTGAATGTAGTGTGACCTCTACCACATGGAACCCCCTGCTGCCCTGCACCCTCACCACACGAGCATTGCTTCTTGAAACCAGCAGCAGCTGCGACTCCTCCACAGGCACCGATGACGCACTGGGTGCGGTTACCATAATCAATGTGCACTTGCTCCCTCACCTCACCACACTTAATTTACAGTGTTACATGGTCTACCTTATGGCGTGCGTCCGCTGGTCCTGCTGCTGCTGACCTTCTGAATGCACTAAGTGTTAAGAAATGCTAGCTAGGGGGGGGAAGGGAAGCCATGAATGGCGAGAGGGGTTTTAGGCTAGGAGCGTAATGTCGAGAGGGAAGAGTTGATGAGAGAAAAGAGGGTGAACTAGAAAGAGAGAGGGATACAAGGAGGGGATTGTACCCTCTACAGTAGAGTTCAGTAACACCTACCAAGCCTACAATTATATAACAAATATAATTTAGCACTGAGACCCCAAACCTAACACATGGAACCCTTTACTGCCCTGCACCCGCACCACACAAGCATCGCTTCTTGAAACCAGCAGCAGCCGTGACTCCTTCACAGGCGCCGGTGACGCGGTGAGCGTGGCTAGCTACCACAACCAAGCACCAATTTACAGTGTTACATGGTCTGCCTCATGGCATGCGTCTGCTGGTCCTGCTGTTGCTGACCTTCTGAATGCACTGTGACCCCTAACACATGGAATCCTCTACTTCCCTGCACCCGCACCACACAAGCATGGCTCCGTGACACCAGCAGCAGCTGTGACTCCTTCACTGGCACTGGTGACGCGCTGAGTGCAGTTACCACAACGCCTGTGCACCTGCAGCCCTCGACGCACTGCAGCTTGCCGAATATGGACGACCCGTTGGCGTGAGCGAGGTAGGATATCTCGACGACGGTGGGGATCGTGGTGAGCTGGATGGGCTGCAGGTTGTTTGAATCGGGGCTTGCTGTAAGGGGTACGGCTGTGTTGACGAGAAACTCCACCCAGGAATCTGCAAACCAGAGGAGGAAAAAAAAACGAGGGAATGGGGAAGAGAGAGTTTTTTTAGACATCTCGGAAGAGTTTTGAAACTACTTAACCAGAGATGTGGAGAGACGCTTGATTTGTCTTGAATCGATGAAGGCAACAGCGCTAAGTGAAAAAACAGAGGCCCTGCAACGCGGAGATACATAGCAATCATGAGCATGGTCCGGTGTATTTTGAGTCAACTCAAAATACACCATACCACTCATGTGCATGTTCCATTTGCACCCCAGCCCCCCCACACACCACTCCCCCCTTTTCCCCACACAACACTCCCCCCTATGTCCCCTTGTCTCCCTTCCGCTGCACTCACCATCCTCACGTGCCACCAGCCGTGCTCGGCCGTGTGTTAGTAATTCCGTTTTGAGACGTCTCAAAACAGCCCCTCCACACGCCCCTCCCCCCACACACCCCCTCCCTATGTCCCTAAGTGCCCCTTCCATTGCACTCACCATCCTCCCCTGCCACCAGCCCTGCTCGTCCATGCCCTTGTGCGACTGGCAACAGACCAAATCCCTTGAGGCCCAGTACGGGTGGCGCAACAGCTTGGGGGAGGAAGGAGAAGCAGGCATGGGGCAGGGAGGGGCGGAGGAAGGCGCGGGCGGCAGTGGAGTGCAGCCAGCGGGAGAAGAAGGGCGGAGGGGGGCGGAGGAGGAAGGGCAAGAGGGAGAGAGTGGCGTTGTCTGAGTCGAGGTCTGTCAGTCGATCTCGTAAACCTGCAGTCATTAGGGTAGCGTGTGCAGTGGGTCGAAGGTGAGGGAACAGGTGCAAGGATGGGAGCACGTCAGAAGTGAGAGAAGGGGCAGGGAGGGGCGGAGAAAGGCAGGAACAGGAGTGGAGTACAGCCAGCGAGAGAAGAGGGTCTAGTTTTGAGGCGCCTCAAAAAAAAAAGGGGGGGGGGGTGCAGGGAGGGGCGGAGAAAGGCAGGGACAGGAGTGGAGTACAGCCAGCGAGAGAAGAGGGGCGGACTCAAGAAAAAAACACGTGGCAGGCACTAGCTTGGGAAGGGGGCTTCTCGAGTTGCTGCAACAGCAGGCCAGGCCGTGTGTGCAATGGAGCACGGAGAGCAAGGCACAGCCTGCTCATTGGGCCCATATGAATACGGATTGGGGGAGTCTGTTTTTGAGGCGCCTCAAAAAACAGATTGGGCCCATATGAATACGGATTGGGGGAGAGTTGAAAACGGGGCGACTCGCCTTTCAAAGCCGAGTGGAAGAGAGCGGTGATGATGTCAGCGTACTTGGTCCTCGCTTGCACCGCCGTTGGCAGAGCCCCAGACAATGCATGCGGGTCAATGGGGTCAACAGAGTCAACCGCCCTGCTGGCACCTCCGTAGTCGCCAGAATTGGCATCGTTTCCAGCAGCAGCAGGAGGAGGAGAAGCGATGAGGGTGTCTGGATCCACGCTAATCGGAAGGTTGGACGGGCCTGTCGTGACTATGTCTTGCAGTCGATAGCCTGCTGCCTGTGCAGGGAGGAGGGAAAACATGGGCCGTGAGGAAAGATGCAGAAAGCCAGGGTGTAATGAGTGGGGGTGGGTGTGGGTGTGGGTGTGGTTGTGAGTGTGGGTGTGGGTGTGGTAGGGCCAGGTGCCCGATGTGAGGCAGCAGAGTCGGGCAGTAGAAAGACAGCTCTCCTGGTGACGGACTCAGCTCTCCTGGTGATGGACTCAGCTCTCCGGGTGAAAGGCATCTCCGGCAGAGAGGCGAGTCAAGCTGTAGTTGATTGCGCCAGCACAGTGCTTCTATCCCGAGTACATCGCAGCGCCCAGGCTGGTGGGGGCATGCACCACCTACAACATCAACCGAAAGCACACAGAGAGGGCACCTACTGGCCGACGATGGTGAAGAAGGCATTTCTGGTGGAGAGGGAAGGCAGGCTATAATATTGCGCCAGCAGCGCTATGTTGTCCTCTGACACTGTCTCCCGCGCTCAGTGGGGGTACACAGGGTGGTGGGGGCATGCACTACAGACAACGTCAACCACAAGCACAGAGGGAGAGCGAGGGAGGGAGGGCACCTGCTGGCCGACGAGGGTGAAGAACACATCTCGGGTGGACAGGGACGGCACGCTGTAGTATTGAGCCAGCACTGTTATGTTGTCCTCGGATACTGTCTCAGGCGCCCAGTGTGGGTAGGCGGGGTGGTGGGGCGGCAAGCCAAAGGAGAACGGACCGATGCTGTTGTATGAGAGAGAGGGGTCCTGGAAGGGGGCATGGCGAGGCGGGGAAGGGGGGGGGAGGAGGAGGAAGTGAAGAAACTGGTGGGTTGTTGACTCTCAAACACGCAGCTTGGGCGAGGTAGGGAGGAGGGGCGACACTGTCTCCCGTGTCCAGTGGGGGTGTGTAGGGTGGTGGGGCGGCAGGCCAACAGCGAACGGACCGATGCTGTGGCATGTAAGGGAGGGGTCCTGAAGGGGGCATGGGGAGGTAGGGCGGGGAGAGGGTGAAGGAACTAGTGAGTTGACTTGAACACGCAGCCTGGTTGGCAGGAGGAGGGGCGACACTGTTTCCGGTGCCAGGTGTGGGGGTGCGCTGCACAGGGTGGTGGGGCGGCCGGCCAAAGGAGAACAGACCAATGCTGGCGGACGAGAGAGAGGGGTCCTGGAGAGGGCATGGGGAGGGGAGGGAGTGAGGGGCGGGGGTTTGGAGAGGGGACGGGGGTGAAGTGAAGGAGAATAACCCCCATTTATCTTCAAGCACCCATTCTGCTCTTTATGCACGCACCTCTGCCTCCCTGCACGCCTGGTTGCCAAGGCAGAAGGAGACAAAGTTAACCAGCACCACAGCTGCTACCGCCAGCCAGTGCGCATGCTGCAACCCCCTCCCCTTCACTGGCCGTGGGTTTTGAGGTGCCTTAAAGCCCCAGCTGTGCAGCAGGCGCCGCAGCGGGGTGTCGTACAGCTGGAGGAAGGAGGTGGCCCTTGGCCTAGACACGCACCTCTGTCTCCCTGCACGCCTGGTTGCCCCGGCAGAAAGAAAAGAAGTTCACCAGCACCACAGCTGCTCCCGCCACTGACTGTGCTTTCCCCAGCCCGTTCCCCTCCGTCCTCCCCTTGTGCACTGGCGGTGGGTTCTGAGGCGCCTTAAAGCCCCAGCGGTGCAGTAAGTGCTGCAGCAGGGTGTCGTATGCTTTAAGGAAGGAGGAGGGACCCTGGCCGTTGCTCTCGCCCTGGTCGGAAAGCGCCAGCTCAGCAATGACCAGATCCACGTCATCAGGGAGGGAATGCAAGAAAGTGGCTCTGGGGGGTTAGATGGAAAAAAACATAAAAATAAGAAAGGAAGAGTAGGGTTAAGTAGAAGCAAACGGACCGGCTGTCCCCTCCACCCTTCACAAGACGCCCCACATTCCGTCTAGCAAAACAGACGTCTACTAGTGCCAAATAAGAGGAGAACGCTTTTGAGTCGACTCAAAAGAGGAGAACGCCTCACTTGCCCATCCATCCATGTAGCCTTTCCACCCACCCACCCATGCCCCCACCCACCCGTCACACGACGCCCACGTGGCCAGGCTGCCACGTGGCAGGCCGAGGTTGATGAGCCAATAGGGCTCCGCCACCACGCCGCTCTCCGATTGGCCAGGCAGGTGCCACTGCTTGAGGTGACGTGGCGGGAAGGAGCGAGTGAGCGTGTCCAGGGCAGAGAAAAGCCACCCCTCTGCAGGGGAATGGCTGCACGGGAGGAGAGGGGGGTGGGGGGATGGGGAAGAAACATAAGGAGGAAGAGGTAGTGGAGGAGGGGAGGGGAGGTGGCGTGGAGGGAAGGGAAGGAGCGGGTGAGCGTGTCAAGGGCAGAGGCGAGCCATTCTTCCTATGGGGAATGGATGCAGGGGAGAGGGGGGGGTGAGGGGGGAAGGGAGGAAAGGGGGAGGGAGGGAAGGGGAGATGGGGGGGAAAGGGGGGGGAAGAGAGCGCGTGAGCTGGTGGGATAGGAAGGAGTGAGGAGCCAAGAAGTGAGCCAACCCTCCATGGGTGAGTGGCTAAGGGAGTGAGCGGAGGAGGGGAAGGGAAGGGAGGAAAGGGAACGGGATGGGAAGTGAGGGAGCAGGAAACAGGAAAGTGAGGCTAACTTTTGAGTCGACTCAAAAATCACCGTGGGGGTAACGGAGAGGGATACGAACCAAAAGGGGTTTAAGAAAGGTAGAAGAAGCAACGGAATGAAGTGTGGCCGATGAAGTGTGGCCGATGCAGTGTGGCCGATGAAGTGTGGCCGGTGCAAATAAAAGCAAACCGTCTCCCTCCCCCTCTCGCCTGCTCCTATCCCCACTCGTCCCATACAGCTCCCCCCACTTGTTGAACAGCACTGGCTGCGGCCCCTAGCGTGAGAGAGTAGTGCCAGCCAGTGGGCCCAAATGGATTATCTGCCCCATCCCATGTGCAGTGCAGCCCCTCCGCCCTCTCTCTTCCTCGCCTCCTCCCCCTTCTCCGTGCTTCCACCACCCTCCTGCTCTCACCTCCTCTCTCCAGTCTTCCCGTAAAGCCCCTGGTTGAACACCACTGGCTGCGGCCCGCTGTGGAGAAAGTCGCCGAGCCCAAACGAGCAAATTGCTACATGCACACAGCAAGCTCTCGCCTCCTCTCCCCTTTCTTCCCGTACAGCCCCTGGTTGAACTGCACTGGCTGCGGCCTCTTGAGAGGAAGGTCACCGGTCTCCCCACCAGTGCACCTGCGTTTGTGTATATTGGAAATTCTCACACAGCAAGCTCTCACCTCCTCTCCCCTGTCGTCCCGTACAGCCCCTGGTTGAACAGCACTGGCTGTGGCCCCCTGTGCCCCGCAGAGAGGAACGTCACCGGGCCCCCCACCACCGCCACGGTCACTGGCAGGCGCTGCACCACCACCTGGGGGGATGGGACGGTTGGGTTGAGGGAGGAGAAGGGGAAAGATGGGGGGTGGATGGGGGATGGATGGGGAAGGTCTCAGGGCCCCCACCACCGCCACTGTCACTGGCAGCCACTGCACTACCACCTGAGGGGAGGGGAGGGTTGGGTTGGGTTGAGGGGGGAGAAGGGGAAAGATCGGGGGTGGATGGGGAAGGTCACGGGGCTTTTCACCACCGCCACTGTCACTGGCAGCCCCTGCACCACCACCTGGGGGGTTGAGTGGCTAATTTTGAGGCGCCTAAAAAAATGCCGCTGCACCACCACCTGGCGGGGGGGAAGACGAGGGTGGTCGGAGGGAGAACGGGATGGATGGCTGGACGGATGGGGACAGGGGCACGGGGCCCCCCTGAGGTCACAGGGGCCCCGGGCCCCCCTAAGGTCACAGGGGCCCCGGGTCCCCCTAAGGTCACAGGGGCCCCGGGTCCCCCTAAGGTCACAGGGGCCCCGGGCCCCCCTAAGGTCACAGAGGCCTCGGGCCCCCCTAAGGTCACAGGGGCCCTGGGCACCCCCGAAGGTCGCAGTCACTGGCATTGCCTTTACTGTAGTGGTGACCATCCGAGCGCTAAAGGCCGACTGACTACCTGTTTCTATTGCAGCATTTCTATTACTAAGGTCACACCTTGTACAGGAACATGTCCAGCCGCAGCATATCCCCTTTATAAGACAGAGCCCGCCTCAGAACCGCGGCCGGCAGGTGCGGCTGCCATTGAAGCGCGTCCGAGAGATCGCACGGCACGGATTGACTCGCTCTCGACCAGTCAAATTCATCCAAGTCAGCAGCACCATGATCAACGCCGTTTTTGGCGGTAAGAGGCTGCAGGCCGCGTTCTAGGGTGCCGCTTGGGAAAATACCCTCCCCCAGCGGAGATCCCGAGGGAGAGCCCAGACTTGATCCCCCCCTGAGGCCTGTCCCTGGGCTCCATCTGCCAGCCTTGCGAAATTCCGCCTGTGACGAAAAATTCGGGACGTTTGCGAAACCGCCTGCGAAGCTCGATAAGGCTGTTCTCTGCGCCTGCGGAATCTCGTCTGATGACCTGGCGGCCTCGAGATTGCCGGGGCCGTTGCTAGTACCGGGGCTGGGCGTGATTGCCAGGGAGGAGCGGGAGGAGGAGGAGGAGGAGGAAGATAAGAGGCCGCTAAGAAAGACAAACCAAACGATGACGAGAGCGAGCAGCGTCAGTAGCGAGACGACTAGCCGGCTAGAGCCACGCGTCGCCCGCATAGCCGGCAATTTCGATGGACTCTGGTCAATGACGGCAAATTAGCTGCTAATGGGATGCCTGGCAGTCATTTGTTAAGGGATGGTAGATCGTTTTATTGTAGTACCCCATATTGGCATGTGTGTTGAAAGTCTAGCTGAAAACAAATTACATCTGTTCCATTTCTTGCAGCACGGATTCGTCCTTATCAGCCATAACGAGTACAAATCTGATTCCAATGCCAGCGTGGTTCCCGAGGTGATGACCTGGAAAGGACGCACTCTGCTCCCTCACTGGACTGCATCTGCCTGCAGCGGCTTCCGTGGCTCCTCTCGCAACACGCCACATCAGCTCAACCAGGCTGGCTCGATGAGGCTTCCAGGGCCCCCCTTGTGCCGCGTTGACTGCAAATCCGTCGCGCTAATCTCCCCAAGCGTGCGACCCGGTCTGGCCACAAACTCGTTCACCAGCCGACGAACCAGAACGTATCGTATTGCACCGTTCGGAAAAAAACTATACCAGACACTACCGTTTATATTTCTCCTAATTACTAGCACTCAGCAGCCACGGCTGTCATAGGAGAGCCTAGCATTGCGTATTTCCCAGCTATCAAGCAGTATACGCCGATTGGCCCCTACATGTCAGTCGCGTTAGTCACTAGTCGCGCTGCACTTGACAGATCACTTGACAGCATCTCACTCCTGGTGCTTCTCCTCTCACTACGCTACTACACTTTCTGTAGTAGTAGTAGCCACTTTTCGCCACCCCACCACCTTAGTCACGGACGATTATTCTCACTCTCTCGCTGTCCCGCTGACTTCAGCTCGCTCCTTTTGACCAATGGCTTCCTCCCTCGCTGCCGTCAACTCCCTGAGCGGCGTCCGCTTCGGCGCATCTCCCGACATGATGTCGGCACTCGGATCGAAGCTTTCATGCTCTTCGCAGAATCTCCACGTATCGCTCAGTCCCGTCACTTGTAGGCGGCGCAGTGCTAACGTGATTCGCGCTCACATTGACGAACCGTCGTCGCAGCATTCCTCCTGGCCAGGTAAGGCTTGCGTCTGATTTCCCAATCACTTTTTCGAGGCGCTTTTCACCCAGTTATCGATTTCTGTTGATTCCAACGTGTCGCATCGCATCGCGGCTAGGTTCCGCATCGCATTCCCCAAGCCGCTTCTTACAACGGATATCCCTCTACCGCGTACCGCCGCAGGGAACGCCGCGCAATCCGGTGCGAAGCTGCTCGCAGCGGCGGCGATCGCGGGCTCTCTCGCGCTGGGAGCGGTGGGGCTGCCGCCGGAAGCGGCGCATGCGGCGCTGAACCGCTTCGAGGCGGAGACGCGCGGGGAGTTCGGTATCGGCTCCGCCGCCCAATACGGCTCTGCGGACCTCAGGTACGCGCCCGGTTGACAATCCGCCAAACAAGTCACATGCTACGATGCCCGCTCTTTCTCTTGGTGAACAGAAGCTCTTAGACCATCTGTTGGGCCCCACTGAACTCAACAGCGTGAAAGGGGGTCCCACAATCTTCTCCCCCCCGCCCCCCCCACCCCCCCAATATACTTCTCCCCCCAATCCCCTCAATCCCCCATTCCCCCCCACGCCTCCCCCTTCCTCCCCCACCCTCCCTCCCCCTGCTCCCCGCCTCCGCATCCCGCAGGAAGACGGTCCACAAGAACGAGAACTTTCGGCGCGCGAATTTCACGTCCGCGGACATGCGCGAGGCGGACTTCAGCGGAAGCATCTTCGCGGGGGGGTACCTCGAGAAGGCCGTCGCTTACAAAACCAACTTCGAGGGTGAGGTTTGCTGGATGGAATGTACATTTTGAATGCAGTCACCTTGTTCTGGTACGTCGCACAAGGTGTGAGTGCGTGCTGCTCTAGTTGCATTGGATGCAGAGAGTAGATGCGAGAGAATGTGCGTGCACTGTCTAGTTTTGAGGCGCCTCAAAACTAGGCACTGTGCAAGCTGTATTCAGAATTGATTTCTGCTAAACACCTCTCATCCTCAAGACTGAGCCTTGCGCTTCCGCCTGTCTCACTATAGTCACATCCCACCACGCCCTCTTCCCCCCCCACTGTCCACTTCACCAGGAGCCGATTTCACTGATGCTCTTATGGATAGAATGGTAAGCCACGTGATGGTGGCGGATGGGATGGATCATGCCATGATGGTCGTGCATGGGATGGATCATGCCATGATGGTCGTGCATGGGATGGATCATGGAATGATGGTGAAGCATGTGATGACATGATGGGTGCTGGGATAGATGTAACAATGTGTTAGGAAATTTTCATCCGGTAAACTGCCTTGGGTGGTCCGAAATATTGGGGGGAGGGGGGGAGTGGAGAGAGCGAGGAAAGATATCTTCCTGCAAATCACTCTCACTGTCCGTTCACTACTGCCTTTCCCCACCACCAGGTGCTAAATGAAGCTAATCTGACAGATGCAGTGCTGCTGCGGGTGGTGCTCACTCGTTCGGACCTGGGAGGGGCCATAGTGGATGGAGCGGACTTCAGCGATGCCATCCTTGACCTGCCGCAGAAGCAGGTGTGTGTGCGTCTGCCTGTGTGCGTCTGCCTGTGTGCGTCTGCCTGTGTGCGTCTGCCTGTGTGCGTCTGCCTGTGTGCGTCTGCCTGTGTGCGTGAGTGTGGATGTGTGTGTCTACCCTAACCACTGGCCATCATTGACCTGGGAGGGGCCATCGTGGATGGGGCGGACTGACTTCAGCGACGCCATCCTTGACCTGCCGCAGAAACAGGTGCGCGGTGTGTGTGAGTGTGAGGGTGCATGAGCGTGCATGTGTGAGAGTGTGAGGGTGCACGCACGTGCATGTGTGCTTTTGGGTGCTGACCATCATTAGCTCGCGACGGGAAGGGTAATTATGGATGGGGCGGACTGACTTCAGCGGTGCTATCCTTGCCCCTCCTCTATGCCCCTCTTTTATGCCCCTTTCTCGCAGGCCCTGTGCAAATACGCCAAGGGGGAGAATCCAGTAACAGGCATGAGCACAAGGAAGAGCCTAGGGTGTGGCAACCGCAGGGGCAATGCGTATGGCTCGCCCTCATCCCCTTTATTGAGCGATGCGCCAAAACCGTTTCTGTCCAAAGATGGATTCTGTGATGATAGTTCAGGGCTGTGCAAGGCATCTTTTTAAAATACTGTAGGGATGTAAGGTGTTGTTTTACAATCCTGTAATTGCAAGTGTGAAGCTTCTAACTTTCAATACACACCACTCAAGCTGGAATTCACTTTTCTTTTAGTTGTCTGCTACAGTGGGCTTTAATGCCAGTGCCAACGTGGTATGACAAATCCGAAGCATTCCCTTCATCTGGCAGCTAGTAAACATTGCAGCAATGATAAGCACCAGTTGCCAGCAGGGAGCTGGTATGCACGTGAATTCTAGTCGTCGCATTCAGCTCGTTGAAAAGGCTGATCCAATCCAACCCACCACCAACTTATAACTGTCTTCTTGTTTTGGGCCTTCAGACAGTGGCATCCCCTCACCCTTCACTTCAGCAGATTAGGCAGACACAGTGGCAAGCCAGACCAGTACTAGTACTGCTGCTTAGTCAAAGCCCACAGTGAAGACAGTCTCCAAGTGAGCCCTTGAGCAGAGTACGGGCAAGATTATGCAGCTGGATTTGATTAGATTTTATACCCTTGTCACTCCGCTGCTACGCAGGCTTCAAATTTCGCAGAACTCGTCCAGAGTGGCTTCAAGCGCTGCCTTGTCAAAGTCCCCAGTGAAAACACAGTCGCCCAGTGGGCCCTTGAGCAGAATAAGACGCAGCTGGCCGTCCGCTACCTTCTTGTCCACCTGCAAATTGGTAGGGGAAGTGCGTGCATGCACATGAATGGGTATAAGCACAAGAATGGGTACGCGCTCAAGGATGGGTTCGGGTATAAAAATGGGTATGGGTACGTGGTGAGGACAATGAGAGTAAGGTCTAGACGTGTGCGTACTAGACGTGTGCGTTGATCACAGTACTGTGTGTAAAGTGGATGTAAACAGTGTAAGTGTACGTAAACTCTGCGTAGGCTGTATGTAAACCTAAGTTGGACCCTTATGTCCATGTAGCCCAAGAACACATAAAGTAAGCGAAACGTTACATGCGCATTTAAGTACGTGCCGCTTACGTGCACGTACGCCGGGCAGGTCTGAAATTTACTCCCGGGGAAGAAAAACCCATGCAGCTTACGCGAGGTCTAACCGTACTATTGTCTACCGCGCCACTGCTTCACTGCTGAAACAGTGGCGCGACGGACAGTAGTCCGGTTAAGTCTCGCGTAAGCTACACGGGTGGTGCTCCTTGTTTACTCGTTGTCTTGTTAAGACGACGCCCTAAAATTTGCGCGGAAGCCTAGAGCTGTTGCCTACAATCTGCCGAACAAGAGGGGCACTAATGGAGGCTCTGCCACGCGCCATACCCCAAACACTCGCATACATACACATTCACGCACCCCAAGAGGACAACCCGTTCTCCCTTTTCCCCCCCAAACCAGGCACACGTACCGCCATGAGGTTTCTGAACTGCTCCTTGGTGACGGCAGACGGAGGCCGCGTGGGGAGTCTTGATCCACCCTCGTCCCACCCAATACTCACAAGCAACAAGTCTTCTCTCCTCCCTCACCTCTCCCCTCTCCCCCTTCCCACACGTACCGCCATGAGGCTTCTAGACTGCTCCTTGGTGACGGCAGACAGAGGCCGCGTGGGAAGCCTAGCCTTCTCAATGATAGCGGTGGTTCTGTCCCGTAGAGCGGTGTCGATCCACCCCATGCGGTGCAACATGTGCGTGTGCTGCCACTCGCCATACCCTAAACCGTCACACAAATAAACATGCACCCCAAGAGCACGATAATTTCTTTTTCCCTCTTCCCCAAACACACGTACCGCCATGAGGCTTCTGAACTGCTCCTTGGTGACAGCGGATGGAGGCCGCGTGGGGAGGCGGGCCTTCTGAATGATGGCGGTGATTCTGTCCCGGAGAGCGGCGTCGATCCACCCCATGCGGTGCGACATGTGTGCTGCCATCACCGTGCCCGCTGCCACTGCCTCCCCGTGCAGCCACTCACCGTACCCCAGTCCGTTCTCTATGGCCTGGGAAAAGGGGGCAGGTGGAGGGGGAGGGGGGCGGGGGAAAGAGAGGAAGTGGGAGAGAGAAAGCGGGAGGTCTGTCAGGGGAGCTAAGGTGAGAGGCGGTGCAACATGTGTGCTGCCATCACCGTGCCCACTGCCACCGCCTCCCCGTGCAGCCACTCGCCGTACCCCAGCCCGTTCTCTATGACCTGCAGGGGGGGAGGAAGAGGGGGAGTAGAGGAAGTGGGGCATGGAAGCAGCCACCTAGTCCGTTCTCTATGGCCTGCACGCATAAGGGAGACAGATGGGGGGGTTGGGAAGACTGCTTTTGAGTCGACTCAAAAACAGATGGGGGGGGGTTGGGAAGAGAGGAGGTGGGGGAGAAGGCAAGAGGCCGTGCAACACGTGGGCTGCCTGCCACTGCCCCCCCATACAGTCACTAGCCGTAGCCCAACCCGTAGTCTATGGCAGGAGAGGTTGTGCGTGTATGGGGGGGTGTTAGAGGGAGGGGGGGGGGTGATAGAGGAGGTGGAGGGGGTATGCGGGTTTAAGATGATAAATTGGACCCACTGAAGAGGCTTTCCCAATACTGAAGGCTGAAGCATGCATGCATGCAGAAGAGTACGTACATGGCCAAATGTGTGGCCGAGGTTGAGCGTGGCTCTGAGTCCGCCCTCCTTCTCGTCAGCCGCCACCACCTCCGCCTTGTTCTCACACGACCGCTTTATCGCGTATGCTAGTGCAGCCGTCTCCCTGAAAGACAATCGCAGAGAGTAAAAGAGAGGATGAGGATCGGTGAGGTGGGGAGGTAGGGGTAGAGCGTGGCCCTGAGTCCGCCCTCCTTCTCACCTGCCCCCACCACCGCCGCCTTGTTCTCACACCACCGCTTTATCACGTATGCTAGCGCTGCAGTCTCCCTGCCACACACAAGCACAGGGGCATACAATCACACGGGATACAGTCACATGCCGTACAAGGGCAGCTGTTGATGGTTAATCAGTCGGCCAGTCAGTCAGTTAGTGAGTCCGTCACACGGACGGAGAGACACACTCACACGGACAGGCCCAGCCCAAAGCCAGAGCTAAAGAATACACTGCAGGACAATAGCACAGACCTAGAACCTCTTAATCGCACGCATCCAGGCCTCTATTGGGTGTCAGAAATCTCGTGTGTGGAATAAGCTTCTCACTGCTGGCCAGGCATGTTATGCATGGCAGCTCACTTGAAACAGCTTTTCATCACGCACCCACGGCCGTGATGAAACCCGGTTAGACCGTTAAGAGGAATCCTCAAGAATCATGAAACTCTATCGTCAGCCATTGCAACAGCAGCGAAGAGCAAAAGGAACGCCAGGTCAGAAAGCAGAATCGAAGGACCCATTGGGGTGTCAGAAATCTCGTGTGTGGAATAAGTATTTCTTTGCTGGCCAGGCATGCTATGCATGGCAGCTCACTTGAACAAAGTTTCATCACACACCCACAGCCGTATCAGGACATTTCAAACTACAGCATGAAACACAGGGGACGGAAAAGAAACCAGACAAGAAAAATGGAGAAGCCAAATCAAATCAGGGAGCAGAATCTGATCCGAGCATTTAGTTTAGTGGGGTGTCAGAAATCTCGTGTGTGGAATGCAACTGTTCACCACCGTTCCTTAACGGAACAGTTCTTGTTGAACAAATGAGCATCATCCACCCCACTGTAACACACACACACACTTCCTTACTCTCTCACCTGACAAGTAACCGGTCCACGTTTTGCTCCGGCCATTTAATCTATTCCGCGTCCCCAATGAGCCCGTAATCGACAACCTCCGCTAGGCGCGAGGCGAGCACCTCTTGCTACCTCCCTCTGAATCCAATCCCCTCAAACTACCTCGAGACACGCCTCCTGCCTCACCTGTCCAGTAGCCGGCCCGAATTCTCCTCCTGCCACTCGAACAACTCCGTGTCCCACCTCAGCCCGTACTTAACGACCTCAGCTAGGTCCGACGCAAGCTCCTCATCTAACCTCGCTCTGAAATCCCCGAACAGTGGCGATCGTGACCAACCAAAAAGTGCCTTTTTCTCTCCCAACCAAACCCTCGCGTCTACCCAAGAGCCTGCTCGTTTTCGCCCGAACTACCCTCACCTGGCCTGTAGCCGGTCCATGTTCTCTTCCTGCCACTCGAACAACTCCGCGTCCCGGATCAGCCCGTACTTACGACCTCAGCTATGCCCGAAGAAAACTCCTCCTCCAACCTCGCTCTGAAACCCCAGAAACCCCAAACAGTGGCGATCGTGCCCCCTCACCTGGCGAGTAGCCGGTCCATGTTCTCTTCCTGCCACTCGAAGAACGCCGCGTCGCGAATCAGCCCGTACTTGATGACCTCCGCCAGGCCTGACGCAAGCTCCCGGTCGGGGAGAGACGCGAGCGTGTCGGTGTCGATCAGCACGCACTGCGGCTGGTAGAACGCGCCGATCATGTTCTTGCCCAACCGGTGGTTGACACCTGTCTTGCCGCCCACCGACGAGTCCACCTAGGCATGATGTGCAAACGAAAACGAGGAAGTGGATTGATGAGGAAAGAGAAAGCGCAAGCGTGCAAGTGCCTAGTTGGATACAAGAATGGCAGTGACAAGCAAGGAGAACGGGAGAAAGGGCGTAGGAAGAAAGGGCAAAAGGACTAAGAGAGAAAGGGCAAGGAAAAGGGGCCTGGCTGAGGAGATTGACGAGCTTCTTAGCACATACCTGAGACATGACCGTGGTGGGAATCTGAATGAAGTTGACACCTCGTAGGTAAGACGCAGCGGCGAAGCCCGTCATGTCGCCGATCACGCCTCCCCCCAGAGCCACGAACGTGCAGCGCCGGTCCATGCGGGTCTCGAGCGCTCTGTCGAAGATCAGATTGAGGGTTTCCTGAACACAGAGGCAACACGGGATAACGACCAACAACGGAAGCACAGGGTGACATAGGAGCTTGAAGTTAAAAACGAGGGATTTGAGAAGATTCGGACAGAGTTAATCAGGCATGATGACTAACGGGGAGAGGGAATGAGAAGGCCGAAAAGGCGGGACGCGACAACGAAAGCGGGACACGGCTTTCCATATCACATTTGTTCAACTATCAAAACACCAGGAAAGCGAGCAGCCTACCAGGTCTTTAAACTGCTCGCCGTCCGGCAGCACGACGCTGCGAACCTCCAGCTGTGGGTTGCCATGTGTCAGCGCCGAAATGGTCCGCTCCAGATACAGCGGCGCGACGGTTTCATTGGTCACCACCAACACTCGCCGGCCCTTGACGTGTCTGAAAACAGGGCGGGGGAAAAAAAAAAATAGGGACGAAATGATGACAAAACAAAGAAGGCATGCGGCAAAAAATACTACAGTAAGGAAACAGGAAAGAAGAAAGAAAGGTTTTGATAGCACTGACTGTTGCATCCACCTTAATCAACCGCTGATTTTGACCTACGTACAGAGGGAATCTCTACCGTCCATCATCCCACCTGCATAGCAAATCTCCGCGGTCCAGAATTCCCGCACCGATGTAGATCGGGTAGCTCCGATCCCCTAGATCTACGTCTACGACCGTTATTCCCCGCTCCTCTAACCCTCCACTCTCCCTCACCGCATTCCCCGCCGTCACTGCGGCCGTTTCTCCTGCTACGTGAGCCGCTGCAGCGGCAACCTGAGACTCCTGATGTCTAGCACAGACCGGTGTAGTTAATCTTAATCGCCTGAGAGATCGGTTAGCTGGTCTAACGGCTCGGAGGGACCGGTTTGGTTGGCTGGCGGAAAGCGAGCGGGAGAGGGGATCAGAGGCGAGCGCAGAAACAGTGGCGGGATGAGTGGTGCTCGATCGAACGTGAGAGGATGGAGCGGCCGGAGATGTCCCGACGCAGCCGCGGCTAACAAATAGCTCCGATGCGGGCATTCTGGCGGAAAAGCCTCCTCACGCGACGATGGCTCGATGTTTGCTGTGGCAGTACAGATAAATTAGGCTCCTAGACCAGGAAGCGTAGAAATCCCGAGGGAGGAAAAACTAAGAATCTGTTCCCTTCCCACCCCCCTGGGGAACAAACAGATTCTGTTGCGCGTGAGGCAGGCTCCGCCAAGTGATGACGAAGGGGGAACTGGGGGGGAGGAGTGGGGGGAAAACAGGCAGCAGGCAGTAAGGACGCGCGGTATTTCAGAGGAATCGGGGGACGGCGGACGGTAAGGGCGGGGTGCTTTCCGCCACTGAAGATGGTTTGTGGCCACGTTTGCGCAAAGCTTGTGGTGGAGATTGACAGAGCAGATAGAGAAGATCTGTGTTGCCACGTGGTAGAAGAAAGTTCTGGAAAGTTATTGTTGTTCTGGAAAGTTTGCTTATGGGTGGTTTATTGGTGGTTTTCTTATTCGCACTAGTTTGTTCTGGAAAGCTTATACGCTTTCACGAGTCACTCCGAAAACAGCCGCAAGTTATAACTGGGTCATACTTTTCACTCTCCTTACCAAGGCATTCTATGAATCCGAGGAAGCCATTACTGGCATCTCAGGAACAGCACGGTAGAGTTCTGGCTGGACACAGGCTGCAAGCAGGCGATCTGCTTCCCTCGCCTGCACCACAGCCACGGGAGTATGGTTGTCGCATAGGATGCCTGAACGACGCAGGCGAAAAGGATAGGAGTGGAAACGCAAGCATTGCCTTTCGGATGGTTTGGAAAAGTCAAGCGCTGCTGCGGGGCTAGGGGTATTACGCGCAAGACCACGGCGTATGTACGAGTCGCCGTAAGGACGACTCGTGAGTGAGAGAAAGATACGCGAGAAACGTTAGCCAAAGGGAAGCGCGAGAGGCGAGAAGCGAGAGTCGTTATGGGGGTGCCTCTGCTGCTTGACATGCTCCGCAAGCCGGCAACAACGCTCGTCGCCTAAGCACCGTACGGACAACTAGTAAGAGCGAGAGCTAAAGGAAAGCAGCGAGAAGCGAGAGGGCGAGAACGAGACAGCCATGGGGGTGCCTCTGCTGCTCGACATGCTCCGTAAGCCCGCAACAACGCTCGTCGTCGCTCTCTGCTCCTGCATCTGGTACCAGATCCAGAAACGCGCTATAAGCTACCCCGACGTGGGGATAAGCTACGACGCGGTCGTCTCCCAACGCCAGTTCTGGCGGCTCGCGTCCGCGCCGCTCTCGCACATCTCCCTCCTGCACCTCCTCTTCAACGTCTCCGCGCTCTGGAGCATGGGCGGGATCGAAACCCTGACCTCCGCTGACGTCAGCAGCAGGGCTGCTGTTACGGCCGCTGTCGGTAGTGTTACGAGTGCTATGAACGCGACGACGTCCAGCCAATGGCAGCCTGCCGTGCCCCCTTCTGAGTCGAGGTTCCTATCTTCCGTGCCTTCAGCTCCGTCCTCCGTTTCGCCCGCCTCCTCCCTCCAATCGCCCTCCCTGCCTGCCTCCTCTCTGGCTGACAGCGCTCCGAATCCCTCCAATTCTGATGTCCTCACGGGCCTCCCAAGCTCCAGCTCTAATTCCCTTAACTCAGGAGAGATCAGCGCCGCCGACTCCCCCCTGGCCGCTACAAGGCGAGGTCTAGAAGAGGGTGCGGGCTCCAGTGCATCGCAGGGGCAGCAACCGAACCAGCAGCAGCAGGAGCAAGGGAAAGAGCAGCAGCAGCAGCAAGAAGCGGCAAGGGGGCAAACTGAGCTGCATTTGGTGACCGGATGGGTGCCGGGGGGTTCGGTTGGGTACCTGAGGGACTCGTTTCTGATGCTGGTGCTGTCAGGGCTGCTGGGGCTGGCCATGTACCACGTGCTCATCCACAGGTGGAGGCTTGAGTACTTCCGGAGAGTGACGGCAGTGGGGTACTCGTGCGTGGTGTTCGGCTGGATGACCGTGCTCTCTGTGCGCCGCCCTGCCATCTCGCTCTCTGTCTTTGGCCTCATCAAGCTGCCGGTGTCGCTAGCTCCGTTTGAGTCTCTCATCTTCACATCTCTCATCGTTCCTAAGGTGTGTTTTTCTCCCTCTTCCACCTGGTTCTCGTTCCCCCGCCCGGTTTTAGCCCCTTAAAGCCGTTGGCACAAACGTGGGCATGCTTCCCTCTGACATGCATTCTTGCCGATGTGTGCATGGCAGGCTAGCTTCGTGGGTCATCTCGCAGGCATCATTGCTGGCTATCTCCTTGCATGGGGTGTCCTAAAGGTGAGTGTATTTCTTCTTCTAAGACTATTAAGACCGCGAGTCTTGATGTTGAATTCCTTAACCTGGTTGGAGCATGATCAACCAACCCTCTGATCTGTTCCGTTTCATGCTGCAGGGATTTGACACCTACTGGACTCTTGTCCTGGCATCCTGGTTTGTAATTCTATGTGTCATTAGCTTGAAGAATGCGTCGCCATTTGACTGCTCCATTTTGCAAATAGAGCCACTCCTTCCGGAGCTCACTGAAGCACTAGCCACGTCTGGACAGGTCCCTTTCTTGATTCCTCCGCCGCAACTTCCCTCGGTGTTAGGGCACTCTGGGGCCCCCACAGCACGAGGTGACAATTTTGTGTGAATAAAAACACTTGTGCTGGTAAATAGAAGAAAAATATGGCTGTGAACACAAAGTTGGAGACAGTTCTATGAAGTCAAGGGAGAGAGGTTCTAGTAAGGATACCTTGTAGTGTAGGTCAGATTAGTCAATACTTGATGTGTCAAATGTATCAAGTGTGATCATGTGGTATTTTTGTTCTGGGAGATTCCCAATGGCGGGTACGTGGCAGGGTCCTCGTGATTCACGACAAGACGACTCCCCCTAAGAGCTCGCTGCCGCCACGTCGCTAGCTACGTCATCGTCGCCTCGCCACTATCTTCCCGCCTTGCGGATTTGCCGTGAATCGCGGTGCGGCAAGCCCACTAATCTGCGGTCCCACTCGTACGCGATCCCACTAGCACCTGCGATCCTTGTGGCTGGCTGCCCTAGTCAGCACGCGTCTCTCGCTGCTGCGATCAGTCATCTTTGAGGCGCTCAAAAATAGACTCCTTGTGTCTGGCAATTCTAACTTCGGAGCACGCATCTCTCGCCGCTGCGATCCTGCATTCTTCGGCCCTTATCGGCTGGCACAGCATTACTACTCCTATGCCTGATCCGATATCGATGCAGTATTAGCTACTCCCGATCCTCATTTCAACGCCCGAACCTCGTCTTAGTTACTTCCGAACCTCTTAGCTTTTCCCGAAGCCGATCTAACTACTTCCCATCCCGATCTTAGCTACTTCGGATTTCGAGCATCTGAGGATTCCGTCAGGATGCGTCGCGGCTCGAGCTCCCGTTTACCCGTCTCTCCGTCGCAGCTCCTTTCGTTCTTAGAACCCGCTGAACTGCATCGTGGCTTTCCAGCAGGGATGGGAGTGAATTCAACCGCTGCAGCAGCAGTATCAGCAGCAGCAGTATCAACATCAGCAGTAGCAACAGCAACAACATCAGCCACACCGGGTAGAGCAGCAGCAGCAACAGCGGCAACAGCGGCAGCAGCAGCGGGAACAGCGACCCCAGGGGCCGTGTGGCTCCTAGCCAGGTCCACGTCAGCGCAATCTTTGTCATTGAGATCCGATCCGATCCGATCAGAGTCAAGTCGTATTGAGATCTGCAGTGCGGCCTTTCCTCCCCTCTCCTCTCTCCGCCATGCTTCGTTCGCGGCGCAACCCTTACCACCTTCACCTGAAACGACCTTTCTGAGGACCGGAATTGGCGGAGGCGAAAGAGTACACGCGGGCGGAGCGCGGTCGATCGCTAGCGTTTCCGGATCGCCGATTTACCTGTCCGCTTCGTCAGGTTCCGCGTCGGATGCCACGTCGGATGACACGTCAGACACGTCTCTCCCGCGAATCAAGCCGTACGATGCGCTCTTTCGCGATTCTCCGAAGCCTCTAGGCGTGGGTCCCAACCCCAGCGTAGTAGCTAGGCCGAAGGGAGGGGTTTACGGAGCGGTTCTGGGCCTCCTAGGGTACTATTCCAAGGAGAGCGAGTTAATCCGCGGCGCGAACGCGCTTTACAAGGCGGTGACGCGGCAGGCTGACGACGAGACGTTCTTAAGAGGTGCGCGATACGGAGTATGGGTGCTATGCGCTGTGTGCTGTGTGCTGTGTACTGTGTGCTGTGTGCCGTGTGCTGTGCGCTGTGTGCTGTGTGCTGTGTCCTGCGCGCTGTGTGCTGTGTGCTGTGTACTGTGTGCTGTGTGCCGTGTGCTGTGTGCTGTGTGCTGTGCGCTGTGCGCTGTGCGCTGTGCGCTGTGCGCTGTGCGCTGTGTTACTTGCTGTATTCTTTGGTTGAAAGAGGAGACGGTTTGGAAAGGCTGGAGATCTCGGAATGGGGGGGCGGAGAGGGGGGTTGGGGGGGAGGCGGTGAAGCTGCTGGTGAGCGGCTCTCGCACCCTTCTCTGTTCCACTCCCCTTTCTTCTCCCCTCTTTCTTCTCCCCTCTTTTTTCTCCCCTCTTCCCTCCCACCCCTGCAGCCCTGGGTCTTCCATCTCAGCTTCGTACAGACCGTACTTCAACTGCCTCTCGTCCACTCTCCCTTTTTTTCTCCCCTCTTCCCTCCCACCCCTGCAGCTCTGGGTCTCCCGTCCCAGTTCCGCACGCACCACGCCCTGCTGGTCCTGCACACCTGGCTGGCTCTGCTGCGCCTGCGCAAGGAAGGAAAGAGCGGGGCAGCGGTGGGGCAGACGTTGTACGACACGTTTAACCACGACGTGGAGAGGCGAGTGGTGCGGGAGGGGGTGAAGCTGCTGGTGAGCAAGTGGATGCGGGAACTCGAGAAGAACTTCTACGGGGCGGCCGCGGCTTATGACGCTGCTGTGGCGCCTGGTGCCAATGCTGATGCACTACCCAGGGCCCTCTGGCGGTGAGTTGACTGATTCCGCGTGATAGGAGTCTAGTTTTGAGGCGCCTCAAAACTAAATGCTGATGCACTATCCAGGGCCCTCTGGTGGTGAGTTGACTGATTCCGAGGGTGTTCCACTAGAATGTGCAGTGATAGTGGTGTTCAGTACAGCTGGTGCGGAAGGGGGTGGAGCTGCTGGTGAGCAGGTGGATGAGGGAGCTCGAGAAGAATTTCTACGGGGCGGCCGCGGCTTATGACACTGCCATTGCTCCTTCGGCCAACGCTGATGCACTTCCTAAGGCTCTGTGGCGGTGAGTTGACTGAGTGGCAGTGAGTTTATTTGTTCTGGTGGTGAGTTGACTGATTCTGGCGGTGAGTTGACTGATTCTGGTGGTGAGTTGACTGATTCTGCCAGTGAGTTGACTGATTCTGGCAGTGAGTTGAGACTGAACTTTGTGGTGATCTGGGGGAGTTTTGCACACAGAATGTGGAGAGGGAATGTGGAACCAGGCAGGGCAGGCAAGATGCATGTGTCAGAATTTTAAAAAATGACTCCACAGAATGTGATATAAGGTTTGTTTTGAGACGTCTGAAAACAAACCTTATATCAGAATGTGTAGAGGAGCGTGGAACCAGGTAAGGCAAGCAAGATGCATGTGGTGGTGGGGGAAGGGAGAGGCTGGATGAGGGAGCTCGATGAGGGAAATTGAGCCACATTTCATCTTGGGGGGGTTTTTTTGCCACAGAATGCGCATGGAACGTGGCTCTACCAGGCATGTATAGGCCGTGTATAATGAGTGGCATGCGCATTCTGTGGCGAAAAAACCCCCCCAAGATGCGATGTGGCTCAAAAATCGACTCATTACACACTACCAGGCATGTATAGCAGACAAGCTGCATGTGGTGATAGGGGAAGGGACGGAAGGGGTGAAGTGTGGATGAGGCAGCTCGAGAGGAACTTCTAGGGCGCCGCTGCTGCTTATGATGCTGCCGTGGCGCCTGGTGCAGGTGGCGCCTGGTGCAGGTGGCGCCTGGTGCAGATGGCGCCTGGTGCAGGTGGCGCCTGGTGCAGATGGCCCCCGGTGCAGACGGTGCCTGGTGCAGATGGCGCCTGATGCTCTTGTCAAGGCCCTCTACCGTGAAAAGAACAAGCTGATTGTATCTAACCAGTTCTGCCCCCCCCCCTCTCCCCCGATTTCCCTGGGCGTGTGCAGCAATGTGTTTGCGGAAGACGACTCTGACATGCCGCCAGGCCCAGCAGCTGCTCCCGTGCAGGTGAGGGGAAGGAGAGCGAGAGCATTGCCCGCGCCAGGGCAGAGGGTTGGTGAGCTGGAAAGAACGAGAGAGTGCATGGCTGGCAGTGCAGAGTTTACAGAGCAGGTGCTTCTGACATGCCGCCAGGGCCAGCAGCTGCTCCCGTGCAGGTGAGGAGAGAGAGGGTGAGAGCATTTCAGGCGCCTTGCACCAGGGCTGAAAGAGCGAGCGGAGTGGGTGTTGGTGAGCGAGCGGAAAGGGAGAAAGAGAGAGGGAGTGGGTGCAGTGCAGAGCGTACAGAGCAGGTGATTCCGACATGCCATCATCAGGCCCAGCGTGAGGAGTCTGTTTTTTACACGCCTCAAAAATAGACTCTGCAGTGCAAAGCGCACAAAGCATGTGATTCCGACATACCATCATCAGGCCCAGCAGCTGTTTGCGTGAAGGTGAGCAGTGAGCATTACTAAGGTACGCAGAGGTCGTTACCAAACAGTCCTAGCTTAATGGATTGCTGCTGCTGCTGCTGCTGCTGCTGCTGCTGCTGCTGCTGCTGCTCCTGCCGCGAAACCTCTGCTCTGCCTTCCGCCTGCCTCTCCTCTCCTCTCCGCTTCCCCCTCCTCCCCTTTCTTTCCCCCCATTCCCCCCCTCCCCTTTCCTCCCCTCCCACTCTCCCCCTTCCCCTCCCACTCCCCCCCTTCCCCTTGCGTCCCTGCTACCACATGCAGGCCTTGGCTCGTTATGTGAGGCTTGAACTGGCCTCACTTGCTCTTACAGGTGAGGTCGCGTAAAGTGCTTCTTCCAACCCGCTCCTAAGGATGATACTTCGCATCATATGGCCATTTTCCTCCCCATGATTGCTAGTTCCTTAGTTCTTTCCCTCTGCCATCCTGTCATCCTGTCTCGTCGGCCTTTCCTCCCCCATTCTGCGTATTCCAGGCATCCAATGCCACTCACAGGCAACATGCTTTTGAGTAGAGTCAAAAGCATTCTGCATATTCCAGAGTCCGATCTGATGCCATACTCACAGGCAGCATTACTTTCACCAACACCTTCCACGCAGCCGACCCCTGATATCTTCTCTTCTCTTCCCTCTCGATAGAATTCCAGTTCTGAGGCGCCTCAAAACTCGACTCCATGCAGCAGAACCATTATATCGTCGCTTATAATCCCTGGCCGCCTGGCCTTCATGTTTCCGCCCATTCTCCCCTCTCCTGTCCGCCACCAGACTCCGATGCTGTTCTCTCCGGCAACATTACTTTCACCAACACCTTCCATGCAGGAGACCCCTGATTGGTGTGCTTGGCGTCGAGCAGACTGTATTTCAACGAGTAAACGTGCAATGTGCAATGTGCAGTTGTGGTATTCAAAATGCAGTATACATTCACGAGGCGAAGGGCATTTGCCTTTCAAATCAAGTTGTCATGTATGTAGCGGAAGCACAGCTTCTTCCCCAGTAACCGAATTGACCACATCTATCTACTCCCAGCACCCATGAAGCATCCATGAAGCACGCGTGACGCTGCCGACGCGCAACTTCTCCTAGCCACCAGCTGCAGCGACCAGAGTGTGCACACCACCACCCATCCCAGCGTTTTTCATCCTTCTCCTGCACCATGCCCCTACAACCAGCTCAAACCCCCATCATACTCTCCTGTAGCACTCCCCCTCCACTTGCTCCAAGGCCCCATCAGCCCCCCACGCAGCAGTAATCCGCTTCGCCTCGCCCGCTCCCACCACCCACGACGCCGACAGCACACGCCACCTCCCTTCCACCAGCTGCATCTGCAGTTGCCCCCTTCATACTCTTCTGTAGCACTCCCCCTCCACCTGCGCAAAGCCTCCATCCGCCCCCCAGGAGGCAGTGATCCGCTTCACCTCGCCCGCTCCCACCACCCACGACGCCGACAGCACAAACTGCCTCCCCGCCACGAGCGGCAGCGAGCGCGGAGCACACATCACCACCCCCTGGGGCAGAGCGAAGACTGCGTACAGGTGCTCGTCGCCCTCTGGCACCCGCCCCATAAACCCAACTGCCGCTGCTGCCACCTCTACTGCAGACAGGCCAGCGTTGCTGCTGCCAGCAGCAGCTTCTCCTGCTGGATCAGGTTCCGCAGCAGCAGCAGCAGCAGCAGCAGCAGCTGATACGGTGGCAGCAGCCACAGCACTGTTGGTGCTCCACTCCTCTGCCCAGGACACGTTCTCCCTCTCCTGGACCATCAGGTTGCGCGTCAGAATGGTGCGCGTTCCCAGCATCGTCTTGTCATCTAGCGCTGGAACGGGCGGCAGGTGGTCGGGCAGTTGGGATGAAGTGACGCCCGGGCCCCACATGGGTGAGACCCAGTCTTGCGGGCGGCGGTCGTTGGTGTCTAGCGACTCCTCCACAACGACTGAGGCTGCCAACGCACCGTCTGGCTCAAACACCACACTGCTGCCGAGACGAGCCGTGTCGGCTGGAGGCATAGGGATGAGGAGGGGGGCGAGATGCGTGGGAGGAAGATTTTTGAGTCGACTCAAAAATCACCCCGAGGCATAGAGATGAGGAGAGGAGAGGGACTAGATGCATGGGAGGAAACAGCTGAGGCTGCCAACGCTCCCTCCGGCAAAAAACACCATACTGCTGCCGAGAAGAGCCGTGTCGTGTCGGCTGGAAGGAGTTTGGTTGGGGATGGGGATGGGGGTGGGGCGGGGTGGGGAGGGGGGGGGAGGTAATTGAACAGTTTCAGCAAGAGCGGGGTTTCACTGCGTGAGAAGAACTCCGAAACTCGATCATAAGAGGCGGCTTGACCCCCCCTGCCTCAGCAGAGCAGCCACATCGAGAGGCGCCCATACGCAGGTGATTTTTGAGTCGACTCAAAAACCACATCAAGAGGCGCCCATACGACATCCCCGTTTTTGCCCGGGAATATCTCTGAGACGTCGCAAGACGAGCAGGACCCACAATGTGAGAATAAGACGTCCTTCTTGTCCTCTGAGAGGCGGCTTGATGCCGCCTGCCCCGTCAGGCACATATACCGGCCCCCAATATGCCATCCGCGTGTACAAAGGAGGGTTATTGTAAAGTTTCAGCCAGAGCGGGACTCACCGTGTGAGAAGAAGAACTCGACCATTAGGGGCGGAGCAGGTTGATGCCACCTGCCCCATCCGCGACATCGAGCGCCCGCATACACCGTCCCTGTTCCTGCCGGTGGTATATCTGAGACATCTCACACCGAGCGGGACTCACTGTGTGAGAAGAAGAACTCGACCATGAGAGGCGGCTTGATCCCGCCTGCCCCATCAGCCACGTCGAGAGGGCCCCATATGCCGTCCCCCTCCCTGCTGACCACGTAGCGGCGCGCGTTGCTGTTTGCCACGTGGCAGATCCCGTCTGGCAGGCTGTGCTCCGCCAGGGACAGGTCCCACTGCACGCCCACCCTGGGCGCCTGCTTGGGGGCCTCGCCCTCAAGGTCGTACCAGTCGTTCTGAGGGTGGGGAAGTAGGGGTGTGACTGTGATATTAGAGTGGTGTGAGGGATATTAGAGTGGCGTGAGGGATATTAGAGTGGTGTGAGGGATATTAGAATGGTGTGAGAGTGATATTAGAGTGGTGTGAGTCTGTGAGGGGGGAAAGTCTGGCAGGCTGTGCTCCGCTTCCGCCAGGGACAGGTCCCATTTTTTAGTCAACTCAAAAGTCACCCCGCCAGGGACAGGACCCACTGCACGCCCACCTTGGGCAGCTGCCTGGGCCTTGGTGGGGGAAGAGGAGGGGGGAAGGCGGGTAAAAGTGGTACGAGTTTTGAGTCGACTCAAAAATCGACTTATTACACACGCGACCTGCTTGGGGGCCTCGCCTTGGTGAGGGAACGGGGGGGGGGAGGGAGGGAGGGTAAGAGAGGTACGAGAGTGGTGTGTGAGGGGTGTGAGAATGGTGTGAGAGGGGTGTGAGAGGTGTGAGGGGGGTGTGAGGTGTGAGGGGGGTGTGAGGGATGTAAGGGGTGTGAGAGGGGTGTGAGGGTGGTGTGAGGGTGGTGTGAGGGTGGTGTGAGGGTGGTGTGAGTGGCAGAGAGGTGCAACTTCAAAGGAGAACGGAGAGGGAGGAAGGGGAAGCTAGGTAAGGGGAACACACACGCCATATGGAATGGTAAAAGGTGGGGAAGATTAAGGGAGCGTGGGAGAGGGAGGTATGGGGGAAGAGGGGGAGATGGGGAGATGGGGAGATGGGGAGATGGGGGGAAAGGTGGGACAGAGAGGGAAGGCAATCATTGCATGTGAAGGTCATGATGGGATGCAAGTACAAGCTCACCCACGGTCTATTTTCTAGGCGCCTTTTTTTGCCTATTATTTTTCATGGGATGGAGGCATTTACAAGGTAATATTTGCCTGTGAGTTCTTTTGAGACGGCTCAAAACATGCACACGGAAACATTGCCCGTGATTTTTATGATGAGATGGATGTATGTACAGGGCAATATTTGCCCGAGATGGTCATGATGGGACGCATGTACAAGCTCACCATATGAGCGTAGCTGCTCAGGTCGGGTGACGTGGCCCACAATTTCCGCACGGATTTCACGGATCGGATGGCGTCGCGTGACTGGAACGGCTTCCACGTGCGCCATTGCCCGTGCCAGTTGCCCATGCGGCCCTTCGACGCGCCCCACCACCAGTGCTCCTCCGGACTCATCTGCCGGACGGACGCTTCCTCGGCGCAGTCGGATGCGGGGACGGGGTCAGTGGCGCTGGAAGTCATGGCGGACGATGACGTGGCAGAGGCTGACGTGGAGGAGGCTGACGTGGACGCGACGACGTGTGGTTGGCGGGAGAAGGAGATTGGCCGAGGAAAGAAGTTGCTATGTAAGGGTGAACGGCCTGAGTGTTCAAGAGGCAAAGGGAAAGAGGAAAGAGAAGAAGTATAAGGAGTTGGAAGCGGATGGATGCAGCGGCCGGCGTTACAAGTTACAAGACTCCGTTCAGATTCGCTGTGCGGTATAGATCGCTGAGTGGAGGTCTTTGATTCGCTACGAAGCAATCGCTGAGCAAACATATCAGGGCCAAGGAATTGACCAATTCAGGACTATTTTGACCATTTCAGGACCAAGTGAGAACTTGACCAGGGTTTCTACCTGTCGGGCACACATTCGCCGCCACGGGCCGTCCCGTAAACTCGGAAACGCAACTCCGGCGACTCGTTGGTCGAGAAACCACAATGCGGGTCGCACTCATGGAAATAGTAGGCATGGCACAGTTCGCGGTTGCGGCGAGCGACATGCCTCTATGAGGAGCAGCTGACGGCGAGGATGTAACGATACAGTTGTAATATTTGCAGTACAAGGATTCACCAGAGAGCTATTTTAGGATAAGGGAAGCACATCTTGAAAGTTCAGCTCCATCGCATCAGCCCTCCTGATCGTCACTCTTATTTTCGCCGCACTCTCGGTCCTGATCTCCTGACTGCTGGGAGGAATGTGGCTGCGGTTGGCTGTGTGATCCTGGTTCTGGATGCATATGACAACGTGTCACAACAGCATTTGTTGCTTCAAATATTTCCCGCACAATCAGCATACAGTCCACACCCTGGTCAGTCAAGATTCAGGTGGAAAATTGAGTCGATGCTGCTGAAGGTAAAGACGGCAAAGGTTGCGTCCCGCGCGTACGTTTGATTGCGGTTGGGTGAGATGCTCTCTGAATCAGAAGGTTCTCATAACGATCCGAAACGTTTCGGTACGGTTATGAGCGAGAACGCATGCGCAGGACACGCAGGCTCGAAATTCCTGGCAAAACAACCACCCTTGAAAGAATGGCAGCCTGAAATGGATGCTGCTGAACATCGAAATTGTGTGCACGGTGTCCGTGAGATGATGGGACGATTTACCACTGGATCTGACGGCTGACAGTCATGGATGCCAATGCCTGCGGCTACAATGGTGCCTGTACTGGCTGGCTGGCAGCTCACTACCTTGGCCATTTCGCTATTCGTTTTAGTAATCTTCACTTCTGCACAAGGCGAATGCGAGCACTCCAGTTGAGTGAGAAAATACAAGACAATACTAAGCTCAGGATTGGCTGTTACCTTTTCCTGAAACTGTAGGCGCCTGTACGGCATCGACTGAGCCAATCTTCACATCCTGACCTGACCACAGATCGGGCACCCACCCACCACAGCTCCAACAGTCAAGATTGGCAGGTGATTGGACGATAAGTAGCACAAACCCAGCCCTTGAAAGTGCCCCACAGCCAGATTGTGAAATACCGTCAACATTTTAGCTTTCCACGCAACCTAGATCAGTTCCGTTAAACTCGGCTACAAACCGAAACGCGCACAGAAGTCTCCCACTGCGCGGGTGTGGATGTGAGTTCAGTCTCTTTGCTAAACTTTTTTCTGAAACTTCAGTTTTGGTGCCTCACTCACCAGCCATTCAGTGAGCCATGGGCCAAACAAGGGAACTCGCGGTACAGAATCCCTCCCTCCTCTTGTTGCGAAACAGCTCCTCCACACCACACCACACCACACCACAAGCCAATTTACAGCCACCAATGAATTCCACTTCATCTCCTTTCTCCGCCCATCCTGCAAAACAGCAGCTCCTGCACATGATCTACATCCGCCTGACCACGCGCCTTTTGTCCCCCCGCGTTCTCAGAAGCCCTACTCACCGCATCCATCACCAGTCCCGTAGTCTCGGGCCCTTTCTTTCTCCCGTCAGTCTCTCTTCTCCTCCTCACGACTCACAGCTCTGATTGACACCACTACCGCGAATGTAGACTGCATTCTGGCACTCGCGAATCCAGTCGTGACGACATGGACGGTTCCGTCCGACCCAGTCACCGTTGGCCTCTCCTTCTGCCTTGAATTCTGTCCAGGTCTCCTCTCACGTCGTGTAACCCTAGTGCCTCTTTCCTCCAAGGCAGCTCACCTTGGGGCTTCTTGAAATTTGTCGCAGAGACTTGCAACCTGTCGGCTGTCAGTCGATTTCTGGAATTCAAGCCTCAAGCCAGTCTGAGGACCCTCCACTCCATTCTGTCTATTTACTGAAGCCCTCGCCGTTCTCCCGTATTCCTTTGTGAAACGAACTATGTCTTAGAATTTCATGTAAACGTCGGGTTGACCGTGCTCGATACCGAGGGGTTGCCGGAAACATCGAATTTCCTCAACCAGCCGTCGCATTTCCGTCGCAAGAGTTCGTCAGCGGCGCTATGGGTAACTGCTTTTCGTCCGTCCACGACGACTACGTCCTCTCGGCGCGCATGCGACGCCGCAAAACGCGGATAAAGAGGGACGTCGGGACGGGGATATCACCCGGAAAGGGGAGGAAAGACGAGCAGTCGGAAAGCGACCCATTTTCAGGTACAACACGATGATGGTCTGCGAGGCGTTTCCGCGACAATTTTTTTCCCCCCCGATTTGTGAGGCTGCTCACAATGGTTCCTGCTGCGAGGTGATGGTGGTGATGGTCCGCGAGGAGCTTTTGGAGCCTCCAATCAACGCCACGTGTGGGTAGTTTAGTTTTGAGACGTCTCAAAACGCCTCAAACTCGTTCCAGGTGCGAGGTTATGATGGTGGTGATGGTCCGCGAGGAGCTTTGAGAGCCTCCAGTCTACGCCATGACGGCCCGCGAGACGTTTATGGCGTGTCAACACCGCATATTCACAACGCCATGACAGTCCGTCATCCATAACGAGAAAAATCCATATATTTGTCCAATGGGGTGTTTGTCCAACTCATTTACCTTTGAGACGTTCTCCCTCCGACGTTACGTTCACCCCCCGATTGGCACTCTCCCCCCCCCCCGGTGTGGCGTGGCGTTTCCACCTTCGCAGGCGGCATGCCGTACAGCAGGGAGAGGGAGCGGCGCGCCAAGGCTTATCTGGAGGCCGAAGAGCAGCGGGACCGCCAGCTGGCACGTCTGACCAATCGGAGGACATCGAATGGATTTTTGCCACGTGTGCGTGCCACGTCAGACCGTGGCCTTGCACACTGTGGATGCAACAGCAGCAGCAGTGACAGCTGTAGTAGCAGCAGCATCACTAGCAGCGGCAGCATCAACACCAGCAGCAGCAGCAGCAGCAGCAGTGATGGTGGTGGGATCCAGTTGCACTGCAGCATGCATTCCCTGGGCGGGCAGAAGGGACTCAACCAAGACGCTATGGTGGTCTGGCAGGTAAAGAAGAAAGGGGCATGGGTGGGTGGGTCCCATCCCATCACCTCCCTACCTACCTGCCCCTCCCTACCCCTCCCTCTTCCTTCCTTCCTCTTCGTTGCCCTATTCTCTTTTGAGGCGCCTCAAAAGTAAAGATCATAGGGGCATGGGTGGGTGGGTCCCATCCCATCTCCTCCCTACCTACCTACCCCTCCCTCTTCCTTCCTTCCTCTTCGTTGCCCTATTCTCCCCCTTCCTGATTCTGAGTTTAGTTTATACCCTCTTGGGGTGTTCCTAACCACCTACCGCCCTTCTCCTCCTCCCTCCTCCCTACCCGTCCGCATTCTATCCTTCGCCAACCCGTTATCCGTCCTTCGTGAGTTCATGGACGGCCACGTTCGCTTTGATGCGTAGTAAATCCTCCTCCCCCCTCCCCTCGCGTCACCTCCTTCCCTCCCGTTCCCTCCTCCCCTCCCCTTCCCCCATTCCCTCCTTCTCTCCCCTTCCTTCCTTCCCTCCCCTCCCCTCCCCCCCCTCCTCCCCTCTTCCACGCTCTTTTCCAGTCCTTCGCAGGCCCCTCATCCGTCCTCTGCGCCGTGATGGACGGCCACGGCCGCTTCGGCCACACAGTGTCGGCCCGAGTGCGGGATTCGCTGCCGTCCGTGCTCGCACAGCGCCTTGACCTGCAGCTCCACCACCATCCGGGCGTCGATGGTGCGCGAGGCAGCACCTCAGCTCTGCACCACCAGCTCCACCACCCGAGCCTAGGGAGTGCAGACGCGTCCCAGATCGCGGCAGTGGAAGGTGCATGCGTCGCGCTCAAAGGGACGGAGGGTACTTCTCACTCCTACCCCACATCACCATGTGCAGCAGCAGCAGATGACAATGATTTCGCACAGGCGGCGCCCACAGGGGCGGTGGCTCAGCAGCAGTGGCAGGAGGCGGTCTGCTGCGCGTTTGAGGCCGTTGATCGCGAGGTGAAGCTGCATCCGGCCGTTGATCCTCTCATCAGTGGCAGCACGGCTGTGGTGGCCATGGTTCAAGTGAGTGGCCGTTGTGCCTTTCTTCTCAGGAGTTCTTTTGAGGTGCCTAAAACTATCACTGCATCTTGTCTCCTATCCTATTTTTGAATCGACTCAAAAATTGTCTCCTATCCTATGCCCTTTGCCCTATCACCCCTTTCCTTATTCCCCTCTATAATTCCCTTCGCCTCCTTTTTCCCTAACCACCCTGCTCTTAATTTCTAGCCCCCCTACCGCACTCTGTTCTCCCACACCCCCCTCTGGCCCTCCCACCCTCCTCTCTCCCCACCCTCCTCTCTCCCCACTCTCCTCCCCCTCACACCCCCACCAGCACTCCCACCTATTCCTCGCCAACCTCGGCGATTCCCGCGCCGTTCTCGCCAGACGGGCACAGCCAGATACTCCATGCCATGCCACCTCAGCTGACTCCTCTGCTGACGTGGCTCCCTGTCATGCTGCCACGCTGGCCAAGGCAGCTCAACCCACTGCAATCAGTCCAATCCGCGACGACCAATCAAACGAGCCGGAACCACTGCCTGCCAGCTGTCGCGCTCTCGAAGCCGTTGCTCTGACCGCCGACCACAAGTGCTCCGATCCGGCGGAGGCTGCCCGGATCCGGAAACTGGGCGGTAGAGTGGCGGCACTAGAGGACGAAAAGCACATCATGCGGATCTGGCTGCCCAATGAGATGGCGCCTGGCCTCGTCACGTCCCGGGCGGTGGGGGATTTTCTGCTGAAAGGATATGGAGTGATAAGCGAACCGGATGTTACCGTGTTACGTGTCAAAGATGGGGATGAATTCGTTATCCTGGCAACAGACGGGGTAAGGAAAACCCTCCCCCCCCCCCTCCCTCGCGGCTGCCCCGTCCCCCCTGGTATTCCTTTTTCAGTTTGGTACTTGTCCGTTATCTGTGTCATTGCTACTTTCCTTACCTTATTCTCATGCCTCTTCTCGTCTCCCCACCCCGCTCCGCTCCCTTCCACCCCCCCTTCCCCCCCCCCCCCCCCCTCCTCCCCTCCTCTCTGTCCTTTTCACTCCCAATCAGGTCTGGGACGTCCTGTCTCATGACGAGGCAGTCTCTATCGTCGCCACGTCACCATCCCCTGCCACGTCAGCAGAATGCCTGGTGACGTCAGCGGAGCAGGCCTGGGCGGCTAAGTATCCGAAGGCTCGGCGAGACGACTGCACTGCTGTGGTGCTGTTTTTCCGAAGCTCCCTGCCAAACCTGATGCCGCCGGACCTGTCACGTCCAGGCTCGGGAGAAGCCGCGAGAAAGGTTGGGCAGTGCGTCGCATTGGAAGCTGCATCCGTTAGTGCGACCCGAGAAGAAATCAGCGGGACACACTCTCTTATGCGCCGCCAAGGTAGCACTTGTTCGGCAGTGCCTCATGCACCAACAGCATGCGAGCACGCATCATGCGATGAGGAACAGGAGAGGCCGGCTTGTGATCCATTACAGGACGAGAGATCAGCATTGCCAGCAGTGTTGCCAGCAGCGTTGCCAGCAGCGTTGCCAGCAGTGCTGTCGGCCTGTGGCGCATCCGACGCCATGTGCCAGAGCAGCTGCAGAACCACCCCCATGAATTCCCCCCAACCCCAACCCGTGGTTTTTGACCGCCTCGATCAAAGCCAAGGTGCCCATAGCAGCAGCAGCAGCAGCCTCAGAAGGAGCAGGAGCAGTATCACTGGCAGTAACAGCCGCAGTAACAGTAAGAGGAAGAGTTGCACAAGTGAAGACCTCAGTGAGCAAAGCACTGGGGTACTTGAGTTGCCTCTGGAGCCTGCCTGTGACTACAGTGAAGGTGCTGCTGCCACTGCCGCCACTGCTGCCGCCACCGCTGCAGCCACTGCTTCCACCACCGCTGCAGCCACTGCTGCCGCCACCACTGCAGCCACTGCCGCTGCCTCTGCTGCCGCCACCGCTGGTGTCTCTGCTGCAGGCACTGCGACAGTAGCGATCACAGCCACAGATTTGCCTGTCCTTGCAGCAGTGCCTGCAGTCAAAGCAACGACTGTCGGCACCATTCGTAGCTGCGCCGCCAGCAGCCATGCAAGCACGCATACTATGGGACCCTGTCGGGAGGCGGAGGCAGCAGCAGACGCAGCGACAGAGGCAGCTGTAGAGGCAGCTGCAGAGGCAGCGGCAGAGGGAGAGGCAAAGGTGGGGGCAATGATTGCAGATGAGGGCTCCGCAGCCTCGGAGTCAGATGCAGGTTTGGTTGCAGAGCAGTGCTTTTCCGAGCGTCACCGGGATGTGGGGTTCAGAGATGACGATGAGGAATCAAATGTGGATTCTGAGTTGGCTGAGCAGTGCTTTGCTAAGCGGCACGGGGATGCGGTGTTTACAGATGAAGGGCTGAGATTCCACCGCAATGACACGGTGGGTGATCTGGCAGCGCTTGATTGGCAGGATGAGCAGGTTCTGGCTAAGAGGATGCTGGAGAGGTGTGGGGTGAAGGAGGGGGGGCAGGGAGAGAAGAAGAGAGGAAGATGAGGTGGAGGGGTAAGAAGGGAAGGCGAGGGAAGGGGGGATGAAGCATTGATGTACAGTGGTAAAAGAGAGGTGAATGGGAGGGGTGAGGACTGTATGGGGTGATTTGAGTTGAGATGTGACAACGGACTTGCTACTTCTGAGTTGCTCAGGAATATTCTGACTGGCGGCCGTGGGTGCATTGTCCGGGGGAGTTGCGGTAAGCAGCATTGGATGGACCACCACGTGTACATGCGTGGCGATGTAAGTTATTGGATGCTAAAGCTAGTGTATATTTCTCAACTTGTCACTAAGACATGACTACAGTGCACTGTTCATGTCTTCACAGGGCAGTATGATATAATTGTGACTGGATTGTCTTGTCAGGCGTAAAACCTGCAGCACCGCAGTGTACCGCTGTAACATTCCCCGATGTCGTCGCATGCACTTCTGGTTAGGAAACACCCCTCAGCAGCAGCAGCATATCGGAGCACATAACAGTAGCATCACGTCAGAGTGCTCAGATGACATCAGGTATTCCTAAGAGCTTTAGGTGCAACCACGCAATGATCACTGGGCATGTACCCTCACAAAGGGGATTTGGCTATCTGATGTGTGCAAGTCACCTTCAGGTGATAGACTAAACTGAGCAGCACAATAAATCACATAACAGCGCCAATCACACTGCCCCGATGGCATCGGGTATTCTAGGTGTTCAGGTGATAGCCTGATAGATAGACCGACTCAGCTCAGCAGCACAATGGAGCTCACTGCTCCGATGACGTCGGGTATTCGATGGAGCTCTAGGTGCAGCCGTACATTGATCAATGGGCATGTCCTCACACAGGGCACTTCACCCTCTGATGTGTGTGAGTCACCGCCAGCAGCACAAGGAATCACATAACAGCGCCATTACACTGCCCCGATGAAATCGGGTATTCTAGGGAGCTCTAGGTGCAGCCCGGCATCGATCACGGGGCATGTCCTCACGAAGGCGGTTTCGCTGTCAGATGTGTGTGAGTCACCATCAGGGCACTGCAGCAAGTCGCATAGGAGAGGGGGGTCGGCGCGGGGAGACGGGAGAGGGGTTAGCATAGAGGGTATCTCACAATGGGGGTTTCGATTCGCCCTAGGTGTGTGCATGTCACCATCAGGGCAATTTTGAGTCGACTCAAGAGTCATTTCACCCTCAGATATGTGCATGTCACCACCAGGGAACTGTAGGATGGCATGTGTGGGTAAGCTGCCTGACATGGAACTGATGTCGGATGGAGAGAGCGCATGGTTCAGAAACTGCTATCTGGCGCACGGGCCGGTCGTTGGAGCGCCAGTCAACCTCGGCGCGCTTCACACTGTTCAAAGACCACAGCTCGACCGCAGCGACGGGGGGGAGGAAGTGAGGCAGAGAGGGAGCGAGGGGGAGAGGGAGAGAAGGGAGGACTGACCTTGAACTGGCGTCGGATGGAGAGAGCGCATGGCTCGGACACTGTTCTTTGACACACGGGGCGGTCGTTGGAGCGCCAATCGACCTCGGCGCGCTTCACAATGTTGAGAGACCACGGGTCGATGGCAGCGAGGGCAGCAGCGGTGTAGCCGAAGGTGGAGAAGTCGGAGGTGATGAGGCGGTGGGCGAAGGAGAGCAGAAACATCTCCTCCAGCGCCGCTGCGTACTGCTGCCTGTCGTCCTGCCTCTCTGTTGTATCGTGCGTCTCGCTGCAGGGGGGGGAGAGGGGAGGAGGGGGAGAAGGGGAGAGGGGGAAGAGGGAGGGGGAGGGAAGAGGGAGAGGGAGAGCAGCAAATAAGCTGTTGCACTTACTGCTGCTTCTCGCGTTTCTCAATCTTTCCACCTAACCTAGAAATGAACGTACATAACTGTCTCAATCTTTCTGGTGTCTGGTGCTCGCGTGTCTCCATAAATTTTACAGAGAACAATGGTAGACAGACTATTGCGATGCGTGCTCACCTGTAAATGGAGACAGTCTGAGCCGAGTACGGTTTGCCTTGGGAGTAGAGCGTGGAGAGGCGAGAGGCATAGGAGCCATTTAGAGCCGCCACAAACACGCCAATGGACTCCCCCTGCGCCCCTCTTAAGCCTTCATCCTCCACCTGAAAGGGGCAAGAGGGGACAGCAAGCACAGGAGGCGTTAAGAGCTGCCACAACAACACTTTTCGACCACAAAAGTGCGCCTCTTAAGCCTTCACCCCATGCCCGCACCCCATGCCCCCAACCACCCCATGCCCCCACCCCATGGCTCCACCCCATGCCCCCCAAGTGCCCCCCCCGCCCACGTACATCGTCGGCCATGGCCTGCCACTGGTCGGGCAGGATGACAGCTGGCAGGTACTGCGTGCTCGTCACACATGCCAGCACGCGCTCGAATATGTCCTCCTGGGTCTCGTCCACGGGGCGGATCTGAAGGGGTGGGCAGAGATGGATAGTGGTGCAAAGAGATGAGGGGATGTGAGGGTGATAGCAGTGCAGGTGCTGCACGGTGCTCATTAAAACACGCCGGCACGCGCTCAAAGATGCCCTCCTGGGTCTCGTCCACGGGGCGGATCTGAGGGGGGAGGCAGGGGTTGGGCATTGGGGGAGGGGGACGGGTGGAGGAGAGCAGTGAGCAAAAACTTCCTCCCGGGCCTCGTCTACGGGGCGGATGCAGGGTATGGCGCACGTGACCGTGCGTGTGCAGGTCAAAGATGCCCTCCTGTGCCTCGTCCACGGGGCGGATCTGAGAGGGGAGGCCGAGGAGGAGAGGCAAAGCCGAGACAGCGGGGGGAGTGGGGAGGGTTCCGAAACAATAAGTCGGCTCGAAAAGGGAGAAGGAGCACGAGTAAACGCCTGCACAGCACACACCCGCACCACTGAACGCCTACTCACACCCACCAACTGACCTGCAGCCCTAGCAGCACGTCATGGTGCTCCAAGTGCCCGTGGTAGGATCGCACTATGCGGTCCCACAGGTAGTTGGCTGGGAGCAGGATGTACCTGGGGGGGGGGGCATGGAGGGAGCATCGGAAGATGGAAAAGAGAGGATAGAGGGGTTTAAGCGGGGGATTGGGGGGTGGTGGGGGGTAGCATTCACGGCAGGAGCAAACTATGGGGTCCCAGAAGCAGTTGGCTGGACGTAGGATGAACCTGGTAGGGTGATTGTACAGGCATGGGGGGAAGAGAAGACAGGCGGACGGGAGGGATTGGTTACCTGTGGGAGGAACAAAGTATGCAGTTTCACAGATAGATGGCTGCAGGAGGAGCATGTAGCTGGTGCTGTGTGTGGAAAATTTGTTGCAAAGAGGTGCGAACCCTCGGCAGTCGGCAGGCAGTGAGCCTGTGCGAAGTAAGGTGTGAGCCTGTGGTAGGATGGGACCGCCAAGTAAGACGAAATGCCAACACCCGAAACCCACACTCCTCCTCCCGGCCGCCCCCTTCCTTCACCTACCCACCCGTGTACCAGCCTATCCGCCCATGCACTCGCCGTGCCACATGTGTGAAGACTCGTCGACCGGGAAACAAAGCCTCCAGGCGAGCCTGAAGAGGGCCAACAGGCGGGCTCATGAGCGAGCCTGAAATTTTTAGGCGTCTATTTTTGAGGCGCCTCAAAAGCGGGCTCATGAGCGAGCCTGAAGAAGGAGCAAGGAGAATCTGACAACAGCCCCAACCCCTCTCCACCCCCCCCAACCCCCCCTACATCACACCCCACCCACCCATGGACTCACCGTGCAACATGTGTGAAGACTCGCCGATCAGGAAACAGGGCCTCCAGGCGAGCCTGTAAACGGGGGTGTACCAGGAGTCGAAGGTGGTTAGGAGACGAAGAAATAAATCGCACGGCACGGCACGGCACGTCACGGGGTGATATTTTGAGTCGACCCAACAGCACCGTGTGTGAAGACTCAGCGGTCCGTTGCCAGCAGCAGCTAAGGCAAAGAACACTTATGTTAGTGCTCGCTCTACCCAAAGCAAAGTATGGGAATGGGCGAAGTATGGGCGAAGTATGGGCGAAGTATGGGCGAAGTATGGGCGTAGAGCGGCAACAGTGTTTGCGGGGCCTTACCCTGGGCGAAGGGACAAAGTAAAGGGGCTCAAGGGATCGTGTGGGGAGGGCACTATCCGGAGGGGAGGGGACGACATAGAGGACAGCAGGATACCTGGGCTGGGCATTACCCTTAGGGAGGGGACGAAGTAGAGCGGCGGCACGAAGAACATGTCGCTCCAAAACAGCATGAAGGGCTTCTCAGCCACCTCCTCCTGTGTTCTTTTGCAGAAGAACGTCCACTCGTCCTCTGGCGTCCTGGGGGGGGGGGTTAAGGTGTATACATGTTGGTTGGAGAGAGGTTGGGAAACGAGAGTCATTTGTGGTGGCACAGGTGCCAGTGTCGCTCCAGAACAGCATGAAGGGCTCGTCAGCCACCTCCTCCTGGGTCCGCCTGCAGAGGAACGTCCACTCGTCCTCTGGCGTCCTGGGAGGGACATGGTGGGCCATGTGTGGGATTTCTTTTGAGGCGCCTCAAAAGACATGGTGGGCATGTGTGGGACTTCATAGCACAACGGCTTCTAGAGGCACCACGCATTGCCTGGAAACAGCATCAAGGGCTCGTCCGCCACCTCCTCCCGAGTCCGCCTGCAGAGGAACGTCCACTCGTCCTCTGGCGTCCTGGGAGGGACATGGTGGGCCATGTGTGGGACTTCATAGCACAACGGCTTCTAGAGGCACCACGCATTGCCTGGAAACAGCATCAAGGGCTCGTCCGCCACCTCCTCCCGAGTCCGCCTGCAGAGGAACGTCCACTCGTCCTCTGGCGTCCTGGGAGGGACATGGTGGGCCATGTGTGGGACTTCATAGCACAACGGCTTCTAGAGGCACCACGCATTGCCTGGAAACAGCATCAAGGGCTCGTCCGCCACCTCCTCCCGAGTCCGCCTGCAGAGGAACGTCCACTCGTCCTCTGGCGTCCTGGGAGGGACATGGTGGGCCATGTGTGGGACTTCATAGCACAACGGCTTCTAGAGGCACCACGCATTGCCTGGAAACAGCATCAAGGGCTCGTCCGCCACCTCCTCCCGAGCCCGCCTGCAGAAGAACGTCCACTCGTCCTATGGCGTCCTGAGAAGGTTTAACGTGCAGCGTGGGCGAATGAAAGCGAATGAAAGCTAACGGCCTCCTGCATTCGGCTGCAGACGACCACCCACCCGCCCTCTGGCATCATGGAGGGAGTTCCTGATACCACGGGGGTGGGGGGGGATGTGTGAAAATACCCCTGCTGCTTGATACTCACATCCAGGGGGCAACAGCACCCGTCTCCCCTTGACTACCATCACAAGCAGTCCAGCTAGCAGAACACTCGTTCCTTATACTAGAGAACCAACCACACCTCCCATTCGCTATACCCATCCCTTGTACCAAAGAAACACCTCCATTCGTGATACTCACATCCAGTCCAGGTGGCAGAAGACCCCTCGGGAGTGCTTGCCCGGCTGCTCTGCCAGGTTGCGAGGCCCCTTCTCCAGGTCCGCTTTGATGGCCCTGGGGGGGGAGGGACAGAGAAGGGAGACGGGCGAAAGTCAGGCGTGGGTAAGGGACAGAGAGGGGGGAGGGGCGAAAGAGAGGCGGGCAGGCGGTGCTTACCAAGCTGAGAGGCGGGGCAGGCGGTGCTTACCAAGCTGAGAGGCGGGGCAGGCGGTGCTTACCAGAACTGAGAGGCGGGGATGAGCCAGGACGAGTGGGCGAAGGGGTTGCAGAGGAGGGACGGCAGAATGCCGTCGTCCGGCATGAGGATGGCTCTATGGGTGATGAAGGCGTAGGTGAAGGTGGAGATTAAAGACATGATGCGGTTGCCCAGGCCTGGAACGGAGTTGGGATACAAACAAGAGAGTGAAGGGGGGCGGCGCTGAAGGATGGCTGTATGGATGATGAAGGCGTAGGTGAACGTGGAGATTAAAGACATGATGCGGTTGCCCAGGTGAAAGTGGAGATTAAAGACATCATGCGGTTTGCGGGGACCTGAAAAGAAAGTGGGGTTCGAGAGAATTAATAAAAATGGAGATTAGAGACATGAGGCGAGAGGTAAGGCAAGGAAAAATCGGTCTATGCAAATGGTAGGACACAGCCGCATTGACTGGATCAACTGACTCACCATGTTACCAACTCACCATGTTACCAACTCACCATGTTACCAACTCACCATGATACCTACTCGCCATGCCACCTGCTCACCATGCTACCTACTCACCATGCCATTGGCCAGGTATCAGAAACGCATACTTGCACCCATCCACGTCTGCTGTTGCTGACTTCCCCTCAGACCTGCGCAAGAAAAGCACAACGCGAAACGACGCGGGAATATTGGGATGAGGGGGAGAGGGGATTGCGGGGCTGCAGGGGCCAGAAAAGGGGGAATGCGCAACTTGCACCCATCCACACCCGCTGTTGCTCCCCGCCCCTCGCCGCTCTGACCTGTTGACCTGGAAAGGAGGAAAGGCACATGGCAGAGGGGAGTGGACAGGAAAGGCTTTAGAGGCGCCTTACAGAATGCATGCGCCTTCTGTGCACCGTTGATGCATGCGCTCATACTCCTTCCTCTGCCTCACACGTGGCGCGGGTTGTAGCACTAGTTGTAGCACGGGTTGTAGCACGGGTTGTAGCACGTATACCGCACCATCTATCCACAGCAGTCTGCAGCAGCACTCACTGGTTGAAGCAGAAGGCCTTCCAGTCGGTGATTCCCTCAGTGGACCGGTGATGTATGCGCCCATACTCCGTTTCATGCCGCACAAGCTGTAGCACGGAGTATAGCACGGGTTGCAGCCCAGCCCAGAACCGTCGGACGGAACGGCAGCAGCACTCACTGGTTGAAGTAGAAGGCCTTCCAGTCGGTGATCCCCTCAGTGGACCGGTGATGTATGCGCCCATACTCCGTTTCCTGCCGCACAAGCTGTAGCACGGAGTATAGCACGGGTTGCAGCCCAGCCCAGAACCGTCGGACGGAACGGCAGCAGCACTCACTGGTTGAAGTAGAAGGCCTTCCAGTCGGTGATCCCCTCAGTGGACCGGTGATGTATGCGCCCATACTCCGTTTCCTGCCGCACAAGCTGTAGCACGGAGTATAGCACGGGTTGCAGCCCAGCCCAGAACCGTCGGACGGAACGGCAGCAGCACTCACTGGTTGAAGTAGAAGGCCTTCCAGTCGGTGATCCCCTCAGTGCACCGGTGATGCATGCGCTCATACTCCGTCTTCTGCCGCACAAACGCGGCAGATGGCTCCACGTGTGCTCCTGCCTGCAATGGGGCAAGGGAGGGAAGGCGATTCGTATTGCAAGTGGTGCATGCGCTCATACTCCGTCTTCTGCCGCACAAACGCTGCAGGTGGCTCCACGTGCGCTCCTGCCTGCCACAGTAAGTAACGAGACAAGGAAGGGGAAGAGCCTCTTACGTCGCACGCGCTCCTGATCTCGGCAGCAGATGCGTAAGGAAAGACAGATGACTCTTCAAACAATACGAACATTGTGGAAAGAAACCAACAAGTCACTATCAACCAACCAACCTTTCCATTACAAGCCAACGTTTACCAACCTGGTCCAAAACTAGCGTACTTACACCAACCTACCAGAACGGGCGGCGCTGCTGTTTGCTCCAGCACTCCTTCTTGCCCCGGACCAAGCGCCTTCAGTACCACAACATCCCCCCCAAGAATTTGTGAGTGCTACCCTGCTCCAGAAATCTTCATCATTCACCAACCTGCCAGTACTGGTGGCGCTCGTGCTTGCTCCAGCACTCCTTCTTGCCCCGGACCAAGCGCCTCCACCGATTCGCATGTTGCTGATTTGTCATGTACACTAGCTGCCTCCGGTGCTGCTGACGTGGCATGTGTAGCAGTCTCCGTGTGCCTTTCTCCTGGAGTGCAAATCTTGCCGAGGAGGATAGTTCGGACCCCGAGCCAGGCAAGGCCAGGGTCGGTGAAAGGTGAAGAATGAAAGGGAGTAGGACTAGGCAGAGGACGTTCAAGTGGACGAGGACTAGGGGCGAGGGAGCCAGGGACAGGTGACGAGGGGAGATGAATGTTCGACGCAGCATTCGCCGAGCTCCTGTTTTGAGCTCCCCCATAGCTTTTGAACTCGTTGAATGAGCAAAAACGCGATCGAATGTGCTCGCTACTGTGGCTGCTGTTCCCCTTGCTGCTGCTGCTGCTGCTGGCAACGATGATAATACGTACTTTTAATCACGGGAGTAAAGCTATTGGAGACCACAGAGTGAAGTCTGCACGCTACCACTCAGAATGGGCTACAAGAAATTAGTCGCAGTACTCAGACTAATTACCACCCTGGGAGCTGGGCTCCAGAAAACGAGTTGACATGGCGGCTCTTGGCTTGGCGTGACAGGACGGCAATATCACTCTCGCCGACGCTGATGGTCAAATTTACTGTGTTGTGGATTCCAGGGTTTCGATTGACACCAGACGCCCGGGACAGTGCTCGGATGCAGGCCTAAGGATAATCGGACAGTTGACATTCAAGGAAGCTCTCACAGTCAGGCGCGAGTTCATAGATTATCTGAACAGATGGTTGACTGTCAAATTGAAACAATAACACAGAAAACATCGAAGGAGCACCCAATGGGGGTTGACTTGCGCATTCAGGCGAAAATTCAGGGATCACCCTGATGGATGCCTGCCCTGCCCGTCAGGCAGGGTGCGGCGCTGGGCGGGACTTGGGCAGGCGATAACGCACGCATCGTAACCTACGGCAGGGGTGCTGCCATCGAAACCGCATTTTTCCGTCAACGGAAGAAACGGACGGCGTGGAACGATCGCAATAACCCGAGAGACACCAGACGGAATGTGTTTCTTGCGGCAAGTAGGACAAAAGAGGACCTGCCAGCCAAACCTCAGGGATTTTCGGCACCGACAACTTTCAGGGTGATGGTTCATGGGACCACGGGGTGCGTATGGGACCCAGGCCAAATTCTCGGAAATCTAAACACAAAAATGGGTGGCAGAAGGTATAGATGGTATCGGAACGGTTGTACACGGTACACCGTGGTCATTCTAGTGTCCAGCCTTGCAAGCACCACGCGATGCCTCGTCATGCAGGGACCATCGTTGTCAGGTGCCGGTCTACAGTTCCCCTCAATGCTGCAGGTTGACTTCACATCACCCACCATGTCAAATAATATCGAAGCACCAGATGCTCCAACATCAATAACACCGCCTAGGAATGCACTCAATTGTCAACCTTTCCAACATAGATCCACATAATGTCTTGGTTGAACTATTAGACTCTATTGTGGCTGGACATCCCTTACCAAGAGATCACAAGACCAGAATTGCAGCACAAACTGTAGACCATGCCACCAGCACAACGGCACCTCCAAATGGCAGACATCAACAATCAACTACCCTCCTCTCAATCACTAGACGTATTTCTCGTCTCTTACTGCTGTCTCGCCCCTCATCCATTCCCGAGGCTCCACCTTCTCACAGCACCTCCTTCTGCCGCTCATTCCTCCCTGTCTTCCTCCTCGCCCTCCTCCAGCCCACACCCAGAGCTGTGGCTTCATCCCTTCATTATCAACCTCTTGTTCCTCCTCCCCTTGTTCCCCCCCCCCCCCGTCCGCACCCTTTCCCAGTTCTAGACTAAGACCCAGCTTTAGAAATGCCATCTCTAAAACTGCTAATCCTCCCTTCTCAGCCACCTCCTCTTCCTCCTCCTATACCTCCTCCTCTTCCTCGTTGTCCTCCTCGTCCTCCTCCAGGTCCAGAACCAAGACCCTCCGCTGAGCCCCACAATGAGAATCATCATCCTCCCTCCTCACCCTCACCTTCCTCCTCCTCCTCTTCCTCCTCTTCCTCCTCCTCTTCCTCCTCCTCCTCCTCCTCCAGGTCCAGAACCAAGACCCGCCGCTGAGCCCCAAACACAGCAGCCAGCCCGCGAGCAGCTGCAGATAGGAAACAGAGGGGAAAGCGAGGGAAAACATGGGGGAAACAGAGAGGCAGCGGGCGGCGGGACGACAAGACAGAGCACGAGTAAAGAGGAAAAGTGTAGGAGGCAGGGCTAGGAGAAGTAGAAAGGGAGAACCAAGGCAGAGCTGAATCGTTTTTTTAGAATTCCCAAACACGAGAACTCTCAAGAACCAGTTCAGAGCTAGGAGAAGTAGAAAGAGAGAAGGAAGGCAGTGAAAGAGAGAGGCGGAGAAACGGGAAGGCTGCTGATGGGTCAAGCGTGTGCACACATGCCTTGAGATGATGCATCGTGCAAGCTGCAGTCGCCGGCGAGCGGAGGATAACGTGAGAAGCTTACAGCTGGCAGCAAGGGGGGCGAGGGGACGGGCGAAGGTGAGAGGGCGTTGTCTGAGGCGCTCTGAAGGGAGGGGCTGCGAGGGGGGTAGGTGCTGGGAGAGGTGGAGGAGGGGAGCATGAAGGAGGGGGATGAGGGGGGAGGGGGGGAAAGGGATATCCCAGTTTTGAGAGGGGGATGTAATGCTAGAAAACGATGCCAAGGGGGAAACGGAGGGAAGTTGATAGGGAAGAGAAGGAAGAGAGGGAAGATAGGAGAGGAAGAGAGGGTCAGGAGAGGGAAGTTGATTGTGCAAGTGAGGAGTACAATACACACAGAATAATTGAAATGTACAAGCAGGCAGGAATGAGTGTGAACGCACCTGCAGACGCGTGTCCCCTTGGTCCGGCCTGAGCCCTGTGAAAGCCAAGTTCTCCACAGGACACAGTTTTGAGGCGCCTCGAAACTACAAGCACGCAGGAATGAGAACTTGTGCACGCACCTGCACAAGCGTGTCCCCTTGGTCCGGCCTGAGCCCTGTGAAAGTCAAGCTCTCCACGGGACACAGAACCACCCTCCCCATCTGCTGCTGCTGCTGCGAGTCCTCCCTGCCTGCTGCTGCTGCACTGCCTGCGGCTCCCCTTGATACTGCAGCGCTCAGCAGCAGCACTAGGTGGTGGTCCTGTAGCAGCAGGCAGAGGGGTAGACAAGGAAAATGCAGGCAGAGGGGCAGACAAGGAAAATGCAGGCAGGATGAGCGGAATACTGCAGCACTCCGCAACAGTTCAATGTGGTGTCCTGTAGCAGCACACAGTCCGACTGACTAGTTTTGAGGCGCCTCAATGTGGTGTCCTGTAGCAGCAGACAGTCCGACTGACAGACAGGCACGCACACAGGGAGAAGGCCTTAAGTAGCAGCAGTAGTGGGGGGCTGCCCCCTGCTGCTGCCCCACCTGCTGCTCTTTGTGCGGGGCCGTTAGCTGCAGCACCCAGCAGCGTGCAATGAGGTGGTTCTGTAGGAGCAGACAGACAGACAGACAGTCCGACTGACAGAGAGGCACGCACACAGGGAAAAGGCCTCTAGTAGCAGCAGTAGTGGGGGGCTGTCCCCTGCTGCTGCCCCACCTGCTGCTCTTTGTGCAGGGCCTTTAGCTGCAGCACCCAGCAGCACTGCGATGTGAGGTTCTGCTGCTGCTGCTGGGTGCTGCTGGGTGTTGCTGGGTGCTGCTGGGTACAGCTGGGTGCTGCTGGCAGCAGGAGGAAGCAGGCAGGATAAGAGGAATACCTCTTGACAGAGTGAGCAGTATTCTAGTCGATGAGTTTATCAACTGAAGATAAGGACGGATGGATGGAGGATACCTTATAAATGGCCACATCTGTGACGATACAGCCATCCCCCACATCCACTACCGCTACCTCCACCTCCCCTTCTGCTGCTGCTGCTGCTGCTGCTGCTGCTGCTGCTGCCACTACTGGTGCAGAGCCTTTTGAGGAGGACAGGGGCACTCTGCACACCAGCACTTGGCTACTGCTGCTGCTGCTGCTGGCACCGGCAGCAGCGGCGGTGGCAGGGGTGGAGGATGGGAGGAGAGGAGCCACAATAAGGCACATCGGTGGAGGAGTGCTGTTGGTGGCAGTGTTGGCCGTGTTGGTAGTGGTAGCGGGCATGCAAGGCTGCAGTGGGGAGAGCAGGAGACAGGGAGGAAAAACGGGGGTTTATACTGAACAAAAAAACGGGGGTTTATACTGAACAGAAAAACGGGGGTTTATACTGAACAGAAAAACGGGGGTTTATACTGAACAGAAAAACGGGGGTTCATACTGAACAGAAAAACGGGGGTTTATACTGAACAGAAAAACGGGGGTTCATACTGAACAGAAAAACGGGGGTTTATACTGAACAGAATGCCTTAATCTGAAGGGCACTTGGGAGAAGCGAACACAGTGGACAGGTTGGGTAGAGGAGATGGAGGGTGGTGAGGTGAGACGGGCTCTGGGAAGGAAGAGAAATGGAGTGTGGAATAGTCCAAGACTTGACCTGTCCTCTTCAGAATTTCCGGTTGTTTTTTTTATGAGACAATAAGGTAGATCACCTGTGTGCAGCAGATGCTGATTGGAGCTCGAATAGGCACGGCGATTGGTGTGGCTGCTCCTACTGCTGCTGAACCGTGCCCCTGCGGCCGTGTTGGTGTCTGAACCTGCGTCTGTGCGGCACTCTGTTGGGCGGCAATCTGTTGGCTCGGAGTCAGAAGAGGGGCGGCAGGCACTGCAGGCAGCTGCAGAGGCGGCAGCGCAGACACTGCACGAGCAGAGAAGCTAGCTGCTGTGGCTGATAGAACCGCTTCACAACTGGTGCAGGGAGGATTGGAGAGTTGGGGGGGGAGAGGAGGCCTTGAGACGAAACTAACCACGGAAGGTTGGGGGGGAGAGGAAGGGCATAAATAGGGATGAAAATAGCAGCAAGCAGCAGCAGTGGCAGTGCGACCATAGCATGGGTTGAGGAGGTAGCTAGCTGTTCGGCTGATAGGACTGATTCACAACGAAAAAATGACAAAACGCTCACCTCTCTATCACTCGCTCCAGCTGCTGCCGGAGAGTGTTGCCCCCCTCGGGGTGCACAGCTGCAGGGTTGGTGATTCCAGCGAGGTCACAGATGACTTCCCTTAGCAGCGCGTCTGGATAGAGGAACGCGCAGGTAGGTGGTAGGAGGCAGGGGAGACGGAGCAGACAAGGGGAGAAGGTGAGAGCGGGTGCAGCACAAATGGGTTGGTGATTCCAGCGAGGTCACAGATGACTTCCCTTAGCAGCGCGTCTGGATAGAGGAACGCGCAGGTAGGTGGTAGGAGGCAGGGGAGACGGAGCAGACAAGGGGAGAAGGTGAGAGCGGGTGCAGCACAAATGGGTTGGTGATTCCAGCGAGGTCACAGATGACTTCCCTTAGCTGCACATCTGGATACGGGAACCAGAGCATGCAGGTGGTAGGAAGGGGGGTGGAGAGTACGTGAGGAAGGGTGACCCATGCAAACACCATCACCACCATCACACGAACCCCTTTCATCACCATCACACAAACCCCTTTCATGACCATCACTATATACCTCCATCATCATTATCATAACACAGCACCATCACCACCATCACCCATCACCACCACAACATACCCGATCACCATCATCACCACTACACACCCCATCACCATCATCACATACCCGCATTCTGATCAGTTTCACTTGTGAAGCCCGGGAACACAGGTGGCACCCTGGGGGCATGGCCACAGGTCGCATCTGGGGCAGGCATCTCCAGCTGTGCCTTGACTGGGTCGCAGTCAAAATGCTGTTGAAGAAAGTCCGCCACTACTGCCCTGCTCTGCGAGAGAAGGGAGGCGAGAGGAAGGGGAGGGGAATGGAGCAGTCAGGCAGGCAGAATTGTGGTGGAGAAAGTCCGTCACTGCTAACCAAACCAACTGTCAGGCTGAGTTCAGCAAATACTCACTTGTTGACGAGAAGTGCCTGGTTGCTACTCGCAGCATTCAAGCATCCCCATCCCCATCCCCATCCCCATCCCCATCCCCATCCCCATCCCCATCCCCATTCTCCATGCGAATGCACCACAGCAGCCATGCGAAGAAGGTGGCAAGCTGACTGGCAAACTGACTGCCAAATCCTCCCTTCGGCTCACGTGTTTACGAGAAGTGCCTGGTTGTTGGCAGCGTTCCCCGGCCGCACATCCTCAACCTCATCCTCATTCTCCGTGCGAATGCACCGCAGCAGCCACAAGAAGAACGCGGCAAACTGCGGCAGCAGCACTGCGAGCAGGCGAATGAGCCGCTCACCCAGCACCATCGCCACCGTCACCTCCTCTATCGCCCTCTGCAACAACCCACCGGCAGAATCACCACTGCCACCAGCACTGCCGCCAGCACTGCCACTGGCACTGCCGTCCGCATTGCCACCAAAGTCACTACTGCCAGAGCCATTACTGGCTGTACCATAACCAACCAGGCAGTACTTCAGTCCCAGCGCCTCAAAAGGGCTGACAGCCCCTGGGAAAACGGCAGTAGAAGCAGCAGCAGCAGCAGTGGCACCAGCAGCAGTGGCAGTGGCAGGGGCAGTGGCAGTGCCAGTGCCATTACTGGCTGTACCATTACCACCAGTGCAGTAATTCAGTCCCAGGGCCTCAAAAGGGCTGACAGCCCCTGGAGCAATGACAGTAGAAGCAGCAGCAGGAGTGGCGCCAGTAGCAGTGGCAGGTGCAGGGGCAGTGGCAGTGGCAACGGCAGCAAGGGAGTGCAGGGAGGAGAGACGAAAGAGGGTCTCTTCTAGGGCAGGGAGCAGGTGCAGAGTGAGCAGCGCGTGCACGGCATCGCCTGCTGTCTCTATCGTGCGAGCCAGGCGCTTCACTCCCTGGCAGTGGGTATAAGTGGGGATTGGGGAGGGAAGGTGAGAGAGCAGACGAGGGAGTGGGCAGTGCAGGCAGGGACGGAAGGGAAGGGATGGGAGTGAGCACACTCCTCTTCTCCACATTACACGCAAAACAAGCAGTTTGCCGCGCTAAAAAGCACGACTGCAAAGCCCATGCCTACTCCCTGGCAGTGTGGGGAGGAGGGAAGGGGAAGGGGTGGCCCAAGACAGGATAGTGAGCAGTGCAAGCAGGGTGGAGAGAGGAAGGGCGTACAGCTGTGTTTGATGCGCTAAAGAACACAAGTTAAAGACCCTGTATAAACCCATGCCTGCGCTTACTGCTTCGCCTGCAAGGGTATCCGAGAAAAAGCTGTGCAGATCCGTGCTGGCAGCCCCCGTTGCAAGCATGTAAAGCAGCTCTGAGCGGGGATCGGCGGGGCAACCTGCAGCACGGGCAGGGGGCAGAGCGCAGGGAGCAGGGGGGAATGGGGAAAGTGGGGGTGAGGGGGGGAAGGTTGGTGCCGGCAGCCCGTTGCCAGCATGTAAAGCAGCTCTGAGCGGGGATCGGAGGGGCAACCTGCAGCACGGGCAGGGGGCAGAGCGCAGGGAGCAGGGGGGAATGGGGAAAGTGGGGGTGAGGGGGGGAAGGTTGGTGCCGGCAGCCCGTTGCCAGCATGTAAAGCAGCTCTGAGCGGGGATCGGAGGGGCAACCTGCAGCACGGGCAGGGGGCAGAGCGCAGGGAGCAGGGGGGAATGGGGAAAGTGGGGGTGAGGGGGGGAAGGGTGGTGCTGGCAGCCCCTGTTGGCAGCATGTACAGGAGCTCTGACAGCGGGTCTGAGGGGCAACCTGAGGCATGGGAGCAAGGACGAAGGGGAGGGAGGGAGAATGCGGAGGGGGCGAGGAATGTGTGCTGGACTGGTGGGATATCATCGGGGTGGCTAGGAGGGGTGAGGAGGACGAGGGGGCAAAGGTAAACGAGGGAGAGATAGGCGTCAAGAGAAGCTACCTTGTCATCATATGCGCCATTCAGAAATCCCCGTGACGGCCATTCAACAACCCCCCACCCCGTCATCCATACGATACGAGGTGACTTTTGAGTCGACTCAAAAGTAACCCCCCACCCCGTCATACATACGATACAAGGTGACTTTTGAGTCGACTCAACCGTGACGGCCATTCAGCAACCCCCCACCCCGTCATACATACGATTCGAGGTGAGTTTTGAGTCGACTCGACCATGACGGCCATTCAGCAACCCCCCACCCCGTCATACATACGATACAAGGTGACTTTTGAGTCGACTCAACCGTGACGGCCATTCAGCAACCCCCCACCCCGTCATACATACGATTCGAGGTGACTTTTGAGTCGACTCAGCCGTGACGGCCAACCGCTGCCTCGCAACGCACTCTACCATCATGGTCATACATACGATACGAGGCCACTATGCCTGCCACCCTCTTGTGCCTTCCAACCGAGACTAGGGATTTACGGCAATTTTGCTATCTGCCACCATACCGCACCACACCGCACCACACCTGCCCTGAACTCACCATCCGCCTCCAGCAGTCTCTGCAGCCCCTGCACCTTCTCCCGCCACTGACAGCTGGCGGCCTCCCACTGGCCGTGCATGGCAGCAGCAGTGGCTGACACGGACTCCATGAGCCCTGTCAGCGCTGCCCCGTGGGTTGACACGGCAAGGACTTCCCAGGGGCTGGAAGGAGGAGAGGGGGAAAACGGGGGTGAGGAGGTGGGGGGGGGGGGGGGGGGGGGGGGGGGGAAGAGGACGAGAAGTGGGGGTCCTCCTAGTGACTCCACGAGCCCCCCGTGGGTTGACACTGCCAGCACCTCCCACCCAGGGGTTGGAACGAGGGAGAGGGGGAGTAAATGGGAGGGGAGGAGGGGGGGGGGGCGGGAGTTTTAGCCGTAGCCGCGCCTGCTGCTGCTGACATGGACTCCATGAGCCCTGTCAGCGCCGCCCCATGGGTTGACACCACAGGCACCTCCCAGGGGCTGGTAGGAGGAGAAGGGGAGTAAATGGGAGGGGGAGGGGAGGGAGCGCGCCCTTGTGGTTCCATGAGACCTGTCAGCACCGCTCCATCAGTTGACACAGCAGGCACCTCCCAGGGGCTGGTATGGGGGAAGGAGAGGGTGGTGGTGGCGGGGCGGGGGGGGGGGGAGGGGGGAGGAGGGGGGGAGGGTAATTTGCGAAGGAGGAACATGCTGGAGGGAGGAAGGGAAAGGGGAGTCTTGTGGTGAATCCATGTGCTTTGTCCGAGCCGCGCGGGGGGTTGACACGGCCAGAACCTCCCAGCGAGCTGCCTGGGAAGGAAACAAGGAGAGCAAGTGGGGGGGGGGGACATGCTTTCAGCCCTGACGAGACGGTGCCCTGTGGCTTGACACAGGCAGCAGCACCTATCAGGGAAGAAAGCACAGCGGGTGGGGGGATAGGATCCTAGGAGCGAGGGACTTGTTGGGCGCCCTGTTGCCTCAACCTCATCCCCTTGACTGTGCAGGGTGTTTCTGAGAAGTCTCATAACCAACTTAAAAAATGATTCTCAATAACGATTCTAAAAAGCACCACTCTGCATCCTATCCCGTCCATTCAATTTGCTTTCCCGTCCTGTTGTGTGCACAGCACAGCACATCTCTCGCATTTGCATTCGCACCCCTTCATTCGCACCCCTTCATTCGCACCCCTTCATTCGCACACCTTCACTCCACAAAATTGAGTCAAGGGGACGGGATTGAGGCGACAGGGCGCCCAACAAGTCAAGGGGATGTGCAAATGCACAACTGGTGCATTTGTAACCATTCCGTGATTCCATTTGCATTCCCACATGTTTCCTACCTTTGTGCTACCTGCCCACTCCACCTGCTGCCTGCCCACTCCACCTGGTGCCTGCCCACTCCACCTGCTGCCTGCCCACTCCACCTGCTGCCTGCCCACTCCACCTGCTGCCTGCCCACTCCACCTGCTGCCTGCCCACTCCACCTGCTCCCTGCCCACTCCACCTGCTGCCTGCCCACTCCACCTGCTGCCTGCCCACTCCACCTGCTGCCTGCCCACTCCACCTGCTGCCTGCCCACTCCACCTGCTGCCTGCCCACTCCACCTGCTGCCTGCCCACTCCACCTGCTGCCTGCCCACTCCACCTGCTGCCTCCCCACTCCACCTGCTGCCTGCCCACTCCACCTGCTGCCTGCCCACTCCACCTGCTGCCTGCCCACTCCACCTGCCGCCCTCGCACCGGTGTCCCAAATAGCTCGAAAGAGCAGTGCCAAACTGCAACACTCCACTGCTCTATTGAGCTATCCACTCAATCCCACGTTCCATCCTATCCAATGCAAGCAAGCACATCTCGTGCCATTTCACCTGCCCCTGCCCCCGTTCGCACCTGCCCCGTTCGCACCTGCCCCCGTTCCACCTGCCGCCGTTCCATCTGCCCCCATTCGCACCTGCCCCCGTTTGCACCTGTCCCTCAGCACAGCTGTGTCGAACAGAAGCACTTCACTCGCCTCCTCCTGCCTCCCCTGCTGCAACGGCTTGCCATCCCTGCTGTTCCCGCCGCTGCTGCTGCTGTTTGCAGTGGCGACCACGAGATGAGAGTGGTCAGGTGTCAGCAGCGCCTGTGGGAGTGGGTGTGAGAGGTTAGAAGAGGTGTGTTTTGAGGCGCCTCAACACGTGGGAGGGAGGGATGGAGCGAGCAGCAGTAAATGCTGCTGCTGTTTGCAGTGGCGACGAGCAGATGAGAGTGCTTGGGCATTAGCGCGACTGTGGAGTGGGTGAGGGAGGGTGCAGGAGGTGTGGTGTGAGGGGCCTCAGCACGTGGGAGGGAGCGAGCAGCAGTGAATGCTGCTGCTGTTTGCAGTGGGGACAAGGAGATGAGAGTGGTCCTGTGTTAGCAGCGCCTGTGGGAGGGCAAAGGTGCAGGAGGTATGTTCGAGGCGCCTCAACGCATGGGAGTGGGAAGTCACAGGGGGGCGTTGGAGGTTGGATTGTGGAGGGCGGTGGGAGGAGTGGGGCGGAAGGGGGGGGGGAGGGGGGGTTGGGGGAGATGGGAGAGGGAGTGGGTGGGTCGGGTGAAGTAGAAGCAGCAGTAGGGACTTTGGAATGCCAGGGAAGGAGGCGAGGAGAAGGGTGTTGGGGGGGGGGGGAGAAGGGAGAAGGAAACTGATACCCTGACCCTCCCTCCCGCCACGTCCTACCTTCACTGGCGTCCCTCTTGCATGACCCCACTGCCCCATGCGTGTGCTTGTGGTAGCTACATCTGGCACTCCTCCACCTGCTGGCACGTGGCCCGTGATGTCCTGGCAAAGAAACGAAAGGCGAAAGGCTTGTGGTGTAAAGGCGAAAGGCATGCATTTCTTAGGCGCCCCAGAATACTTTTGAGGCGCCTCAAAAGTCATTTCTTAGGCGCCCCAGAATACTTTTGAGGCGCCTCAAAAGTCATTTCTTAGGCGCCCCAGAATATTCTTTTCACCTGCGATGTCCTGGCAAGGAAACAAAAGGCGAAAGGCTTGTGGTGTAAAGGTGACTGAAAGAAACGTGAGTAAAGGTGGTCGGTCTGTATGAATACTGCATAGCATAGTAGTGGTGGGTGACTGAAAGAAACGTGAGTAAAGGTGGTCGGTCTGTATGAATACTGCATAGCATAGTAGTGGTGGGTGACTGAAAGAAACGTGAGTAAAGGTGGTCGGTCTGTATGAATACTGCATAGCATAGTAGTGGTGGGTGACTGAAAGAAACGTGAGTAAAGGTGGTCGGTCTGTATGAATACTGCATAGCATAGTAGTGGTGGATGACTGAAAGAAACGTGAGTAAAGGTGGTCGGTCTGTATGAATACTGCATAGCATAGTAGTGGTGGGTGACTGAAAGAAACGTGAGTAAAGGTGGTCGGTCTGTATGAATACTGCATAGCATAGTAGTGGTGGGTGACTGAAAGAAACGCGAGTAAAGGTGGTCGGCCTGTATGAATACTGCATAGCATAGTAGCAGTGGGTGACTGAAAGAAACGTGAGTTTGTGGGTGTGTGCATGGCGTTGGCATTGGCCTAGCCATACCACGCACTTTAAAACATGTGATACTCTCACGTGATGGGAACACGTGGGACAATTGCACGTGGCACATGGATGGATGTATGGATGGATGGGATGGCACAAGAACGAGATGGAGGTGGTACATATATACATGGATGGCACCGAGTTGGATGCATCTGGCATTGTTGTGGATAGGATGGGATGGGAGGGAATAACAACCATGGATAGGGACGCGTCAGTCACACACACTCACAGACACAGTCATCGCTCACCAGCATGATCAGTGGAATTGGTTTTTGAGAATTCGTTTTTTTGAAACTGATTCTTGAGAACTCTTAAAAACCAATCCAGAGACAGGCACAGTCATCATTGCTCACCAGCCTGATCAGTGGAAAGATGCCGAAAGCGCTCACCACCACACACCCCATCACATCCACACTCACTAACACACACAACACACTTCCCTCCCCTCCTTCTCCCCCTCCACTCACTCCTGCTTCCCCTCCCCCTCCCCCTCCCCCTCCCGCCTTCCCCTTGCCAGCTGGCATGCGAAGCCACCACCGTTCATCCTCAGGCGCGCTGGCCCCATCCACGTCAGCGGCCGAGCCAGCAGCCGCTGACACAGCAGCAGCAGCACCAGATGCGGAGAGGGAGGCGGAGGAGGGGAGGGAGGAGGCAGGTGGGGTCCGGGGGAGGTAGATGTGAGTGAGGTCGGGGTAGGGCCCGTGGGGGAAAGGCGGGGAGGGGAGAGAAGGTGGGAGCGGGGTGGAATGGGACGAGAGGGGGGGTAGGCTGGCGAGGAGGGAGGAAGGGGAGAGAGGAGGGGAGGCACCAGTGCTGGTGGCGGTGGTTGCAGTAGCAGCAGAAGCAGCAGCAGTAGCAGCAGCAGCAGCAGTGGTGGCGGCAGTGGTAGGTGCAGAGTCGGTGGTGGAGAGGGAGAGGTGCAGGGAGGACCAGGAGAGGGAGGAGAGAGGGGCGGAGTGGAAGGAGGAGACCTGGTGGATGGTGTCTCCGCCCTGTGTTGGGGGGGTTAGATTGGAAGGGCGATGGGAGGGAGAGAGACGCTGGAGGAGAAGGCAGAAACAGGGAGCAGGGGGGAGCTGCAAGATGATGAAGACAGCAAAACCATCGGAGAACAGAATCAGCTTGTAACACGCCGCTGCGTTCTGGAGCTCACTATCATTCAAGACTTAGAATCCTGGACCTCACTCACACTACAGTACGTACTCCCCACCCCTGTTACTCTGCCTCTATCGAGCCACAATATGCCTGACCTCCACGTGGCGGTACACGATGCTGCCATCTGTGTGCCCCGTCAGAATGGCCCGCCCATCGGGCCGCCACGTCAGCGCAGTCACAGGCACCTCTGGTGGGAAGGAGGGGGGAAGCAACACAGCAAGGGAGGGGAAGATAGCAACAGGAACTTGAGGAGAGGTTTGGGGGGTTTAGGCGAGCAGCAGTGGCAAGGCCAATGAGTCTGGGGAGCTACTACGTTCAGGATCACCAGACCACATGCACCCACCAACTTCAACACAATGGACCACCACATTCAATCATTTCACCCACCAGACTACCAGATTCATTCATCGGAGGTGATGGCCACCCACCAGAGATGACGGCCACCCACCAGAGATGACAGCCACCCACCAGAGATGACGGCCACCCACCAGAGATGACAGCCACCCACCAGAGATGACGGCCACCTACCAGAGATGACGGCCCAGAGCCTCTGCCAATTCAGTCGGAAGACGAGGAGATGCTGGTCTCGACACACGAGGGCCAGCAGGTCCTTGTCGCCACTCCACTCCGCCAGACATGCCTGATGGGAGGGGAAGGGACGGGAGTATGAGGCCAAAAGCGAAAGTATAATGTGCAACTATTCCTCCAGTGCTGGTCGCGGCACACGAGGGCCAGCAGGCCCTTGTCGCCGCTCCACTCCGCCAGACATTCGAGAAGCAGCAGGAAGACGAGGTACGGTGCTGTAGATCAGGCGCACTCCGCTCTGAGCATCAAGCGCACTCCGCTCTGAGCATCAAGCGCACTCCACTCTGTAGATCAGCCTGATCCGAGCCACACTGTATGCGATTGTTGTGAGACGATTCTGCTTTTGAGTCGACTAAAATAGAAATAAAGATGAGCCACACTGTACGCGATTGTTGTGAGACGACTAGAGTACGAAACACGTGACAATCGCCCAGATTGTGGGAAAATGAGAACGGACGTCGATCTGTGGCTTCGCGACAAAGAATCACTTGAAACTCCGTATGAGAATGCCACGTAACGAAGGAGGAAGAGAGTGAGAGCGGGGATATCATATAGTTCACCTGCTCTCCCTAGTCAAAGATGCCTCTCATCTTGAAAGTGGGATTCAGTTCTCTAGTGATGGCCCCTCATTCAGTCTGTGACATAGATGCAAAAGAGAACCAGCTGACTGACCTGCGAGGCAAGCGACCTCTCCTGAACAACGGTGAAGCTGCCAGCCATTGCAGCAGGTGAATGGCAAACAACGGGAACGGAACCATTTCGCTCCTCCCTGCTCAGCTGTGAGTTGTGCTTCCTTTCACCTCTCTGCTGTGAGATCCGTTAGTGCAACGAGGCCCTTCGTTTTGGTGGAGTGTTCCTAGTCAATCAGACACTAGAATACAGCATTAGTGGCTGTATATTATTAAACAGCCAGAACTTTCGAGCTTTCCGGTGCCATGGAAATATGCGCTCATGATCAAGCAAATATGTCGTATATATGCTGCTTAGTGCATACTCTGAACTAAATGTGAGGAATATGATAATTTGGAATATGCTTATTGCAGCTTATCGGTGTTAGCTTTACAGATGTACTGCCACAGGTGGTCCCCTTTTCGCTGGTCTGAGTGACACCACCTCCCTGCCACTGAGCATTGAGCACCTTCTCTGACCCTTGCTGCCACGTCGACTGACCTTTGAAAGTGCTTGGCGCGAAAAGTGAGAGTATATCCTGCGACAGTGTTTATAAACCGTCGATCTATATGACATACACCATAACATGCGCTGATCCGACGGATAAAATTCACCAGCTGACGTCTTTCCCTCGTGCCGCACGGATCTACTTCGATTGTTCCGCGCCCAACCAGCTCTGGCAGAAGGGCGGAAAAAGCCCTTTCGTTTGGCCTGGTGGCTGTTGGCGGTGGTGGTGGTGAAGATCACCCCCAGACTGACCCCCTTGGTTTTGTGTGTCCGCCATAATGTGACGTGACGTGAGCAGTCAGGGTTTGGTCTGGTTGTCTATTCCAGGAGCACTGCGCTGGTAGGCCTTCCTTGTCCTCCCCCCTGTGCTGCGTTTTGTTGTTGTTGTGTTCCTCTTCGTCCGCTTCCGTTAGTACTGTATCCGCCCCGACTTGCTGCGTTTCCCTCCTAGGCTTCCCTCCAAGGCTTGTGGATCTGCTCTGAAGGGTTTCCCGCCTTTCTATTTCAAACCGTCTAGGATCAGCAGCTCTGCCTGCGGTAGCAAATAGCACGTAATGAGATTGGATCAGAGTAGCAATTCTATTTCTTTCCCTGTTACTCATTAGTCTTAGAAACAATGGCGGTTAGCTTATCGTCTTTTACCTCCCAGATTAGTATTTCTAGGCCTAATTCAGAAGCCCAATTGGCGTCCGCTGGCACTCTTGGCTCGCGGAGTAGTGATGAGTGTTCCGGGATTTCACGAGTGTCAGCGACTAGTTTGGGCTCAAACGAAAGATCGAGCCTTGCGGTTTCAGCATCGTTTGGAACCGCATCTCGTTCGCCATTGCGCGCCGATGACGGCCGCGACACTTTTACCGGCTTGCCGGTTCACAGCGGCGTCGTCCACAAAACGGGACGGTCGCGACGCTTCAGCGAGAAACTGAAACAGCGACGGAGACTGGTTTGTCACGCAGAGAGCGTAAGCGGTAGCAGTAGTAGTAGCAACAACGGCAGGATAGGCAGTTTAGTAATCCCGCCAACTCCACCCTTAGGCTCCGTGGGTGGGGAGTCTGACCGGGATGCTAAACTCTCGCAGCTTAGTAGGGTGAGTGGCGGAAACGACGCCGTGGCTCGGCGAGCAACAGAAACGGCGACAGCGGAGGATGCGGCGAGTGCTGGCACGGTTTCAGGGTTGCTGCAGCAACAGAAGTCTCCGCCTGTCCTCGAGGTCGTCCGGCAACTAGAAGCGAAGATGAACGAACCGTCCGCTGTGCTGGAAAGCATGAAGGTGGGACCTTTATCCTTTTTTCCACTCTCTCCGTTTTCCCCCCTCTTTTCGTGTCGTCTAGCCTTTCCCGTTTCCCTTCCCGATCCTCTTCCCGGCATGTTGCGCGAGCTCAACAATGCGCCGTAGACCCGCTGTGTACTGAGAGAGTGTGCAATGATGGTTCGTCGAAGCTCACGTTTCTTCATTTCTTGTTCCTGTGCAGGATATGCTGACGGTTGAAGATCTCGAGACTCTCATCGCTTACCTGGCGCAGCGTGGTCGTGACATGTGGCAAGCGCTCGAGGTGTACGACTGGATGGTTCGCGAGAACCGCGCGCAGCGCAGCACGCGGCGCCTCACTCTCGTCATCATGGACCAACGCCTCGGGCAGCTTCTACAGGAAGCCTGCCCGACCGAAAACATTCTGCGCCTAGTGGTGCGCATGCTGGAGCTGGAGCTCCTGCCGGATCTTCCGCTCAAGCGGATGCTGGCGGAGCAAATGTGGGATCGGGGGGACCTGCCGGCCGTCGTGCGCCTGCTGCGGATTCTGCAGGAGTCGGATTCTTTCCACGGTACCGGCGCTAGTCTCAACTTGGGAGGAGACGGAGGTGCGGACCTGGCGGGGAAGTTGCGAAGCCAAATGGAAGGGTCGATTAAGGACGTACGGGACAGGCGGACTGAGGTTGCTAGGGATGACGCCGACACCGGCTCCGTCGAAGCGGTTGCGAGGCAGCTTAAGCTGCCGCCGACGCTGCAGGGGGAGGCGAGCCAGCCTAACCAATGGAATGTGGCCATGTCGTCGTCTGTTGTTGGAGGAGTCGCCCCTTCGCCCATCTCCGCACCGGCTACCAGCTCGGCAGCCGAAGCGGACGGGATGGCGGGAGGCTCGGCGGGAGGTTCGGCCGGAGGTTCGGCAGAGGCGTCCTCAGGGGCATTGCTGCTGGCGGAAGGTCCCGAGCAGCGGAGGGACCGCCTCATCCAAGAGTTGCGCGAGCGGGTGGCGCATGAGCTGGCTGGCGGAAAGGGGGAAGGGGGAGCGGCGATGACTGTTCTTGTGGAGCGCGCGGAGGCTGATACCGCGGACGCGGTTGCGGAGACGGGGGAGGACCTGGGAGGGTACTTGGCGGAAAGGGCGCTGGCGCGTGCGCAGTTCCGCGAGGTGCTTGCACTTCCGCGGCTGCTGCGCGAGAGCGGAGTGGAGGTTTCGGTGGTGGCGTATGAGGCGGCTCTGATTGCGGCGGTGAAGGAGCAGGAGCTGTGGACGATCAACGTGGGGGACCTGCAGGTGTTCCAGTACGAGAGCGCCGTGGGCGCGCTGTCGCCGCTGGACTGCATGCTCATGGAGGTGAGTGGTTCTTGACGGTTGGTGCTGGTGTGGGTGAGTGGGGATGGAGACTGTAGGGTTGCTGCATGGGGCGCATTCTCACCGCTGTCACTGGACTGCAAATACTTCCCCCCCCTACCCCCGCGCTCCCTCCCTCCCCTCCCTCCTAGTCCTCCCTCTCTCTAATTTATTTCCTTTTCCGTCTCTTGTCACTCCTCCCACAGCTCGCCCAGGCGTCCCTGCAGCACGAGTTGCAGCAGCTGGTGGCGTGGTTCGACGAGCACTGCGAGCGGGAGTTCGCGCGACTGATGTCTGATTCCCCTACCCCCCCTACTCCCCCTACTCCGCCTACTCCCCCTACTCTCCCTACTCCCCCTACTCCGCCTACTCCCCCTACCCCCCCTACTCCCCCTACTCCGCCTACTCCCCCTACTCCCCCTACTCCCCCCACTCCCCCTACTCCCCCTTTCCACCCTTTCACAGCTCGCCCAGGCGTCCCTGCAGCACGAGGCGCAGCAGCTGGTGGCGTGGTTCGACGAGCACTGCGCGCGGGAGTTCGCGCGCGTGCAGGCTTCGGTGCGGGATGTGCAGCAGGACGTGTTACACAAGTGGGCGTGGTTACCACAGGAGCAGCGGGAGAAGCTGGTGCGGGCAGCGACGGAGAGAGAGGAGCAGGTGGGTGGGAAGGGGTGGGCGGTTGGGAAAGGGAGGGAGGGATGGTGGTGGAGTGGGTGGGCAGGTGGGCGAGGCACAGGCGTCGGTGCAGCAGCAGCAAATGGTCGCGTCCTGGTTCGCCGCTCAGGATGCCTTGTGCTTACCCTTGCGTTTCTCTGGGTTTCGTTCCTCCGGTTCCTCCGTTATCGTGCTCTCTTGAGGCGCCTCAAAAATAGACTCCTCACGCATTGTCGTGCTCTCTTGCCTGCAGGTATCAAGGCTGCTGAGCGAAGCACAGGCTTCGGTGCAGCAGAAGATGGTTGCATTCTGGTTCGCTGCTCAGGACGCTGACCGCGCAGAGGCCGCCATGTGGCACGCTGCTGAGCTGGTGGCCGAGGCGGGTGGTGACATGGCGGTGGATGCTGACGTGGCGGCCAGCATTGCAGGGTTGCATGGGTTTCAGGGGAACCACACGGCTCTCAGGAGGTGAGTTTTGGGGGGGGGGGAGGGTGGTTGTCACATGTGCAGGGAATGGGAGGGGGGGAGGGGAGAGGGGATTAGGAGAATGGGGGGCTGCCTGTCGGAGTGGGAAGGGGAAGGGTTGAGAATCTGATCTGTGGGTAGTTGTCCAGTGGGGTGTGGTGGATGGTAATGTGCTGTTGACATATTCTACTTATTTGAAGACCTGGCATCACGGCCAATCTGGTCTCATTTCTCAACATTTGTGCTCTGCTGTGTGGTGCTGTGCGGTGCTGTGCTCTCCTGTGCTGCGCATCAGTCTGCGGCATCGCATGCAGCAGCTGGGGAGTCCGTTGGACGAGAATGCGTACACGCTCATGGTGGCTGGGGCCATCAATGGAGGGCACCTGGATGTCGCCGCTGCCTCCATGCAGGAGGTATGTGATGGGTGTGATGGGTGTCATGGATGCTGCATGCGACAGGCGGTGTGCGGCGTGATGCATCAACCGTGATTTGTGGGAACGGGTGTGTCTCATGGTGGCTGGAGGCTGGAACCCATGATTGGCTGGCCATCTGGACATCGCTGCTGCCCCCCCACGCTGGAGGTACGTGTGATGGGTGGAGTTTGGAACGTGTGCGGTAGTGTATGGTGTGGTTGGCAGCATGTGTCTCATGGTGGCTGGAGCCATTAACAGGGCCCATCTTGATGTTGTTGCTGCGTCCATGCAAGAGGTATGTGGCCTGGAATATCAGATGTGTGACATCTTATGTGTCACGTCATGTGACATTGCGGTATGGCATGTATGTGATGGTTTGGCCCTTGTTTTGCGTGCCGCGAGACTCATGCACCGTGTATCATGCATCATGTGTCATGCATCGTGTGTCATGTGGCGCGTGCATTGCATGTGTTGCGTCCTCTTCCATGCCTCCAATGCGGTCTCCATCCCCTCATCTCGTCTCCTCTCCTCTCTGCCAGATGGTGGAGCGAGGCATGGAGCCCAGCGGGCCGCAGCTGTCCACGCTGCTGCGCCTGCTGCAGAGGCGGGATGGGCTGGGCGCTCACGGCAACAGCACACGTAGCAACAGCAATGGTGGAAGTGGCGATGCGGGCGTGGAGGAAGCAGAGAGCCATGATGGGGCATCGGTGGAGTCGTATCTGTGCCTCTGTGCCACGCTGGCTGCTGCGGGAATTGTGGAGCCATGTTTGGTGTATCTCTACATTGACGCCCTCCGCCTCTGCATCATCCGCATGCTCTGATCTGCTGTTGAGGCGCTGTAGTGTTGGAGACACCTCAGAAGGGCCTCTGTGCGATGCTGGCTGAAGGGGGGATTGTGGAGCTGTGCCTGGTGTATCTGTACATCGACGCCCTCTGCCTCTGCACTGCATCATCCGCATGCTCTGATCGGATCTGCATTTGAGGCGCCTCACAAGGGTTTTTTCTGTGCGACGCTGGCTGCAGCAGGAATAGTTGAGCGGTGCTTTGGTGCGCCTCTACATGGAGACCCCCGTCGCTCACATGATTCGCATGCTCGGCTTTGCATAAGCGGCCTCTGACCTCTGTTTTGATAGTTTTGTGCTGCTGTAGTTTGTTTTCTTCTGTCCTGATATTGACTCTGTAGGGCATGCAGAGAAGTTCTGTTCACCTATGGTGAGTGGCTTTCTGTAATGCCCCGTCTCGTATACGCCTTGGCTTTTTACTCTTTCCCTTCTCTTCTGGTTGCTAGCTTTATGCAAGCTAATAAAGCTGGTCTGACTAGAATTCAACTTGATCTGAGTAATGACAATGAATGCATACTATAAAATCTAAGTATTTACAGGTGCCTGGACAGCTTCAAAACTGACCCTCAACGGCCAAAGCAAGATTGCACAACAAAAGAATCTTCAAGCCATGAACCTTTCTCCATCCACTGTAGCACTAGAGCAAAAGAGAGCTGAAGGGCCTGTAACGAATCTGTGCTCGGTGCTGCTGCTGTGTCGCTGAAGGAGCGAACCCTCGCGAGGGGACGCGTGGTTTGCGGATCTGACTCGCCGGGGGGAGGCCAGAAGCTGCTTGGGGCTGGAGCGCGGAGAGCTGAAGCCCCGCGGACCGGCGGAATGCGCTGGCCATGAGCGCGTGTGTGAGATTCCGCGGGGATGGGGGGGGCAGGAACCCAGCGAGTGTGAGAGGCTCCGCGGTTGGGGGGAGCCGGCGGAACTCCGCGCGTGTGACACGCTCCGCAGTTGGGGGGATCCCGCGGAACTCCGCGAGGCGGGTTCCGCGTAGAAGCTCAGGTCGTCATTCCAGGATTGACTGCTTCCGACTCCGACTCCGCCAGGCGACGCGGGCCGCTCGGTAATATCGAGGGACACATGGCGCCTGAGACCGCGCTGGCGTTGGTAGAAGCTTCCGTACTTTCCGCTCGCGGCGGCGGCGTATTGAACCTGAGCCGAGCTGCTCCGGGTCCGCTGCTCTAGCGCTACTGACGAGTCCGTATTGGTGGGTTCTGGGAATGCCAGCGTGGCGGCGTCTGATTCGTCGTCGGATGTCCGTTGCATGGCGGATTGCAGCCGTTCGATGAAGCCCTGGCATTTGACGGCGCTGAGCTGGCGCTGAAGGTCGAGCAGGTGGAGCTTGCATTCGAGTGACGCCATCTCCACGTCAGCAGCCGTGGAACCCCGTGGTATTGTACCGCGATCGTACAAGCCAGGAGGAGGACTCTTCGGAGGACTGACATAGCAGGCGGGGTAAGTCGTTCCCTTGGCGGCGAAAGCTACTGCTTCGGAGGAAGATGATTCGAGCGTCTCGAAACGAAGAGCCATTGGGTTCGACTCCGACACCAGTACAAGCGTGTTGAATGGGGACTCCTTGGAGGAGACAAGCGTGTTGACTATTCGGAATGGAAGAAAACGTTAGCTGTGAATAGCTGTGATAGGAGTTCTCTTGTAGAAGAGAGACGGAGAAGATGTGGAGTTTGAGACGTTAGGGAAGCGCGGCGCGGAGATTTCTTGGCGATTGGATTTCTTTACCTTGCAACTGGTGTGGTGGTTGAATGGTGGTTGCTCTGTTCGTCAAGCGTCTGACCATGAGCAAGTACTAGTGTGTACTGTACTGCACACGGCTTCACTACACTGTCGTCGGCTCTGGCAAAACGTACAGCGTGGCAATCCGATTAGTGGTTGCTATCGCAAGGAAAGCGGCGACTCGACGGTGCTCCATCGGCCGTGCTGACGCGGCAGCACAGCGCTGCCCTCGACGAGCGCACTGATTCGCTGGGAGCAGGTCAGTCGCAAGTCGTGTTTCATGGCATCGGGTGTATTTGGCCTGGAAAGGTGCACAACCCACCTGGGACGGAAGAGCCACTTACTAAGAAAGGGGCGAATGGGGGGAGGAGGGGCAGGGTGGGGAGTGGGTGAGGCGACTCGAGGCGAGGCTTGTCGTGTGGTTTGGGCTACTCGAGTGAATTCGAGGCGGGAATCTGGAGACTGGATGGAAGCAGGGCGAAAGGCACAAACAGGAATAAGCAGGAGGCGGCGTAGACTAGACTGTCTTCCCGTCCTACTCTTTGCATTCTGAGCGTGTCCAAAGTGCCATTTTTAGCGGATGATAGATCAAATCGCGTCCGCTGTCAACCGTCCGTACCGATGGCAACAGTTGAGATCTCTGCTGTCATCCGCTGTCAGAACACTTTGGACACGCTCTTCGACCTGTCTGATTTACCTGCCTCCGGCCACTTAGCAGCCATTAATAACTGTAATGGCAGGACGCCTAGACGGTGTAAGCCCAGCCTTGCTGGCACAGCGCGTGGCTTCCGAGGAGCTTCCCTTTTTCCCTGACCAGCCATCATTCATTTCGCTTGACTTGTGCTATAAAGAGCTTAGCTGTTCCTCCGCGCTAGTCCTCCACACTTCCACCGCGCGGCACCACACAATTGCGTTCTGCAACTCACCGTGCCGTGATCAAATCCCCTGTTTTCAGACCCTGAGGCCTCGGGGTCTGTACTCATCACCCGCTCCCCCCTTCCGCACCACTTCTTGACGATGGCCTGCTACCGTGGTGATGGGCTATCCCCGCTGGCGGCGCAACCGTCCGGGAGCGGGGGACCAGCCGAACAGGGCGCGGACGGGGGTGACGTGGCCATAGTTCCGCTCCGCTCGCCTTCGGTAACAGTACCGTACCGTTCTGTACTTTACTGTACCCGAGCATCCTAAGTCTTGTGGAAACCTCACTTGGTCCTCACGTATGCCCTGCTGGCAAGATCTACGTCAGGAGGAGGAATCAGGCAGGACTACATCACTGTACTATTTTCGCCAGGCATATCGGACGAAGCTCGCAAGGGCAGAAGCTCGCTTCGTCAGCCAATGGACGAATGATCTCACCCTTCGTGTGTCGCAGGGGAAGATCACTTCACGTGATGCACTGAACCACACCACATGCACATGGGGTGTGCAGGAGGCGTTGTAGCGAGATCAGATTCCTCCAGTTCCAACTACAATAGTTTCCCGTACTGTATCTTCTAAGGGAAACTATTGTAGAGAAGAAGTGGGATGGAGGCTCAAGGTGATAGACTACGGGGGAGATGTTAGAAACATACACGCGTTTCATGCCTGCTTATGCCTGCTTATCCAAGTTAGAATTTCTTCCTCTTTATTGTACTTCACACTAGCGCATTCACAAACGTTGTCTTTCTAGACCGTGCAACGAAATTATTTCCACTCACTAGAATAGTGGTGTAGTAGCAACGGAACTGTAAAGAGGGCTCCAATGCCAGCAGCCACCGAGCCATATCGACCAATGGCTAGCTGCATCCATGCATTCACACGCTGGCGCTCCTTGGGAACAAAGATGTCGTAAGTTGGAAAAAAGCAGCAGATCGTAAGTTATAAAAACTTGTAGGAAGGGAATCGGCAACGTGGACGTGGAGCCAAATTCGGACGATAAGGACGGAGCAGAGGGTGTGAGGCGTCCAACGAACAAAATAAGAGGGACGCAAGAAAGTTAGTTTGCGCGGTTTTGAGTACCCTTGCCGAAAGCAGGATATATAAAAAGGAAGGAAGATAGCTAAGGTGGTACTTGAGATAACGCAACTATGGTGCACAGTACAGTACCTGGAATCACGCTTGAATGGCACGTGGTACCTGGTATGATGCTCGAAAGGCCGAAAGAGCTTCCGGAAGGAGCGTGATTCTGCCACGACCAGCCTCATATGGCAGTCTGAAAAGACAATATGAGAAAGGCACATTGAGTGTCTCCAAGATAAAATAAAACGGGGATAGGAGAGGCTTACCCAAGGGATACGGGAGGATAAAGTAAATGACGACGCAACTTTGATAAGGCAAGAAAAGTAGGCTGGACACACAAGGCACTTGAGATCCATGAAATAACAAAACCTACCTCTATGCAGGGGGGCACTTACTCGGCACTTGTGACTGTAAGCAGGGGGCCGCTCACTCGTCACTTGTGACTATAAGCAGGCCGGGCTCACTCATCTTTTGTGATTAAAAGCAGGGGGGTGCTCGCTCGTTTAAGGTCTCGCTCACCTGAGGCCGCAAAGCTGCTGCATGACAGCCTCCCTGACATTCCATGAGATAGGCTCACCTGAGGTCCACCTTTGCTGTCACACCCGGGCAGCTCGCAAAAAAGGTACATTTACCGTCACAGATCAGGCTTCCACAAATGTAGACTCCAAAAACGGCCTCAAATCAGGCTTGCAACAATTATAGACTCCAAAAACGGCCTCAGCTTAAGCCCACCTGAGGCCCGACAGCTGCTGCATGACAGCCTCTCGGACGAGCGAGCGCCCCCTGCTTATAGTCACAGTCCGACATGGATGGAAATGATACAGTCACACGGGGATCGCATGAATGAACTACGATGAGGTACCATGTGGTGTGCAGTGAGGTGTAGTGAGGTGTAGTGAGGTTTAGTGAGGTGTAGTGAGGTGTAGTGAGGTGTAGTGAGGTGTAGTGAGGGGTAGTGAGGTGTATTTAGGTACAGTGCGGCGAACCGTTCGACGCAAAAAAGCACACACATAAATGGCCACGCCACGACCAGGAAAAAGACACATGCCTAAGAACACAAGACAGGGGTCAGCCAAGCATGCACGCATGCAATCACGCAAGCACGCATGCAAGCACGCAAGCAAGCACGCAAGCACGCAAGCAAGCACGCAAGCATGCACGCACGCACGCAAGCAAGCATGCAAGCAATCAAGCAAGCATGCATGCACGCATGCAATCAAGCAATCAAGCAAGCATGCACGCACCTGCCAACACCAGTGATGATGACAAGGCCCTTGGGATGTGCCGCCGCCACCGGGCCATGTTCCGCCAGATCTGGTCGTTGAGTCGCCTCAGGAGCGAAAAGTGCAGAACGTGGGCCATGTTTCGCCGAATCTAATCTTTGAGGCGGTTCAAGAACAGAGAGGGCCGACGCCTGGCACTGTTGCGCCTGATCTGTAGCTGCCAGGCTAACTCGGTGACCCCAGGGGGGGTGCATCTGGACAAGGCCTGCACGAGCCACGGGTACCTGAACCCTCTTCTGAGGCGCACCTGGGGCGGGCTGTATCTGATCCCCCCTGCGCATCTCGTGGTTGTGTGATGGAGAGGGGACTGAGCAAGCCAGTGAGTGAGAGTGGGAGTAAGGATGGGAGTGAGAGGAGGGGACAGGGGGTGAGTGAGGGAGTGAGGGAGGGAGTGAGGGAGAGAGGAGGGCGTCCATGAGTAGCATGCGGCTCTGCATGGCCGACAAACCATGGAGGTCCAGAGTCATTCCCATGCTCTCCCACTCCCCGGATCTCAATTCACATTCACCCCTCGCTCCTGCCCTTGCTCCTTCCCTTGCTCCTTCCCTCCCACCACCAATCTCTCCTCCCAACTCTCCTCCCTCCCCTCCTACTCTCACTCCTCTAGTTGCTGCTGTTCCCCCTTCCATCTGGAGATTTCCCGTGCCAGAACAGCCACCCACTCCCACCATCTCCCCTCTCCTGCTGACATCATCCTCCACTCGACCCCCTCTGTTGCTGACGTCACCTGTAGCCCCTCCGGCTCCACCCATCCCCAAGTCTGCCCGTGCCTGTACAGCCGACGCTACTCTGCCGAGCCACTGCTCCAGCCACGTGCCAAGCCTAGGCTGTGAGTGGTCCGTGCTCCGGGATTCTAGGGCGGGGTTTGACTGTGACTCTACAATCGCTTGTGATCCTACTTGACGTGACTGTACAATAGAGTGTGCGCTAATGCGCTGAAATTGTACCACAGGTTGTGACCCGATGGTCTGAGACTGTACAGAGGCAGGAGTGGCAGCATTTTCAGGATCAGTGAAGGCGTGACGTGGAATATCTGCCTCAACAGCTGCAGCAGCGTTTTGTTCTTGAGAATTCTTAGGGTCAGCAGAGGCGTGAGGTGGAATATCTGCCTCAACAGCAGCAGCAGTTGCAGCAGCATCAACAGGCGCAACAGCGTTAACAGGCTCTAAACCCCCCGATTCCCCACTCACAGCTGCTGCTGCTGCACCGCCTGCTACAAGGCCAGGACTATTCACATGTGCACGGAAGGATTGGTGGGCCGAGGGGGACGAGCGAGAGGGGGTGGAGGCAGGAGGAGTGGGAGGAGAGCACTGCTGCTGCTGTTGCGGACTCGGATTCTGCTGCTGCTGCTGCTGCTGCTGCTGCTGCTGTGTTTGCTTCTGACGGTGATGCTGATGCTGATCTGTCGGCATCAAATGCTGACGTGGAGGGAGCAGAGCGGGCGCCATGGCGGAGAGGAGGTCGACGGGCAGAGAGGGGGCGAGGCGGAAGGCGGCAGTGAGAGAGGAGATGGAGGCCTGGAGGGGATAAAGGGAGGCGCATAGGCGGAGAGAGAGAGACGGGGGAGAAAGGGGGTTGGGTGGGGGATACGTATGGGCAGATATGGAGGAAGGCGGCAGTGAGAGAGCAGATGGAGGCCTGTGGGAATAAATAAAGTGGGAGGGGAGAGAGGTGGTCGAAGCAAGATGGAGCGAGTGAGGGTGAAGGCAAAACGCCAAACAGGGGATGTTCTGTTTTTTAATTAATTCTCCTTTTCGAGAATTCTAAAAAACAGAACACATTGGCGTCATTGTTTAGAATTCTCAAAAGCGAGTGAGTGAGGGTGGGTGAAGACAAAAAGCCAAACAGGAGATTGTGCAAGTGAGTAAGAACAAGTGAGGGAGGAGACTTGTAAAAGGCAAGCTTATTCTTGAGGTGCCTCAAAACTAGACTTGTATCATCACGCGCAAAACATGTGGAGGAGAAGAAGACTAGTGGAAGGCAGCTTCACAAGGTAATCGCAGGAAGTGGTTATGCGGCCATGCAACGCGGCCATTCAACGCGGCCATGCAACGCGGCCATGCAACGTGGCCATGCAACGCGGCCATTCAACGCAGCCATTCAACGCGGCCATGCAACGCGGCCATGCAACGCGGCCATGCAACGCGGCCATGCAACGCGGCCATGCAACGCGGCCATGCAACGCGGCCATGCAACGCGGCCATGCAACGCAGCCATGCAACGCGGCCATGCAACGCAGCCATGCAACGCGGCCATGCAACGCGGCCATGCAACGCGATTGCCCAAACTGAGTGGAATGGGAAACGGAATCAATGAGGTACCAACCACCCACCCGCCTGCCCGCCCGCCCGCCACGCCAACCAACCAACCAACCAACCAACCAACCACCACCACCACCATCATCACCACGCGGATGGAAACAAGGCACATGCCTTTCACACGGTGGCAGCGCCTTGTACCATACCATGTGACGTGGAGTACCTCGGACGGAGTGATGCCTGCACCAATCATCCGGTGCCACGTGTCCAGTGCAGCATCAGCATCCGCAGCACGGGCACACGCATCCAGCAACGTGTTGAATGTGACTATATCAGGGGTGACAGTAGCTAGAGTTACAACACCAGAAGCGGTTTCGGAACCACAGTCGTCCTGCCTGGACGTGCTGCGGGCGGCATTGGGCCTGGGTGGCAATTCTTGTCCTGGCATGCAGGTGATGAGCTGGCGCATGCGATGGATGGTCTCAGAGGCGTTGAGCCCCGAGGGCACGGATGGAGAAGCGGCATGGTGTCGGGCATCGGCGCCGGCGTTGGCATCGTCGGCTTCAAAGTCTCTCCCAGCGTAGCCATAGCCAGTGGCCGGTGTGATGCTCTTGGCGTAAGCATTGAGAACGATGTTGTAGCTCCGCTGCACATGGGAGGGGAGGTGACACCATAGCATGGGAGGAGGAGGCACGTGGCAGCAGACGTGAGAAGGGGAATCACACGCCACATCGTAGTACATGAGGAGGAGGGGGCACGCGGCAGCAGACGTGTTACAACCCAGCATGAGCATCCATCCGGTCAACACTCTCTTGGCGCACTCATTGATAACGATGCTGTAGGTCCGCTGCATGTGGGGCGAACAGGCTTTGAGAGGGACATGGCATGGCATGGCAGGACAACAGCAATGACAATGGCCTCTTAGCAGCAGCAGCGGCGGCGGCAGCAGCAGCGCTGGCGGCGGCGCTCACCAGGTTGGGCGAGCACCGAGCCTGTTTCATCCGCCGGAGCACCTCCTCCGCTCGCATGGCATGCCCGCTGTGGCTCCACGCATCGGCCAGGGCATTCCACACCACCACATCGTTCAACCCATTGCTCGCTGCATGGTTGACCCCACTGACCCTGCTGACCCCGTTGACCTTACTGTCAGACAGAGCGTTCCACACCACCGCGTCCTTGAACCCATTGCTGGCTGCATTGTCAGCAGCGCCACCATCAGAAAACCCCTTCCCCAGCACCACCTCCCCCAGCCCAGCCTCCCCCAACCCAGCCTCCCCCAGCGTCATCCCTGCCATCACTCTCTCGGCTTCATCTGCCCTGCCCGCCCGCCCACACACCGCAATCATTGCGGAGGCGGCATATTTGTCCGCTTGCAGGCCGCGCCCCCGCATCTCCTCCCACAGCACACGTGCACGCGCCAGCTGTCTCGATGCTACTCGCTGCCTCGCTGACGTAGAGGCGGTGGCATCTGCTGCTGCTGACCTCCCCTGAATGACACCTCCCCCTTCCGCTCCCACTCGCCCTCCCCCTACTGCTGCCCCTTCCGCTTCCCCCTCCCCTTCTCCCGCTTCCCCCTCCCCTTCTCCCGCTTCCCCCTCGCGTTCCTCCGTTGCGCCCCCATCCAGAAGCTTCCGCGCTGGTTCCGCCTCCGCCAGCTCAAACCTCCCCCTCCCGAGTCGGCGCCACGTGGCACCCTTCACCAGGCACAGCTGGATCCGCGCCGCGTACATCCACGTGGCAGGCGCGCCGCCCAGCGCGCGGTATTCCGCCATGAGCGCGTCGACCTCCTCCTCCGCGCGCCTGCGCCTGCGCCCGCCCTCCGCGCGCTGGCCCTCGCGCGCCGCTTCGCGAATCCGTCGCGAGAGCTCGCGAAGGCGTTCGCGAAGGGGTGGACGACGCACCTGCGACTGCTGCGATTGCTGCGATTGCTGCTGGCGAGGATGCTGTCCGCCCCCGTCATGTGCGCTCGGGTCAAGATGCTGCTGCTGCCGCTGACGCTGCGACTGAAATTGCTGCTGCGGCTGCTGCTGCTGCTGCTGCTGCTGATGCTGCGGCTGAAACTGCTGTGGTTGCTGCTGGTGCTGCCTTTGTGGCCTATGGTGGCGGGGATGCCGCCCGTCATATGCGCCCCGCTCAAGATGCTCCAGCCGCGGAGAATGCTGCTCCCGCTGCGTCTGCTGCTCCCGCTGCGTCTGCTCCTGCCTTTGCTGCTGCGGTTGTTTCTGCTGCTGCTGCCGCTGCTCCTCTTGCGACCGTCGTTGCGGCTGCGGCGGTTGAGGGAAATCCAGCCGCCCCCACTGTTTTTCCGGCTTCATCATCAACGAAAAAACGAGACGACCGACGCTAGTGTCGCGCGTCGCGCTGCTGCCTTAACCGCCTAGAGGGGTGATGATACCACGTCAGCTGGCCGCAGTCCAGTCCGCAAAACACGGCGCGCACGGCATGTTCACTGCGTAGCGTAGGCTCATGCCCACAACCTCGGTAAACTATCTACTGACTTGTGGAGACCAAAACATTCGCCCTCAGTTTCGACATTTGTATTTCAATTTGTATCTGAGCTGAGTTACATGGTTTGATATTATGTATTCTCTACACCGCCGCGTCGACAATATCGAGGACAACAGCTTCTCCTGAGCTTGAAGCCTCCCAGAGTCCCCTCCCCTCCCCCCCCGGCCCCTAGTTTCTTTCCCCCATGTTCCCTCTCTCTTCTCCTTTCTCCTTGCTCTCTCTCTTCGTCGCCCTCTGGAAACCTCGGTCCTGGTCTCAGGGCTTTAGTAGACCCGACACAAACGCACCTATTTTCGCGTTACCTGGCCCTGCATTTAGTTGATTCTGGAAACGGAACGAAGACTCTTCGCTCCGCGATTTTTTCTGTCGAGGTAGGTTCTACTGGCGGGAAAAAGGGAGCAACATATGATCGCGACTGTGAGGGTCCTAGCCTGTTGGCGGTTAGGGTGCTAAGAGTCGCTTTAATGAGAGTCAGTGTGCTAAGGATAATTTTGATGGATTTCAGAGTTCTAAGAGTCACAATGAATGTCAGCGAGCTAAGAGTCACTTCAATAAGTATCAGATTTTGGATGTGCCGAGGAACCTTGAGTCGGGAATCAGGTTTCAGATTCTTACCAGGCAACTCAGTCAAGAGTGTATTTTTCTCGTTATGTATGAATGTGTTCTTCTCACATGTCTCATACGATGGTCCATCGCCGTGCAACACCTTACGCGACGCGTCTCGCATTGTCGTCGCTCTCCTGGGTTTATCTCTTATTTCCTGCAGGTGGGTTTTGAGGTGCCTCAAAAAAAAAAAATCTCTTATTTCCTGCAGGGCAGCAGATCCCATTGACGCGCGTCGTTAATTCTCTACTGTCGGTTCCGTGCAGGACCGAGAGCCGCCGCCGTCGCAGCCGTCGCAGCCGTCGTCGCAGGCGTCGCGATGTTGCTCCTGTTCGAAACCCCGGCGGGGTTCGCGCTGTTCAAAGTGCTGGACGACAAGAAGCTCGACAAGGTCGAGGACATCTGGAAGCACTTCGAGACGCCGGAGAGCGCCGGCAAGGTGAGAGAGAGGCAGAGCGACAGAGACGAAGGAAGTGCAGCCTGGAAGTCGGTAGACGGAAGCGAGGTCGCTGTGAGGTCGCAAGGGTCTTCACTCGCTGGAGATGCTCGACTAGGTCGAGGACGTTCTGGACGCACTTCGAGTCGCCGGAGAGGGCCAGCAAGGCAAGTTGCGCGGGGGAAGAAGGATTGCAAGGTACTGGAGAAGAGAGAAACGATGTGCGAGGGGGAGAAGGGCTGTCAGGAGGAGAGTCAGGGGGAGAGTCAGTGGAAAGCTCGTCGATTCGGCAGAGAGCGCATGTAAGGCGAGTAGTGCGAGAGGGGAGAGTATCGGCAAAGAACGGGAAGAGAGGAAGTTTAGGAGCTGAGATTCGGTTGTCTGCTGTTTCCTCCGCTCCGCGTCGTTGCTTTTTTGCGCGTTTCCCCCCTTGCAGGTCGGTAAGCTGAAGGCGTTTGACAAGTTCGAGAGCACGGCGGATGCGTTAGGCGCGGTTGAGGCCGCGCTGACCATCCCTTCCCGGCAACCTCCTCCCCGCCTCTTCTCCCCCCCCCCCCCCCCTCCCTCCCCCCCTCCGCGCATCCGTGCAGGTGGTCAAGCTGAAGGCGTTCGACAAGTTCGAGAACACGGCAGATGCGCTGGGGGCGGCGACGGCGCTGGTGGAGAGCAAGCTGAGCAAGGGGCTGAAGAGGTTCGTCAAGGCCTCTCGTCTTACCGCCCTCTTTCCCCGTTCCCCCCTTCCCGTCCTCCCTTCCGCCGATCTCTTGTCTGCAGGTGGTCAAGCTGAAGGCATTTGATAAGTTCGAGAACACGGCAGATGCGTTGGGGGCGGCGACGGCGCTGGTGGAGAGCAAGCTGAGCAAGGGGCTGAAGAAGTTCGTCAAGGCGCAGTGCCAGGGGGAGACGCTGGCAGTCGCTGACTCGAAGCTGGGCAGCATCATCAAGGAGAAGCTGGTGAGAGGGCATGCGGGGGAAGGGGGAGGGGGTCATGGGGGGTTAGAGAGCAAGCTGAGCAAGGAGCAAGGCGCAGAACCAGCCAGGGCGAGACGCTCGCCGTCAGCTTCCGAGTGGACTCAGGAGGGGGTACTAGCCGGCTGAGCACGGAACAAGGCGCAGTGAGAAGTCTATTTTTGAGGGACCAAGCTGAGGCAGAGGCTGAAGAAGCTCGTCAATGCGCAATGCCACGCTCCCCTTCTCTGCATCTGCCTTTACAGTCGACTCTAAAGTCAATTCCACGCTCCCCTGACTGACTGTGTACGCAGGGAGTGACATGCGTGCACAGCGCGGCGGTCATGGAGCTGATGAGGGGGGTGCGCTCGCACCTCTCGGAGCTCATAGCGGGGCTGTCGGGCGCCGACCTCGCGCCCATGAGCCTGGGGCTCAGCCACAGCCTGTCCCGTTATAAGCTCAAGTTCTCCCCGGACAAGGTACGCTCTCGTCTCACCTTCCCTCCCTCCCTCCCCCCTCCCTCCCACCCTCCCTCCCTCCCTCCCTCCCTCCCTCCCTCCCCCCTCCCTCCGTCCGTCTGTCCCTCCGTCCCTCCCTCCCCATTTGTTTTCCGCCAGATCCCTTCCCTCCCCGCCCGTGTTCCTCCTCATAACCCTTTCCTTGCTTCACTTCACTCTCCCTTGGGCTCTTCAATCCCCCCCCGTCATCCTTCGCTCCCTCCATCCCACCACACCTTATCCCCTGCCCTGTCAACCAATCCCTTGCAGCCGGGTGGACACGATGATAATGCGGGCCATCCGTGTGTTGGACGATCCGGACCAGGAGCTCAACACTTGCCTCTCTTCACCCTCCCTCGTCCCTCTGCTGGTCTCTCTCTTCCCCCGCCCACCACCTCATTCCCCCAGGTGGATACGATGATCGTGCAGGCCATCGGGCTGCTGGACGACCTGGACAAGAAACTCAACACGTACGCCATGCGCGTGCTGCCCCCCCCCCCCCCCACTCCCCGTCTCCCCTTCCCCCTTTCCTCCTACGTGCCCACCCCCCCAGGTGGACACGATGATCGTGCAGGCCATCGGGCTCTTGGACGATCTGGACAAGGAGCTCAACTCTTCCCTCCTCTGCCGGTCTCTCTCTTCTCCCTTCAGGTGGACACGATGATCGTGCAGGCCATCGGCCTCTTGGACGATCTGGACAAGGAGCTCAACACGTACGCCATGCGCGTGCGTGAGTGGTACGGCTGGCACTTCCCCGAGCTGGGCAAGATCGTGGCGGACAACCTGCACTACGCCAAGTCCGTCAAGCTCATGGCGCACCGCGTCAACGCCGCTGACCTCGACTTCTCAGGGGTGAGTTTGGCGCTGGCTTGGTTCCAAGGTGAGAGAGGGCTGGGTGGGCTGCTTTGAGGTCAACTAGGCAAGATCGTCGCGGTGCTATCCATGGGCGCTATCCTGCGCTGAGGGTTAAAACGACTCGATGGTGGCCCCTCTGAGCATCGGCGTTGGTCCCTCTGAGCATTGCCCTCCCGTGCTGTCCTCCCTTGCTGCCGTCCCTTCAGATCCTGGAGGAGGAGGTGGAGGCGCAGATGATTGAGGCGGCGGCGCGTCCTTGCTTTGGTTTCCTTGGACCCAACCAATTCTCGCTCTGTGCACGGACCATTCTTGCCTGTTGCCATGCTGTCTTGCCTTCTTGTATCAGATCCTGGAGGAGGAGGTGGAGGCGCAGATGAAGGAGGCGGCGGTGATCTCCATGGGGACGGAAGTCAGCGAGCACGACATGACCAACATCATTGCGCTCTGCGACCAGGTGAGGGTCAACTCCAGTCAACGCTGGTCAGCGCTGGTCGTCGTTGGCCAACGTTGCAGCCCTCTGAGAGGGTCATGCCCAGCTCGTTGATTGTCGTTGACCAGCTCCGCCCCTTCATGTTCGCAGTCCCCCCAACCTCACTCACCGTGCTACCATGCTCTCTGCCCCTCCTTCCAAGTGTTTTGAGTCTATTCTTGAGTCGACTAGACAATAGACTCATAGCCTTCTGAGAGTATCATGCCCAGCTCGTTGACTCTCGTTGACTCTCGTTGACCAGCTCCGCCCCTTCATGTTTGCAGTCGCCCTCACCCATCCTCTCTGTGCTCCCATGCTCTCTGCCCCTCCTTCCGTCCAATCCCCCTTCGCTCTGGTCATCGCCCTGTCGGAGTACCGCGTCCAGCTGTTCGACTACCCGCGCTCAGCTGCTCGCATGCTCCCCTCTCTACCCCTCCCCCCCCCCCGCCCCACTCAGGTCATCGCCCTGTCGGAGTACCGCGCGCAGCTGTTCGACTACCTGCGCTCGCGCATGCTGGCCATCGCGCCCAACCTCACGGTGCTCGTGGGCGAGCTGGTGGGAGCGCGGCTCATCGCGCACGCGGGGTCCCTCATGAGCCTCGCCAAGCATCCCGCGTCGACGGTTCAGATCCTTGGCGCAGAGAAGGTATGCAGCGGGGGGGTAAGAGGATAGGAGGTGGGAAACTTGAAGGCGTGGCATGGTGTGATGCGACAGGACAGGAGACAGGTGATGTGTGCCTTCCTTGTACCAGGAGCACCTTGTACCACGAGCAAGGTAATGCGGCACACACTCACTCCATCATCGCCTGTGCATTTGAGTCGACTCAAAAGCTGTGCACTCACGGAAGATGACGAGGCACTGTTCCGTGTGTGCACCACCACAAGGCACAACACGGCACGCACGGCTCGTCCTCCTCAACGCCATTAATTCCCTCTCTCCCTTCTCCGTCCCCCCCTCCCTCGATCTCACCGCTTCCCCTTCTTACCTCGGGCGCTGTTCCGCGTGCTGCTGAAGACCAAGCACGACTCGCCAAGTACGGTACGGGCTCATCTTCCACGCGTCCATCAACACTCCTTTCCTTCCCCGCCGCTTGTCCCCTCTTCTCACCCCCCACCTCAGGCGCTTTTCCGCGCGCTCAAGACCAAGCATGACACGCCCAAGTACGGGCTCATCTTCCACGCATCGCTCATCGGCCAGGCGCCCCCCAAGCTCAAGGGCAAGATCTCGCGTGTGCTGGCGGCCAAGTGCTCTCTGGCGATCCGTGTTGACGCTTTGGGCGACTCCACTGAGCCCACCGTTGGTATCGAGGGCCGCGCCAAGGTGCGTGAGGGGAGGGGGGGGGGGGGGAGATGAGGAAAGAGGAGGTGTGAGTGCGAGATGGCGCGTTTGCTGACAGCAGCCATGAGCTCTCTCTCGTGTGTCACCCCGTGTGTGTTCCATCCATGCCAACAAATCACTCTGCTTGTTCTGCTGCCTGCTGCTCTTGTCTGTGCTGTGCCGACTCCTTTCCGATTGGGCCATTTCCCTCTTCATTCTCCTCTCTTTCCGTCCTCTTTCATTTCAACAGATCGAGCACGGCCTACAGCCGCTGGCGGGCCGGGTGCTGGGTCTATTTTTGAGACGCCTCAAAAACATTCTCCTTTTTGGTCCTCTTTCGTTTTGAACAGATCGAGCAGCGGCTGCGGCAGCTGGAGGGGCGGGTGCTGGGCACTGCAAGTGCGGCCAGCAAGGGCAAGGCGAAGCTGGGGCCGTATGACAAGGACAGGAAGGACGGCGCGGGGGCGCTCATCACTCCCTCTAAGGTGGGCTGGATGAGGGGTGAGGTGTGGTGGTCCAAGGGGTTCAGATGGAGTAAAGGGGTTCCTGGGAGCGCAAGGGCAAGGCGAAGCTGGGGCTGTACGACAAGGACAGGACGGACAACGCCGGGGGCTGATCACTTCCTCTAAGGTGGGTTGGTTGGATGAGGGGTGGTGGTGCAAGGGGTTCCGAAGGAGATTATGTGTGGTCGTAAGGGCAAGGGCAAGGCGAAGCTGGGGCTGTACGACAAGGACAGGACGGACGGCGCCGGGGGCTGATCACTCCCTCTCAGGTGGGCTGGATGAAGGGATGGTTGAGGGTTTGAGAGGGGGGTGAAGGGGGGCTGGAAGCAGGGCAAGGCGAAGCTGGGGCCACATGACAAGGACAGGGAAGACGGTGCGGGGGCGCTGATTGCACCGCCAAGTTGAGAAGCTGAGGTTGATGGGGGCACGAGCTGGGGAGGGCTAGCAGGAGTGCAATGCAAGTGCCTCAAAGTGCCTCACCCCCTGTTCCCTCTTCCCTGTCCTCATCCCGCCCTGCAGGCCTACAACCCTGCCTCAGACGCGCTTCTCACAGCCAAGTCACCGGCCACCGACGCAGCAGCAGCAGCGGGAGAGGAATCGGCGAAGAAGGCCAAGAAGGAGAAGAAGGCGAAGAAGGCGAAGGCGGATGGGGAGGCCACTCCCTCCACTGCTGCTCGTATGGATGCTGACGGGGCAGAACCACCTTCCACCGAGGTGAGATCTCCTCTCATTTTTTCTCAGCCCATCTGATTCTGTTTAGGCCGTCTGTCTGACTGTGTCTGAGGTTGCCAGCCGTAGTGCTCCCTCCTCCCCTCCCCATTTCCCCATGTCTTCACTGTTCTGGATTGCATTTCCTTGTTGCAACCGACTGTTTCAGAAGAAGAAAAAGAAGCGTGATCGCGAGGAAGAGGCGAAGGTGAAGGAGGATACTGGGGCAGCGCCAGTCACGCCTGTATCAGAGAAGAAAAAAAAGAAAAAGGATGCTGCAGCTGCTGACGGCGCTGCTACTCCTGGCACTGCCGAGGGGTCGGCGAAGAAGAAAAAGAAGGTGAAGGAGGAGGATGGGGCGACGCCAGGGGCAAGTGGATCGTCCAAGAAGAAAAAGAAGTCCGCAGAGTGAGGGATGGGGGGGCAGTCCGTTGCCGATTTGTGCAATTCGATTGTGCTGATTTTTGTTTATGGAAGTGGTGATTCCGGTTGTGATGGAATGTTTCTAGTCATGATGGATGCGTTTCTCATCTAGGAGAGGCTCCTTACACCTGATTTCGCTTATAGACCGTGTGGAAAATAATTGAAATGTGCCAATACAGAAGACAGCTTGATAATACCGATGCATTTGTCGTTTTGTCTATCATCTGCGTCCACCTTGAAGCTGACGATTCTCGAGTCTCTCGGCTCTCCTAAACTCACCCTTCATGCGACAGACTCGCCGCCTAATGTAATAATTTCTGTTCGACTTCGATTTCCGTCTAAAGCTTTTCGACTAGGCTTTCTGTCGTAGCTCCTTCGTTGACCATTTTCGTCCTCCCTGTGGTGTGAACCGGTTGGCTCATCGGCTCCTCTCATCAGCTCCGCCGTTTTCTTAGGCGCCTCAGAACTAGTAGCTCCTCTCATCAGCTTCCAGTTCTCCCCTTGCCCCCCTCCCCACCACCCTTTATTTTCGGAAATCCTTTCAATGATGGCGAGTTGCCGGATTTTGTCGTCCCGCTTGGCACAAGGTTCCGTTTTAGCTGCACCTCTCCTCTACACTCTTTTCCTGTTACAAGCACAGTTCACCGTCGCGCGTTCAGCGCGCTTACCTGGTCACCTGGGCGTCCCTGATAACCTTGGAATCCGCGTTTTAATGCCTTTAACGAAGGGTTCTTATGTCGATGACGGAGTCAGCGACGGATCACAGCAGCATGACTCAACAACGGCACCACCATCGAGCCGGGGGTTTTTGAGAATTCACAAACACACCCTGCAAAACCATGACGATCGTAATGACTTAGCAACGACACTCGTTCCGCGAGCCCGTGAAGTGCTTTTAACGAAGGGTTCTTATGTCGGTGACTTAGCAACGACCCTCGTTCCGCGAGCCCCTGTTTGGCCGTTGAGGTTTCAAGTTGACTTCAGCGAGGTGAGGCCTGGGGTTGATTTTAGCTAAGGCGAGACGTAGGTGAAGGGACGAGCTCTGACTTATTCCTTGTACTTTCCTGCCTCCCTCCTACCAAGTTCCTGGCTCGTTTCGTCCTGCCTCTTTCCCCACTCCGTACTTCCCCTCCCTCTTTCCTGACAATTTCCGTCCACCTTCCCTGCCCCATCACACTGCAGGAAGGAGATCTACCTCCCCTTGTCATCAACAATCCCCCCCCCCCCTTCCCTCTCCCAACCCCCTCTCCCAACAAGCACCTTCCAGGAAATGTACCTCCCGTTATCAACATATCTCCCCTCCCCCCACCACCACCACCACCACCGACCCTCCCACTCACCTTTCAGGAGATGTACCTCCCCTGGTACACCCTCACAACTGAAGGCACCTGGCGGTACGACTACAGCGGGGAGAGGCAGCGGATCGACCGGCAAGACGGACTAGGGGACAGATACTGTGGGTAAGTTGCCTTATGCAAATAGGGGGGGTTTGAGGGGAGGGGACAGATACCGCGGGTAAGTTGCCTTGGGGGGGTTGAGAGGATGTGAGGCGAGGGGATAGATACTTCGGGTGCGCTGAGAGAGGGGGGGACGTGATGGGAGGGGTGGGAGGGAAGAGTGGCTGGAAGGGGAGGCGGATCAACTGGGCTGGGGGGGGGCGGGCGGGGGGACAGATAATGTGGGTGAGCTCTGGTTTTGAGGGTAGGGTGCTCTCCACCCTCCAGGAGATGTACCTCCTCCCCTTACTCGTTCATTCTCACTCCTTTCGCCCGTTCAGAGGCTGTCACACACTCTCTCGTGTACCTATTCTCTCTCCTTCCGCTGTTACACTGGCTCTTGCACACTCTCTCTTGCACATTCTCTCTTGCACACTCTCTCTTACACACACTCTCATGTGCCTATTCTCTCTCCTTCATCTATTCGCTCTTCACGCAAACTCACTCATCCTCTCATTCCCGCCTCCCCCCCTCCTCCCCCCCTCCTCCCCCTCTCCTCCCCCCTCCTCCCCCCACCCCCCGCCCTGCGCGTGTTCAGCACCTATTGCACTCACCCGGTTTTCAATGGCTGGCTCATTCACGCTTGGAGACGTCTCATTATTCCTTTTTTCTCACTCCCTCCCCCCTCCCCCCCCCCCACCGCCCCTCTTTGCCCGCTAGTAGCTCCGTCCTTCCATGCAGGAGCACGCCGTGCACGCAACTGGTGCTCAACGGCTGGCTCATTCACACGTTCCGTCTTTCTCACCTCCTCCACACCCCGCCTCCCCACTCCCTTCCCCCATTTCGTCCGCTTGCCTGCTGGCAGCTCCGCCCTCCCGTTTAGGAGCACGCCTTGCTCACAACTGGTGCTCAACGGCTGGCGCTATCTCGTGTTTCCTCAGGCCAAGGTCAAGCCTTCACTCCCTTTTCCCTAGTGGTCCATCTATTTTCTAAAAACCTGGGTACAGCTATGCAAGCAAATTTGAGAGGTCGATTCCTCGTGTTTCCCCGGCTCCCCTTCTCTCTTCTCTCTTCTCTTCTCTTCTCCTCCTCTCCTGGTTTTCCCCTCTCTTCTGCTGCATCCAGTGTTTTCAAATTGGAGAGCGGGCTTTGTGTTGCCCGCGCTACCTTTTTCGCCTTATGTCAGTAAACTTCATTCTGAGGCGTCTCAAAACGAAATTACTAACATTCAAATCGGAGAGTATGCTTTGTGTGTTGGCCATGCTGCCATTTTCGCCTTACCCCTGACCGATACGCTTCCGACCATCTTCTCTGCCTCCGTCGGCTTCAGTTCTGCTGCTGCTGCTGCTGCTGCTGCTCTCCTGCCAGCTGCCGCTCAGCTGCCTGCGGCGTGGTGCGTTTTGAGACGTCTCATACCTACGCAATGTCATCCCCTCCCTGCCTCTGTCCGATGACTGCACTGCAGTACTGCTGTCGCTGCTGCTCTGATGAAAACGGCTGCGGCGTGGTGCGGCCTGACTGGCTGGCCGATGCCACGTACGTGGGCCGGGACTATGTGGGCGACATCTCAACCACCAAGTGGTGAGAGCTGGTGCTAATGCTGCCGCTGTTGCTGCTGTGGTGGGTCATCACTCACCAGCACCGCGGCTGCTTTCATGTGCACTCACGGCCAATGCCACGTACATGGGCCGGGATTACGTGGGCGACATCTCAACCACCAAGTGGTGAGAGCTGGTGCTGATGCAAAGAGGTGCCTTGATTCCATCCACAAGCACCGTTGCTGCTTTCATGTGCACTCACCAATGGGCGAGTGCAATGTATATGGGCCGGGACTCTGTGCGGGACATCTCAATCACCAAGTGGTGAGAGCTGGTGCTGATGCAAAGAGGCGCCCTGTGGCAGTCGTCTCTTGTGCTGTTGTCAGAAGCAGTCGTCACTTGTGCTGTTGTCAGAAGCAGCCAGGTTGATCTACTGCTGTTGCTCTGCTCTGCTCTGCTCGGCTCGGCTCTGCTCTGCTCTGTGCTCCTCTCCTCTCCTCTGCTCTGCTCGGCTCTGCTCGGCTCGGCTCTGCTGCGTGCATACCTTGCTCGCAGGCAACAAACCTTGCTCTGCTGCTGCCCATTCTGCTGAAAAATGATTTGCATCGGCGGTTGTGCGTGAGCAGGAAGCAGCAAGGGCTCCAGAACAACTACTACTGGCACTCAGAGGACGACATCCCAATGCGCATCTACATGGTAAGCCCCTGCTGCTGCTGCTGCTGCTATTGCTGCTGGCTTGAGGGAAGTTTGGGGATCGGGCGGGGAGTGGGGTTGGGTGATATAATGAGGCATCTGCTCATGTGTGTATGCGTGCCTTTGCATCGTCGTCACTCACGGTTGCAAGGGCAGCAGCGCAAACTGCGACCAGATAATGAAGCCACTGCTCTTGTGTGTATGTACGTATGCCTTCTTTCTGCTCGCCCCTTCACTCATTCCTTCGTTCCTCCCCAACTCTTCCCTTCTCTCCTCCGACTCTCTTCCCCACCCCCCCTTCAGGAGCCCATAGAGCAAACGACCTTCCATCACAAACGACTCCTTCGAGATGCCCCACCAATTCCTCACCACCACCTTTGATCTCCCCTCCAATTCGTCTCTCTTCGCCTCCCATCTCTTCCCCATCCCCCCTGCAGGAGCCCATAGAGCAAATGACCTTCCATCGCGACCGACTCCTTCCAGAAGCCCCCTTGAGTTTCCAACGCCACATGCCCTCTCCCCTCCTCCATCCTCTCCTCCCTCTCTCATGCCATGGCTTGCGCATCTCTCACCCCTCCCCCTGCAGGAGCCCATAGAGCAGATGTCGTTTCATCATGACTCCTTCCTAAAACCCCACCGGTTTCCCAACGCCACATTTGACCTCCCCTCGGACATGGAGTGAGTGAATCTTCAAGGGCATATCTCTCCTCTCGTCTCATCTCTCATGCATCTGACAATTCTCGTTTGCATCAGTTCGTCCCCTGCCAGTTCTCCTTTGCGTTCCGATGCACATCGCCTGACTTGTTCTCGTCCCCAACCGCCTGACTTCCTAAAACCCCACCGGTTTCCCAACGCCACATTTGACCTCCCCTCGGACATGGAGTGAGTGAATCTTCAAGGGCATATCTCTCCTCTCGTCTCATCTCTCATGCATCTGACAATTCTCGTTTGCATCAGTTCGTCCCCTGCCAGTTCTCCTTTGCGTTCCGATGCACATCGCCTGACTATTCCAACCGCCTTGTAACCTTGCACTCGTCCCCATCCTGTGTGTTCCTCGCTCCCCCGCGTGCTCACAGCTGCTCGCAGTTCTGCTACGGATTCTGCGCTGTGGTCCGGCAAACCACGCTCTAATGCGCCTCAGACTGTCCGTCACAGGATCCGCCATTGCCTGCATGTGCTGTGATGTGAGGCGTTCCTGGCCCTGGGGCGCCTTCAGAAACATGTGCCCGCTGTGTGCCACCACCACCGTCGTGAGGGAGATGCGCTAGAAACTGGTACGACTGCGAATCCTGTTCTTTCCGAAGCACCACCAGCGCATTGTGAGGCACTTCTGAAGCCGGTACCATACAAATACAACTGCATGTTTGGTTCGGTATGCCAATCCTCTCAGAAGCGGCTCCACTGTATTCTTCTCATGGGACAGACTAGGTAGTACAGTACTAGTGCCAGAAATGGTCCCACCCTCTCTCGATCAACTGGGGCTCAGCTGTGTTAATGGGGGAAGTGTGTTCCCACTAGAGTGGCTGGTTAATGATTGGGGTTTCCTTTCTGAAAGCTTTCCCGCTTGCAATACAATGTGACCTTGGACAGTGTGCTTTAAATTAAACAGCATGGATTGGGTGGCGACATCTTTCAACAGCTACAGGCTTACAAAAACAATTCAAGCAATTCAGATGAGCACAAGCAGGGGCCTGATTCAGGCCGCAGCAAGTGCCTTCCTGAGCACTGCATGCTGGGAGGGACTCGGTTGACATGGCGGTGCTTGCTAAGGTGTGGAGCTTGGCAGCTTGGGGTACCAGTGCCATGCCATGCCATGGCGCTGGGCTTGCCATGGTTGACATTGGGTTTGGCGGTGCTCACTGAGGGACGCAGTTCTGTTGACTCTCGCTCGAGTTCGACTGGAAGCAGCGCAACCATCACAAGCAGAGCTCTGTTGAGGGCACCTGGGGACCTCCCATGGTCAGAGGCAGAGCTCTGTTGAGGGCACCTGGGGACCTCCCATGGTCAGAGGCAGAGCTCTGTTGAGGGCACCTGGGGACCTCCCATGGTCTGTGCGCAGCCTGCAGCCTCAGCGCCAAGCTGGCCAATCAGATCCATCTCCACTGCCACATGTTCCTCCCCTCCTCCCTCCCCCTCCTTCCTTAGCCTTCCCGCCTCCAAGCACGCACTACCACCATGTGTGTCTTCTGCTTTACCATCTACTCCTCGTCCAGCGGGTGGGTTCCCTCCTCTTCCTAAGGGGTCAACCAACCTTTTCTCTGCATCCTCCCGCGTCCCTATGTCTCCACCCCCGCCTGTGCCCTTGTGTTCTCTGAACCTCCCTCCCTCCCATCCACCCATCGCAGCACTGCTAGCCATCGAAGCACCGCCTATGACTGCATTCACTCCAGCATCGGCTTGGGAAACGGCACCAGCTCTCTCCGCGCCCCACACCGCCCCCCACACGTCCTGGGCCTTTTGCAGCTGTTGGATGTAGCGCACCCGGATCTCTTCTAAGCTTCTGCCCGCCGTGCGTGTGTCACTGCCAGCGCTAGCGGCACCTACCAGTGGTGGCAATAGTTGCCGAATGGCCTGGGAGGAGGTAGTTGCTGGTAGCAGTTGTGTGTTAAAGCCGCTGTTTGCTAGCACTTGCGTGCTGAAGATGCCACGTGTTAACAGCTGCTGGATAGTCGGAGGGTCATGTGCTGGCAGTGGCTGCATGCTCCGCCCCACAGGCGCTGCTGGCGTGAGCGGCATGACAGGGGACGAAGCAGGTGCAAATTTCTGAGGCGCCTCAGAAAACAGTTGCTCGATAGTCGGAGCTTCGTGCGCTGGCGGCGGCAGGCGGATGCCCATGTGCGTCACAGCCACTGCTGGCGTGAGCGGGGGCGACGCAGGTGGACGGGCGTATGTCAGGGGGGCAAGGCGGGAGGCTGCCAAAGACACATCAGGACTGAAAGACCCCGCAGCAGCAGCAGCGGCAGAAGCAGCAGCAGCAGCGTGTTGGGAGGAAGAGAAGGTTGGAAGATTGGGGCAGAGGCGAGCAGCATGAGTGGCAGCATGAGCGGCATGATCAGGTCGCTGCTGCTGCACCCCCTCCTCGTGCTGCCACCGCCTTGCCAGCTGTACCTCGGCCACGTCCGCCATCCCACGTCGCAAATCCGCCATCCCACGTCGCAAATCCGCCATCCCAAGTGGCAAATCCGTCACCATCCCACGTGGCAGATTCCCCATGCCACGTGGCAGGCTGGTCGCCAGCTTGTGTCGCATATTCGCCTCCAGATACGACCAGAGCGTTTCGAACCCCTCGTCTGTCTTTCCGGGCGCAGAGTCGCTGGCATCCGCGGCCCCTGCATCCGCGGCTCCGGCATCCGCGGTCCCTGCATCCGCAAAGCTTGCGCCCGCTTTGCTTCCGCGCAGCGGCGCCATCACGGCGGGAACGATGCGCGGAGAAGGCGGGGAAAACGCGGTACTATTGCGTCGCTTGACATCGTTGCCGCTCGTCGCCCCCATCATCGCGTTCGTCGCCGCTGCTGTCGTTCCCGCCGTCGCGATTGCTCCTTTCTGCAGCGGCGGCGAAGGTCTTTTATGCTCCGCGCTGCTGCGAAGCTCCCTCGCCCAGCACCCGCCGCCGCGACTGCTCCTTTCTTCAGCAGCGGCGGCGCAGCCTGCGCCATCCGTAGTAGTGCGATGATACTCGTCCGCGGGCGGGCTCCGCGGCCGTTTCCGACTCATGTGCCCGATTGGCGGAAACCCCCATGGCGGAGATCCGCGCTCCGTCGCTGCGACTGGTGGATTCCGCGGCTTAGGAGGAACTATTAGGCTGCGCGGAGCCCAGTCCGCCGATGGCGGGGTCAGCGGGCCGAAAGGAGTTCCCCCGCGGCTGCCGACGTCGCCAGCGGCGGCTGGGGCGGCGGCGTTGGCGGCGCCGCTGATGGAGTAGGCGGTCACGGCGACCAGCGGCGAAATCGTCGCGGCGACAGCAGGCGGAACGGTCCGAGTCGTGCCCACCCGCGAAAGCACCGCGGCGGCGGCGGCGGCGGCGGCGGAAGTAGCAGCGCCCGCCGTCGTCGCCGCCGCGTGCACGCGGGGCTGCGCAACGGCAGCGGCGGCGCCGGAGACGACCATGTGCAGCGGCTGCTGCGGCGGCGGCGGGTGGTTGTGGCGATTGCGGCACCAGAAGCGGCGCGGCGTGAGCGTGCGATCGACGCGTCGCTCGAGCACCGGAAGCGCGTCAAGAACCGCCTGGTTTTCCTCCCACCCGAATTTGTCGCCGCCATCGTCCTCCTCTTCCTCCTCCTCCTCCCTAACAACCTCCGTTCCCTGCGAAGCGGACTCGCCGCGATCCCCCCCGCCGCTGGCGACAGCCACATCGGCTTCGCCTGACGGCCGCGCCGCGGCAGTTCGTTCGGGGACTTCACGCGCGCGCAGGTCCGTACTAGTACAGCCTGGACGGGCGGCGCGCTTGCCCGTCTTTTTCTTGGGGACCTTATCGATTATGAGCTTCGCGGGACAGCCGGTGGTGTCGCGCTCCGCGCAGTGGTAGTAGAACCTGCGCCGATTCAAGGGGGGGTGATTAGGGCAACCGGAGGAGGCGGAGTTTGAACCGGGGGGGGGGGGGAGGAGGGGAAGGAAAGAGGTGGGGGGGAAGTGAGTGGGACTGACTTGGAGTCCTCCGTTACAACGGGAAAAACGAGAACATCGGGTACGGTAGCACAACCACTATTTGGAATGGTAATAAGGAGAAATAAGTTTTCAGGAGTTTCACCAAAATGCACAACTACTATTGGCAATTGCTGCTCCGATCCGAACGTACCTCTTAGCATTCTGGGAGGAGAGGAACTTGTGCCCGTATTTCTTCCACACATAAGATTCCGCCTTTTCTTCCTTGCTACCGCCGCGAGCGTCGGTTTCACCGCCTCCGCCGTCGATTTCGCCGACTCCACCATAAATTTCGCCGCCCCCACTGTGATGACCGGCGGCGCGGCTGGAGTTGGAAATAATAATAGGGTTGCTGGTGGAATATTCGTCGCTGCCGCTTCTGCCGCAGTTACGGAGGGAATCTTGGCATACCGTATGACTTGTAGTGACTAATCGGGCTAACGCGCAGTCGATGAGCGAGCCCGAGCCCGCGGCATGTGAAGCAGCCATGGAATCCACGGAAGCGCTGTGGCGGTCTATCAGATAGAGCCTTGCTCGGAGTACGGAGCTCGAAAATTGGTCGCGAGCCAACGTCTCTAAGTCCCACTGTCTTCCTAATAGTGAGTGATCGCGAGTGATGAAGTAGTAACGCCTAGGTGTTCTGACTCCTGCCAGGACTCAATGAGTGATGGAGAAAAAAAAAAAAAAAAACCAGTTGCTTCGCGTGTCGCAAGTGATCAATGGACAAGGCCATCATCTGGCAGATGGCAGCATTGTTTATGCTGCCCGCCTCGACAGACGGACGGTTTGGTGTCGCTTAGCAGCAGCCACGACAACGTGCCCAAAAACGACACAGATGGCATTTCTCAATTGTGGATCGCGAGCTAAAAAAGGCCATAACTGGAGGGGCGGATGCAAGTGGTGGGTTCTGGGGAAATGAGGATTCCTTGTGGATAATCTGCTGGCTGAGCGAATTCAGAAAGGGTGCATGAAGTTTGGGAAATGCTGGTGAGAAGTGTGGTTATGGCGGTTATGCTGATACGATGTTTACGATGTTTGAACTGTATATGCAGGGTATTCGCCCGCTAAAAGAATACGCTCGTTGTAGCAGCTCTACAGCGCGTGCCTGGATGCATTTTGCTTGCATGATGTCCGCAAATGCGCTGCCCGATTCTGTCCCAAAGTGCACCCCCCCCCCCATCAATAATTCAATCCACATTTATCCAGCGCGACTCGTGAACAAGGTGTTCTAAAGTCGAGCACCCTTTGTACCCATTTCCCGCATCCCCTTCTCCTTGTGTGACACGCAGCCTTGGTGTCGTCGATTTCTCTTAGCGGGCAGTTTTTGTGGACGAGATGGGGCCAACGAGGTGTGTACACACGACAATTTCTGTTTTCTTGATCGCTACAGTGTCGTCTTTGACGGGCTGTAGCATTTCCAAAGAAGCACCCCTGGTGAGGTGACATATTTCGTCTTCGTTTTCGGGCAGGAAGGACGCTCTTGTCGAGATGCACGCGGGAAATGGGGAGTGTCAGATGGCAGCGGAGATCCTACACTCTGTCACCAGTGACCTGTACAGTGACTGGGCTTGACGACTTTCGCACAGGGTTCAACCCCCTTCACTCCAAGCTTGCAGAAGATGAGAAGGGCGTGTCCTGAGTGGGATGTCGACATCCAACGAGGGATGTCGACCATCGAACGAGAGAATCCGATGGTAGAAATTCCTCGACATCCGTTGACATAAGGAAAACACATTGGAACTACAGTACAGTGCTTTGCATTCTAGCATCCTAACCTACACCTCCACCTAAAGATCCGCAAAAACCGTATGTACAGTGGAACGCTTTGCATCAACGATTCCCTCATTCACTGTTTGCCATGTGGAAGTTGAAAAGGCACCAAGGGTGCAAATGATGGGCTGTCCAGGCTGGGAACATTTGTCTTTCCAGTTGAAAACAAGCAGGTGTCCAATGTGAAATAACTCGGCTGATAGGCGAGTGATCATTCCATTTTCCTATTCTGTACTTCCTGTTTACTGAGTGCCCGTAAGGTCCTGCCCGTGCGGTCAAACCCAGTGATGCCACTTCTTTACTTCTGTGAAAGTTGTGTACTGCTATTGTTTTGCAACAACGCTAGTGGTGTGGCATAAATGCAGCCTTGGGGTCAGCAGTCGAATCAAACTACCCTCAACAAATTAAGGTGCCCCCAGCAGACACTCAACATTCAATCACGCGGCACACGCACCATGACTTCAGTCCCACAACAAGCCGCAGGTGCATGCAGGCTGGGTGGAAGTGACTAGACTTGGGCTGCTGATTGGCTAGAGGTGAAACTGTCACAGATACGGACGGAAGGGATATCCCACAGTCGTTTAAATTCCGCAACGTCCACTGTTCATCCTGCCAGCGCTTCATGGTCGGTTAGAGGAAATGACAGATCTACACCCATATCAGAACAAACCTGACAGAAATCCACCCAAACAATTTAGAGTCAGCTCAAGCCAATGAGAGACGAGATTCTTGGAGCATGCACTGTCAACAGTTTCGAGTTGACATGACAACGGTGTAGGGTCGTGCCTATGCATTTCTGTTGGAACCGTTTCTGTTTAGGGTGTAGATTTATGTTCTCATCGGAGGAAAAGAGTCAGGTTGTCATAATCTGACTACGGGTTGGTGTGCTTGACGGCGATGCAGCAAAACACAATCAAAAAAAAAAAAAAAACGAGTTCTAACTGTACCACAAGCCTCTGGCCCTGTTGTGTGGTTATACATTGACGGGACAATCTTTCTTTCGTCGTTTGCGAATGTCCGGTAGGCCAACTACATCGGAGAATCCGTCAGTTTTTCGCAAGACCCGAGGCAATTTTTTCCAGCCTAGGATCGTTCCATTAGACCCTCGAATTAGACACCCGCTCCAAAATTACCCTCAATTCATGGATAGGGTAGCCGCTTGAGACAACGATACAATCTGCCAAGATTTAAAGATGATTATAATGAATCTACTTCGAATCTAAATTTGTTTCGGTGGTGTCATTAACCAATTAATTTTTAATATAGAGGAGAATAACACTACCAAAAGACAAAAAAAATCAAGGGCTGCAAAAACAATTTAAACCCAAAGGAATAAAATGCCGCTTGGAGTAATACAAACCCTAATTTCACGACCCTATAGGATTTTTTTCAATGCAATGAAGAATAGTTTTAGTGTTGACAGTGCATTCTGATCACTACTACTGATCTGTACATACATATTATAGTACTTCCGCAATAACGTTATGTTTGCGAAGAACAAAACTCAGTCGCGCGGTTGTGTAACTTAATAACGAAAAACACAACCTTATTTCAAACAATAAGATAAAATTATAGTTGTTAATTGAAAATCAAGGGGTTTTCCCAAAAAACCCTTATAAAATATGTCTGCCATTCTGGAAGAATTAACTCTCGTGCCTCTAGTTTTGTTTGCGAAATTGCCAACCATATACGGTTATTTTTTCTCCCAAAAAATGCTGTGCATATTCATACCGAATTGTTGGTTGGACATTGCTTTTCGTATTATTGTCAATGTATTAATGGGCAAAGTGGCAAATGACAAAACGTAACACATTTCTGTTGAGTTGTCGGTGGGGCAACAACGGGAACTGACATCTCGCTCCGCCAGATTCGAAAATTTCTTTGAAGTGTTATGAATTTGGGTAGATTTTTGTCTAACGATTTTCGATTCGGTTAGATTTTAGTTGTTCCCTGCAACCCCTTTCCTAGGATGTTGGAGGGATTGGGGCGACGATGTTTGGAAGCCTTTATATTCACGCGCTTAAGACATGATATATGATGACTGCTAGCAATTTTGTGCGTATTTGTTATCCTGATATGCAACGCTTGCAACACTTGAAAGAAGCGGTGGGATTACTTTGTGATCCTTGCGAATAACGTGACGAGCCCAAAAGGTTGTATTCATTGGCGCTCAAAACTAGTGGCCACGCTAATACAAACATTTAGTGAAACGTATGAGCCGATATATTCTACAGATATTTCTAATACATTTCTTTAGTTAGGTTCTACTATTATTCTATTTCAGAGTGAAAACTAACAAAAATAATTGGTAGAGAAAACCCTCGTCCGAACGGTCTACAATTTTAGCAAATTTTCCGCTCATACCATCCCAAAAGCAAATCATCGTAATTATTGTGACAAATACGATTTTGGACAGGCGCGATGACACATTGCTACGGAATGTTATCGTCGAGCATGCGTGTTGCAATTGTCCAGTATCAACATATATTTTATATTTTTATATGAAGAAGAAATTTGTAGTAATTCCTGTTCTAATCTTTCCATTTATTCAGTGGTCCCTCTACGTCTCCTACATCAAATAGGGAACGTACGCTAAGGGCAATCGAAACAATAGCATGTTTAGGTTAATGGCATAGGCTGTTCTACAAACACTGTACAGTCAAGGTTGCCTTGGCATACTAGCGGGAAAACTGGATAACCAGCGATAATGTCTGGGCTCGTGTGGCTTTAAAGGATAAGCACGATAAATCCTTAATTTCGATAAAAAAAAAAAAACACGAACGCACGCGAAGAACCTGTATTATATGGTCCACCTACTACCGTAAACCTATGATATCGCCTTGCAAACTGTAAGAGCGGGTTTTTAATGGCATGACGTTGAAGTGCCTCCTCAAGTCGATTTCATGTTTAGTGGAAAAAATCGTCAGCATCAGCTACTTTAAATACGTTGAGGCTAGGTAAGTTTTTTACAAGAAGAGCACGACAAGGTCAAAGCGATGGGAAAACAATCACGGAAAATACATAAAATGCAGATCCAGTATACAATTTTGGCATTCTATAGTTTTTTTCTTCTTCTTCTCGATATGGGCCTGCCTGGTCGGCTCCAAGATACAAGACAAATTGTCAATGGCCGATTGCTTCGATACGACGATATTAAGGAAGTTTCTTCAGCATTGTCGCATCTCTTGGTGCAAAGTATCCTCTGTTGCATATCACCCTACCGCCTCTTCCTTCGCAACAATGTGACGGTAGAGAAGCTGTGTATGACTGTGTGTATGTGTGTGTGTGTGTATGAATGTGTATATCTGTATGTGTATGTGTGTGTGTATATTTGTGTGTATGTGTCTGTGTGTGTATGTGTATATGTATGCGTGTGTGTGTATGTGTGTGTGTGTGTATGTGTATGTGTATATGTGTGTGTGTATGCGTGCCTGCATGTGTGTGTGTGTGTATGCGTACCTGCATGCGTGTGTGTGTGTACATGTGTGTGTATATGTGTGTATGTGTATGTGTGTGTGTATGTGTGTGTATTTGTGTGTGTGCGTGCCTGTGTGTGTGTGTGTCTGTGTATGTGTGTGTGTGTGTATGTGTGTGTGTGTGTGTGTGTGTGTGTATGTGTGTATGTATGTGTGTGTGTGTGTATGTGTGTGTGTATGTATGTGTGTGTGTGTGTGTGTGTGTATATATATGTGTGTGTGTGTGTGTATGTGTGTGTGTGTGTGTGTGTGTGTGTGTGTATGTGTGTGTGTGTGTGTGTGTGTGTGTGTGTATGCGCGTACGTGCGTGTGTGCGTGCGTACGTGCATGCGTGCGTGTGTGGGTGCGTGCGTGTGCGTGTGTGCGTGCACGCGCGCGCGCGTGTGTGTATGTATGC